TACCACATATTCCGTTCATAACTATACACTTCCCATCTTTTAGTGAATCATAACCATACACCTCCAAATTTATCAACATATTCGACCCACAACAATCCACTAGCACACAGGTTAAGAACTATTAGCCTCGGATTCATATTGTTGTTTCAACAGACCTTAAATTCAAGCTTTTATAGTTACTTTCGTGCAAGCTACTGCAAATTCAGGCTTGCATCTAGTTGTCAAAAGCTTCTACCGCTCCTAAAATGTTAACTCAGAAATCAAATGAAGACAAGAAATGCAGTTAAAAAACCAACTCAAGCCAAAACTACCCAATTGGAACAAATGGAGCAGGGGAAGTACTTACAGAAATTGGAATATAAGCATCTTTACTGCTTACAGGCCCGACTGTGAAACTGCTGAATCCTGCCATGGCCCCATGAACAGCACTATGAGCAAGAAGAGTGCAGTATATATTGTCCAATGCATTACTTGGGATAGCTCGAATCATATATGTGGGATCTGTAGAGAAGAAGATAATCATATATGTGCTCAGAAACTTTCTAGTTTCTACAATAGCTCAAAATTGTACCTATATATTTCATATTTATCGCCATCTTCGGAACTTTTGTAAAATGATCCTGTGACATGTAAGATATAAACAGCAACTGAATCACAACTATTTGATGATAACAAGAAGAAACAATAGCAGAAAAAACTGCTTACAATGTACATCAAGGAAAAAGAAGTGTCTAAAAACTACTCAAAATATTATTGACAGTTTGTATTACACCTTAATCTTTTGGGTTAGCCATATACGAACATCCAGGAGTAGCTTATTTCCTGATGCATCTTTCCCATCAACCGCATTTATCTCCCGTGCAACATACTCCTGCCCTGCTCCTTCTGCTAACACAATAACTACATGTCCATTTTTTTTAAGCCGCTCTTCAACAAATTCAAAAAGCCCACCGCGGCCTTCCAAATAGAAAGGAGATTCTGGAATCAAGCAGCAATCCTTTTATATCCAAAAGCCTATTGAGAGTTCTTATAGAAGTTAAGTAACTACTTGCTTTATACTTCTTTCGAGCAATAACAATTAAACTATGAGCGTGTTCTTAACAGTCAAAGCATATTTCATTTTACAGAGAACAGATGTTAAATACCATTGAAGATGGTGCTAACCAAATTAAAATCAATTCATTTCCAAATATGACTGTATAGTCTCTAGGACAATGTGAAAACCCTCGTCCGCCATATAGAACACGGGCTAAATGAACACTCCCTCAGATTCAATATTTTGGATTACTGAATTACACTGGAATGCTCATACAATTAGTTTCATATATTTGAACTGCTGCCCTATATTGGAGTGCATATACAAAGTTACGATTTCTAAAACAAATGTTTTTTTAATCCTTTTCATTGATGTCCTTTTGGATACGCTCATTACAAGTTATGATATGTGCAAGTATCCTAAGTTTCTTCCATAATCACTGAGATCATAAGTAGGTTCGTGTTCTAGGGAGAGGGGTTGAAATTCTTACCACATCTCGACTTGCCAAAGTTGCATATAAAGAAATTAAACCTACAGAAGAGAAGTTTATTAAGTACAGGCAAAAAGTTGTGAAACCAAATACTAGAGACATATAAATAAGGTTTTTTAGTTAAAATGGTCTCAAAGATTTGCATAACACATAACTTTGGTCCTTGAGATTGAAAATCAATAGAAGTGGTCCCTGAGATTGTCCACCATCCATTATTTTGGTCCTTTCGTTAAAAAACTCTGTTAAGTTGATGGCATTTTTAGTCAAAATGATCCCTAAGATTTGCATAACACTTAACTTTGGTCCCTGAGATTGTCCACCATCCATCATTTTGGTCATTCTGTTAAAAAGCTCAAAGACCACTTAACGGAGTTTTTTAATGGTAGGACCAAAATAATGGATGGTGGACAATCTCAGGGACCACTTCTATTGATTTCTAATCTCAGAGACCAAAGTTATGTGTTATGCAAATCTTAGAGACCATTTTGGCTAAAAAGCCTATAAATAAATACATGCACACCATTCTTCATCTGACATAAGATGATAAAGAACGGTGAAAAATGAAAGTATATCTTTTGTTATATCATTAAAAGACACATACCACGGTGTCTGCCCATGAGTTTGACAATTCCAACTATATTTTCCACGCTTTCAACCTCGACATGTGCAGCGTTAATCGCTCTCTGTGCTTCTTCAACAGCAGTATTGAAACCAAATGATTTGTCTATCACCTAAAGCCAAATTTAAAAAAAAAAAAAAAAAAAAAAATCATACAGGTAGATTAATGACCCACTTGACCAAAAATATGTTGCTCATGAGGATTTAGAGTACTCATATTGTGTTTGTGACCTTTCCAAATTCAAAAGTGGCATCAAAATTTTATTGCAGCTTGCAGAAGTTAACAGGATAATGATACTACGAAATGCAAATCATTGTGAACGATAGAACTTACAGCGATATCATTATCAACTGTCTCAGGGATCCCAGCCACTGCGACTTGAAGACCACGTTTCTCAACTTCCTTGACAAAACATGCTAATGTCAGAACATGCTGTGACAAGGAAATGGATTCATCTTATGTTGACTATGTTCACCTTGTATATCATATCAGCTCCTTTTTGGGTGCCATCACCTCCGATTATGTATACCTAGAAGTCATATTAACAACTTCCTCTCATCAACTTCAATTCTTTTATTGGGGTTTTCGCAACCCTACACAAATATGCAAGAAATGAAAGCATATATAATATATCAACCTGATTTATTCCTTGGTCTTGTATGTTATCAACTATCTTGTTCGTATCATGACCTCCTCGTGAAGTTTGAAGTAAGGTTCCACCACGCTTATGAATATCGTTGACAATTTTTGGTGTCAACCGCTATGTATTTTTAGAATAAAATCCCCTATATCCTCCCTGAAAGTTTTCATCATCAGCAAGTTTACAATTCTTGAATTGGTAATATTCTTAAAAGTTTCAAAATCATTAACAGAACTAGTGTTTCAGAGTTAGCAACGTTGTGAACTAAACTAATCTCAATTCCAAGTATATCTTCGACACCATACATGTAATTCAAGCCGCATACTATTTCCCGAATCACAGTATTGATTCCTGGGCATAAACCCCCACATGTCACTAATCATGTTAGTTCCATTTTCCCTAAGCGAACGGTTATGAAGATGAAAAAAATGCACCTTTTCCCAGGGTCCTGCACATCGAAAATGCACCCCCTCTAGGACCCTCCTTTTGAACAACAACAACCTAGAGCCATTGCATAATGCAGTTATTCAAAAGCAACAAAACCCAAAAAGGAGACGACAACAACAACAATCAAGCCTTATCCCACTAAGTGGGGTCGGCTGTATGAATCTTAGAAACGCCGCATGGAAAAAAAGAGACAAACATCAAAATTGAAAATTTGGCAGTTGGATTTTGCAAAAACCACTCACTTTCTGCGCAACCACATCGTCAGGGCTCACAAAAGTTTGCCTACCAACATAAAACAGATTATCTGTATAATTATAGTTACTGAAAAATCTAATTTTCGAGGGAAAAATACCATGAAATTGATAGAATTTTGAATATTGACGCAAGCATAACTTACTTGACAACTGCATAAGCTTGGCTTTGTTTCAATGGATTTGGATATGACTGCAAAAACAGGAAAACAATTATTTAAAAAAAAAAAAGAATTAACACAATTTGCATAGATTTTTTTAAAGTGGTAATTACTAATTAGTAAGGATTACCGGTAAATTAGGGAGAAAATTAGTCAAGTGGGGAACGTCTTAGAGGACGAAGCCGTCGTTAGCCGGCTGAGGATTCAAACTCTGAGATCGGATAGGATGGTTTTGGCGCGAACGGAAGGGAAATCCGAGGAAGCTTCTGGATTTGAAGCGCGGATAACTGAGGGTTTGAAGCGACGGAAGCAACGGAAGCGAAGGAAAATATTGGGATTTGGAGCCGAGCGAATTGGAAGCCGAATATAACAGAGGTGAGGACTTGGTGGAGGAGATAGGAGAGGAAATGGTGGATTCCATTGGAGTTTTCTCAGCGTCTGATTTCGAAGATTTTGAAGATGTGCGGAGAGAGAGAGGGCGGCGACAGCGGATATTTGGGAGGAGCTGCGTTCTGGTCAGCCGCATTTGAATTCCGTTAAGTAGTGGCGGTGAAGGCTATCCGAAACGAAGATTGCCGTTAATAGTGTTTGACTACGAAACGACACCTGTTAGGTCAAAGTAAAGGGGGACTCATGTTGGACTCATTCCCAATTACGATGAAGCCCCTGACGTTCTCATTATTCACAAAATTCACCACTATATTGGGCATCGATTGAAAAAAAAGTAGGTGCAGTTTGACAGTCACATCGTATATTTAAAAATATTTGTATGTCATTACCAACTCGCGAAAATTCTCTCTTATTATTAATTAATAGATAGTCGTGTTATATTATTAGTAGACTGAAGATATTACGTGAAAGTGCACAGGTCATACGATGTATATATGAATCAGGGAAGTATTATTGGCATTCTAATTCTACGTTCCTCACATGTGTATTTTTCTTTTCAAATATAGAATGTTTGGAGTGTAAAATGAGATTTTTTGAGTGCCAATAACAATTTTCATGAATTAATGTTGTGATTCAAGAAAGCTACTTCAAAATTGCATGAGGATTGTAGAAATTTCTTAACATTTATCTCTCCATCCGAAATCCTATAACAATTTACCCCTCCAACCGATTCAGTACACCATACAATTGGTTGGAAACTTTTTATTTTTTTTCTTCAAATTTCCAACCAATTGTGTTATTATAATTTGTATACCAAATCATATTCTCGACACGCTGAAAATGAATTGTACTATTTATAATTCTGTTATAGAAAACGCTTTGCAGATACAAATCCATGCAACCAGAGTTTGCATTGTCTTTCTATAAACGGAAGGAAGTGCAAAAAGTAAGAGGAGATAGTAGCAATAAGAAATGGAAATTTTGCATTTTATAATAAAGGTCTTGGTTCATATACATATACATCGCAAATCACAACGAATATACGAAATTTCTATCTCGTAGCTTGCTTGAATTGAACACATTTGGTGCACAGCTTTTCGGTCTAGTAACCGAATGCCTTCGGCCGCAAGCTGCAATGCACCAATAAAATACAGATACATTCTTCCTTCGGCCAGTTATTGAGACACCATTCAACGGTGCAGATATCACGGATTTCTCTGCACTCAGCGTAGCGTTACTGAAAGAACTAAAGAACCACACAGTAGGCCCACATCGCAATGTCAATTCTTCTAGCGGTCATTAGGTTTTACTTGAGGAAATGATCCATTATATGGCGTATGACATCTTCACCTTCTATATGTACGCTTTGATCTTTGACCTGTAAAATGTTCAGAGTGCATATTTGTTTCTTTAGCGTAAGGTGTGAGCACGCGGGTGTGTGCGTGTGTGTGTGGGAGAGGGAGGGAGAGAGAGAAACCTGAATGACACTATGAGCAGCAAATCTCCGTCTGCTGCTGTGGAAACTAACATCTACTTTTTCCCAAGACACGCGAGATAGGCCTTTCAATAGTTCCTCTGCACCAAACAAGATGTCAAGAAATAAATTATTTAGGGACAACCAATAATAAGCAAGCAACATGCAGACGCAGACAGATACAAGAGCAATGAAATGTAATAATAAAATGTAAGCACATTAGCGAAGTAAGACAAGCAGAACAGCAACAAGCATAGACAACTTCTGTTTACACAGAATTCAACAATTAAGATACTATTGAAAATTGGTAACAAAAGAGAAATGAGTTGTTAACCTTCAAGCTCGCCAGAGCCACCATCTTCTGCTGAAGCAGGCTCACACTGCTCAGCATCATAGGCCTTACAGTGTTCTTCATAAACAATATGCGGATATTTTTCGTCAACAGTATTTTCCCACTGATAAGCAAAAAAATCAAACACTTTAAATGAAAATCAGAAAACCTGACCTTAAGATTACAATTATAAAACCATGCAGATGGCAATACCTTTGGAAGTTCGCTATTACGTCTAATACATGATGTTTTCCAGCCGACAATATCTTTATCGCATTAATTATTGAAAACAAAATGTGAATAAGACATAAAAAATTGGAAAGGGTATAAATATGATCATAGAAAATAGGATACGGTCATAGCCCACGTTTGAATACACCACCCTCCGCTTAAAACTACGCAATGCAGACCTGTCAAACAAAAAACAAATGTCATTCTATAATCTATATGCATGAAATCTCAAGAAACTTTGAATCTCAAATTTACGTTTGGAATATGGATGCAAGTAACATACATGAAATAACAACCATCACAATCTTCTATCATTCGTTTAAGCAATGGAGGCTTCCCATCATCGTCATCATTAAGAAAAAGATGCCGACCTGTTCTCCTAAATATCAAATGAATAACCGCACTAGCAAGTCTTTCAAAGGCAGGTACACCAAAAAGAAATGGCACCTACAGAAGGTGGATTAATTCATAAGTAAAAAGTGGCAAGTGCATATACCAACTGAGTACCACTTAAGAACATAATATAAGATCACCCTAGCATCTTTCACTCCTGCTTAATTAAGCTTTTCAGTATATAAATCCACAGAATTTGACAAACCAATACAAGCCAAGAACTTACTCAAACTTGAGACGTTACAAAACTCTAGGAATTCAAGTACATTCTGAACCAGCAAGTGTTAAAGGAAATTGCGTTACCTGCTTGTTACCCCTTGATCCAAGATGAGGTGTGGCAACAGTTATAAAGTTCAAAGGCTCCAAGCCAGCTAATGTACTCCTTGCATCCTCTTCACATCCATTAGGAGATGAATGTTCCATATTCTCACTTTTAGGTTCCGTATTGTCACTTTTAGGGGGACCGGGTCTATATAGCCTCCCAATTGCATATCTTGCCACTAATCCTCCAACAGAATGTCCAATAAATGAGATCTTTCGTAGATTAGGTTTTTTTCGAGTCAGTTCGATAACCTAAAATTGATAAACTTGGTTAGAAACAGTACAGAACAGGAAGTGGATACATCTTTTCGGGAATGAAAATAGATCCAATATATAAAAAAACACCAGGTGAAAAAAACCTCCTCTGCCAATCGCTCCCCCATTACATCCACACCATCTAGAGTCAGCTTAGAGCCATTCCGTTCACTACCTGCAGCCAAATTTCAACCAAAATTAAGTAGATTGGACAATCACTATATTTTTTTACAAAAAAATACCGACTGCAATAGATCACTTAGAACATTGCACAAATTTCACTCATAAAAAACTTCACTTACAAGTTAAAAGAACCAAAAATATAAGAAACAAGCGAGGGGATCAGAATCCAAAAAGCTCCAGCTTTGGACATATAAAAACAAATTGGATGCACAACACAAAAGAACGTTCCTTACAATGAACAATAACTTTGTCCGGAAGTGTTTTAACAAATTGCTCCGCCCCAAACTTCCAATCCGCGGCACTGCACGAGCAAATGCAAAAACAACATTGTACAAGCATGAGAAATTACCGTACAAGAAACGGACCGATTCAAATACTCAAAAATACAAATTGGAGGAGGTCATGCTCAAAATCTACTTTAACGTACACACAACCAAAGGAGATACTTTCTCATTTCGCCAAATCAAACAACAAACTGCAATCTTTGCCCAATCAGAAAGCATACATTTGTTACTTAAATACAAACATCATAACTACAAACCAAAAACAAAGTCTTGGTACAACTAATACAGATTTAGAACTACCAATTTAACTAAAGAAATCAAATTTATCATACAAACAATATAACTTGTCAATAAAATCGCTAAAAAAATCAAAATTCTCTATCACAGTAAGCATAATCACCAAAAAAACCATCTCAATCTCTCGATAAATCAAGAAAATTTCAAAGTACAGCTAATCAAATCGTGATTATATGATTTTCGCCCCCAAAAAATTGATTAAAATATGAAATTGAAAAGTCGTACGTTCCCATGATTCCATGGACCATGACAACGAGATGATCAGCGGAAGAATATTCGGACTCCTTGGAGCTCCAAACGTAGCGACTCCCAGTAGGCGACTCCGACGAGCAGACACCGTTCTCTACGACGCCGTTTTCCATGGCTGCAGATGACCGCCGTTCGGATACGGGCATTGACTGAGAAGACTGGTGGCGGGACAGAGAGAATCGGAAGCGATCGGGGAAGTTGGATAGAGGCCGATGAAAAAGAAAGGAGGAGAGTTTTTATGTTGAGGGACGTCGGCTGGTGGTTGCGACAGTGAGAAATGATACGGAAAATTGTAAGAAATCTGAGACTGAAGAAAACTGATTTTTCACTCAATATTTTAAAATTTTGAACCAGAAAATAATAATAATAAAAGTCTAACCTATGTACTAACAAAATGTTCTTCTTCATTACAAAAATAGAAATTTAACGAAAAATTTTCGGTACTGTTTACCTTAACGAAAAATCATATTTTTACATTAAAAGTCAATCTTGAATCTAATCACTTTATAATTTATTTAATTTTTATCGTTAAAATTTAAAACTTTCAAACACCTTTTTTTTTTTTAATTATAAAAAAAATTTGATCTTTTATTATAAAATAAAATTGTAATAATATAACATCGTACAAACTAAATTATAATTTTTTTTCTTTCCCACGATGACCACAGCAACCGTCTTCGTAGCCTATCTCTAATTTTAAAAAATAAAAATCTAAACTTCTCTCTACTCCACTTTTTCTCTTACATCTCTCTAACTTCTCTCTCCCATATATTTTCAAAAATAAACAAAAACATAAAAATTGCTACACACAGAGTTTGTGAGCTTAGGCTAATAATACTAACAAAAAAAAAATACTGAAATTCTCTGATGCGTAGAAGTTGTGTGTGCATGGGTTGCACATGACTCGAATCAATTTAGTGACTTCATAACAATACTTTAATTTGACATTGTAACAACAATAATACGACGTCGTAATGATACTGTAATAACAATAAAATCAGGTCATACACAAAACTTCGGCAATGTCATACAGCGTTGTTGAATTATTTATAGTATCGTTATTGTGCCGTTGTAATATGTAGATTGTTGTTGTTAAAGTGTCGTTATGACGTTATTAAATCGAGTTAGGTGGGCAAGAGAGGCAGGAAGAGGGGTTTGCAGATGCACCAGCGTCAATTTTGGGGTTCAAATTTTCATCGGATTAATTTTGAGGGGATAAGCAAATTCATAACACCAGAGTCTAAAATGAATATTTTTATCATACAATAATAGCAGACGGTATCATTAAGATTCGGGAACGCGTTGTTGCGGGAGAATTAAAGGTCGGCTGGCACGCGGGCGAGGCAAGATTTGGCGCTTTGGAAGTTGGGGGCTTTGGATAGTGTAATGTGTCGGTTGTAATTTGCTGACAATAATGTACGACCATGGATTTGCTTGTTCTTTGTAAAATTATTTTACAAGGCCGACATTCGAATATGGCCATGACTGCTGGTGTGGATAATGAGAACTATTACATGATGTTTCAGTGGTTAAAGACAAATTTCATATATGTATTACACATAATATGTTTTTTGTTGAAGTTCTGGTGTTAATGCATCAGTTAGGGTGAGACTGAAATGCTTTTACGAGTCTTCCCGATATGCGAAGATGTGGATTGTTGTGATGAAGGCATCGTCTGATCATTTTATTTTATATAAAAAAAGGATAATATCTTTTACATACATATACAGGCCCTTTATGCAAATGAATTTTTTTTTTTTCCAAAAATAGGGACTAGGTGTGAGACCCACTCCACATTGAACTTCAACGATTTCAACCGTCTAATTTGTAAGTCTCGATTCGTTCATCCTTACAAAACTTCAATTCAATCCAAAATCATTTGCTTATTTAATTATCAAGATAAAATTTCATTGTTTCTTATATAATAAAGTATTCGTTAATTTTTTTGAAATTAGATGTTTTAAATATTTCCAATTTGACTAATATTTTGCAATGATGATCTATGAGGTGCAACTTGAAAAAATAGATGGTTTGTTAAAATTCAATGTCGTGTGGGCCCCATAACTAATCCTCATTTTTATGAAAAAATGGTGATCCCTTCCTTTAAAGACTTCCCATACATACATATATATATATATATTAAATGTAACTGTTATAACGTTACAATTGATAATATGTTAATCTTATTTATACAGCCTGGTGTTACATGATGGATATCGTACATTGATCCCCCATGTTAAATGATAAGCTAAAATAGAGTCGTGACCCCAACAAATGCGTAGTCAAAGGTCGAACTCGTATTGGGAGTTTCAAATCTTTGATAGCTTTCCACTTTTATAATAAAAAAAAAATATTAAGAATTATTGCTATTGTTAAAGGAAGTAATCTTCATATATCCACGATTTTATTTAAGAAAAACTAATGAAAAATGCTTGAAAATTTTGAGTTTTAATCAAAATAACAAAAATGTGTTGTAAGTAAATGGTATCATGAGTGATTTGATAAATAAAAAAAATAGTACCAGAAGTAACTTTTTAGAAGAAAAATATCATTTTCGTTAAAAATGAACAGTACTGTAAGTGTTTCGTTAAAACTTATTTTTATTTACTTTCTAGACAATTAAATAAAGTAAAACATAAAAGTAAATAACATGTACATAAGTCATTTTCTTTGTTGAATCTCAATTTTCTACAAGTTGAAGTTGACTCTCCCTTCCCCCACTCCTAGCATGTGCAAATCAGAAACAAGCATGACTCAACATTTTTTGCTTTGTGGATGGTAGAGAAATATCGGTACGACTTTTTGTTTATGATACTTATACTATACATGTTATGAGCAGAATTGATGCCGGAGGAATTAGAACATCAAAAATTATATAGTTTTACGAATAACATGGTCGGACATTCTTAATGTTTTTTTTTGTTGGATAAACAAAGACAGGGAAGGGAGCTAGGTTAGCTAGGCTGACATGGCAATAGTTTTGACCTTGCTTGAAACTACAATTTGGTCCACTAGCATTGGAATTTCAGATCCCAATTTTTTGTGTAAAACGTGGTATTTCAAAGTTCTGCACTTAACCTCCTCCTCCTCCAACTAACCAGGAAAATGACATGCAACATCAGTTGTTCACCATTAGAATTATTGGAGTAAATTGCGATTTGACTTTCTGAATTATTATATTAGTTGAAGTTGTCCTGTTGAATTATTTTTGTAGTAAATTAATTTGATGAACTATTTAAAATTACCTAATTAGCTCTTTATCGTCAGATTCGGTGAAATTTCCTTCTTTGCAGTCAAATACTGCCAAGTGACTAGCACGTGATTCTCACTTGATGGTAAAGTGGATGAAGCTCATCGAATTTGGCGATGAAGGGTTAATTAACTGATTCAAATAGTTTAAGGGGTTGTTTACAAAAAAAAAAAAAGGAGAAGAGAAATGCTAACGATACTCTTAAATTTGGACTCTTAATTCCCATGCCAACATTATAAAATGTTGTGCTAAAAACATGAGTTGGCTCCTGTATAGTGAGGAGAATTCAGGTTGTGTGGCTTTCTCTTATATGGGTATGTTTTTTCTGACTTGACTCAACTTGACCTACTTGACTTAGTAGTTAGAATATCTCTTTCATATGACGAGAGTCATTGGTTCAAAACAAATAGTAGTTCATAAAGACTCAGAGAGAGTTCCACTTTTGAGAGAGTTTCCTTAACATTTCTCAAAATATAGTTAAGAGGTAAATCTGAATTGAAATAATAGTTGACAAAGTCAAACGGGTAAACGATAGTTTACTCAATCGTTAATCAATGATCATCCAAATGCCTTGGCACCACGTGTATGGACTTATCTTATATATGATGCGATCCGTTGTAGCATGCCCTACCACCCAAGACGATTGCATTCATGTCAAGCCAACATAATTTTCAATACTGTCCATTTTCATAATGACGGGTAAATGTTATTATTAGCTAGGCAAAAATAAATTCCTCAACTAAAAAAAAAAAAAAGAAGAAAAAAAAGAAGAAGATAAATTTAACCATAATCGAAACATTATTGTCGTAGTATTCTAAACTAATTGATCGTTGTCATGTGTAAAAAGTTGAAACACGTAGCAATATTGTAGTAATTTGGGTTGGGCTACGAACAATGCCACTATGACAGATTGACAGTACGTAAACTCTACAAAAATCATATTTTGAGATTCGTCATGCGGGTTTAGCGAGTCAAAGTCAAGTCAATTTCATATGCGCACTAACGATAATTAAGATGCACTTGTGTTAGTATCCCAAACCTATTGAGCATCGTTAAATGAAAAGGTTAAAATATAAGGCAACGTTTGATTGATTTAGCACACTGTCATTGGTGACATCCAATGGGTACTAGTACTAATCCTCTGAAAGGAAAAACAAATACGAGGGAAGGGGCACCAATTTAATCACACTGTTGGATGTTCCAACTGGAACAAATGGAACATCCCAATGCTACATTAACACAGTACACAGGGGGAGCAAGGAAAACTGCTTAATTGTACATTCTACAAATTTTTACAACAAACTCTGGAAAATTGCTAACTGCCTCAATCATCCGAGCTATATTCACTCGATTCAGGAAGAACGGCAACAGCAGCGCAGCAAAACAACTCTTTATCCTTCAGGAGAAGACAGCTTCCATCTGAATTCCATTTTAGATCAACTATGCTAAACTGTGGTTGCGGCGGGATGCTCACACAGTAGGCACCACCAGGAGTCCACATGTACAGATGAGAACTTCCTGTGCAAACAACAAGACGAGTGCACGTAGGATCCCAAACTGCTGCACGAATAGGATCTTTCTGCACCAAGATAGCAGCGAGTTCAAGATGGCGTATGTCCCATATCCAGAGAATGCTTGGCATGCTATCATTGCGGGTACAGATATATTGGCTATTGTTGCTCCATGACATTAGACCTGCAGCAAAACCTCATAGCTTTAGCCATATGTCATACAATGAAATCCTGAACAATTTTGAGGCACCACCTAAGGATACTAAGACCATTACTCAAACAAAATCCCTCACCAATACGTGGAAGGTGCATTATACAGTGTACCAAACCCCGTTCATCGATGGAAGAAATTTGCTACCTATAAGGCTGATAGTACCCCCCACATCAAGATCATCTATCCTCCAACCGGTTAAAATAATTCAATGGATAAAAATATCGTTACGCGAAGTCAATGAATAAAGGCAGCTGACACCGCTGCCAAGGGATTCTGTCACATCTGATGGCCTCAGTTGAGGACATTTAACGTTATCTGACGGCTAGGTCGTCTAAGTGCATCTTCTCCTATCTAATGTAAAGTGGCTAGAACATAAACCAGTTTGATTGTCTTCATATTTGACTGTTTACAAACTTTGTATTCATTTGCATCAGACAGTACAAGAGGGAGCAAGGGCTTACCAATTCCCTGTTTGGGGTTAGGCTTGTCTACAGGAGGCTTCTGAAAAGGCAAATTGATGGGCATTTCTGTAACTTCGTATCTGACTCTGATGTGTCCTTCATCTACTTGAAATGAAACAAAAATCACGGAGGGAAAAGAAAAGGGGATCAAATCAAATAAGTCTTGCATATTAACAGAAGGATCCGTGATTCCCTGGGTAATTTATCTATCATGAAAAAGACAGGCCACTGTGCTACACTCAAGAAGAATGTAGAAGGCTAGTGCATGCAGACAAATAGTACAGCACATTATTTGCATACTCTGATCACCTTTTATAAGTTAAAAAGAACCGTACCAACATGGCAACATCGTGCTTACCATTATTGCCTTCTGCAAAATCATCACTTATACTTAGCTCAGACATATCAAGTAGCAGTGGCTCATCTACTTCCTGGCATTTAGACATTAAGGGGGTGAGAAATCTTCCAATAAACTAAAAGAACATGATATCTGCCTATCTCAAATATTAACAAGCAATAACCTTAAACACGGCAGCACAGCAGGGAGCACGGACAGTAGATAGATGCATAAATTCAGCAAAAGTCTTCCAAGTCAAGTGATTCAAAACCCGCAACATCTGGTCATAACTACCCACTGCTAGAAACTGGCCACATGGAGACCATGAAACACTTTTTACGCCCAATGCACTTTCGTATGCTTGATACTTATATAGGCACCTCCCATCTGGTGAGTATATTAGAACCTGTATCAAACCACACCATGAGCTTTTACAAACTAAACCATGATATAACTACCGCAAATCTTTGTGCCTTAACAAAGACAAAAGAAATGAAGTTCTAACCTTATATTCTAGAGGAGAATCCCATATCACGATTGCACTGTCATCTGGTGACCATTCAATATCGGCCAAGTCCAATGTGTCCACAGCAAATACACCCATTATTTCCCATGTATGACAGGATAGAAGATTAATATAGTCCTTGCAATCACGCCTTGTGCAAATTGCAGCAAATTGCCCATCTTTGGTAAAAGAAACTCCCTTGGAAGGATGCTTTGGCCATTGCACATGTACACATGCTGTGTTTAACAGCGACCAAACTGTTAACCGCAGTTGGAAGTCTGATGTGGTAATTATGTGACGGCTATCTGGGCTCCACCTAGCATAGGCAATACCGGCAGGACCTTCATCTATCTTGCATGTCCATTCAGGTTGGGCCAGTGACCATGCTTGTATCATTGGTCTTTTATATAGACCACAAAGAATGTATTCAGAATCAAGCGCCCATTCGATATAGCTTATCTTATCCAAACATGAAAACAACTGCACAACCTGCATTAGAAATGGCATATAATTATATATCAGACAACTTACTTTCTAGATAAACGAAATGGAGTTCAGCAATTCAAATTTGAAGTCAGATATAAATTGTTGCAAAACATCACTGCATGTGAAGAGTGCAGAAACCTGTTTCAACCATTTTTTCCTATTGTGTGTGTTCAAACCCTTGAAGGTAAAACTTTGCCTCCACAAAGTCCAAAACCTTATAACTGCTTATGAACCCCACCGTACAATTTTTCCCACGGTAAAAGAGTAAACAGATCAGAATGGAGCATTACTCTATGGATTAGTTTACCTCAAATTACGGTTGAAATCATCGGTCTATATAAACTCTCTATGTGTAAGAAACATGGAAATAAATATCCTCGGATTTTCAAATATTTACTTGTAGAGAGCCTGAAGGAAAACATGCCTCATGAACTCACTCAAGTTTCAAGTTTTTCTCTGACAAAACAATATTTCATGATTTCCACTATCGCTGTTGCACAAGCTCCTAAACACTACTTTAAGATCATTCAAATTTCATGAATACATAGCGGTCCAACATTTGCTTTGAATCGCATGGCGAAAAACACATACTGAGACTGTTGTGATCCCTGATCAGATCATCGGCATTAAATTAAGTTCTGCTATAAATGAAGAACAAAATCTAACTTCTATTCAAATTTCTCAGCAATCAAACAGATTACATCATACTGAAGCTACAACACTACATCTTGTTAGTCAACAGCTAAATGCAACGGCTGAGATCTACAGAAATTTAACTATGTAAATGTACCCAATCGAGCCAGCTCAATTGCGCACCATATGGTTGATTTTGTAAATGCAGAGAGATAAAAAATGAACGAATTAGGACATATGGAACTTCATTTTCCTGGCATTTTCTCGGCAACCAAACAGAGCAGGAAATAAATTTACTAAATTCAAAAAGCAAAATGATAATAGAAAACCTTAAAGGAAAGAGTGTCGCGAATGACAAGGCGGTAGTCGACGGCGACGGCAATGTAGCGAGCATTAGGCGAGAAGCAACAAGGACCGGTCTGCTTGTAAGCCTCTGTAAACTCCATTCACATTCAGATCAAAATTTCCGGAGCACAGCACTCCCTGCTACCTTATATTTCAATTGTAGGCTTTCATACAAGCTGCGAAATGAAGTACTGCGGTGGTCGCTGTGGCGGCGGCGGCGGCGGTGGTTGCTGTTGCTGGAGATTTTTTGGTGGAGTGGGTTTAGATCTGCGAATGTTGGGGGATTTTGGTTTGAATTTCGAACGAAAGATGAGAGATGGGCCGAGACTAAAATCAGTCGGCCCAAAGTGGTATTTTAATTTTTTTGCGGCTTCGGCGCTTGGCCGGCCCTTTGTTTTGGGCAGGAAACTACTGTCAAGGGTAAATCAGACCAGCGAGCGATCGGTTCGGCTCGACACCTATTTTCAGTAATAAATCAATTAGCTGGTTTAGTACAAATTAGGTGTCGAGCTAATACGAACATTTGCTCGGAGTGATCTGATTTACCATTGACACCTAATTCGAACTAAATTTGCTAATCAATTTTATTATGAAAAATAGAAAATAGAAGTTTCATAAATGCTTAGGTGACAAATCGAAATTAGAAGCACCCAATTTTTCAGTATGCTGAAAAATTGTTCGAGAAGTGCATCAGATCGCGTTTCAACCACACTGAAAAATTTTTTCATGACCGGAGATGCGAGGATGGGGCGGCAATCCAATGCCACGTCAGAGGGAGGGGAAGTCCGGCGGTTTTTCTTAAAGGGGCAGAATGGGAAGCTCAACGTTAATTGGGTTGGAAGAGCATAAATAGCGGGTGCAAATAAAAACACCGTTTTCACAGTTCCTGCAAGTGAACGCATTAACCGCCACCATCACCCGCAAACTTTAAAAAGAACAAAAACCCTAAACCCTCCAGAGGCGCCTCTGAGAGTCAGTCACCGTCCCCAAACCAAAACCCTAAAACCTCTGGAGCCGTACGAATATTCCATACAGAACTCCATTGACTAAGTATTCATCAGCTTCTAGAGAGAGAAAGAAAGGAGAGAGAGAGACATGGCGACCTCGATTGCTGCTCAGCTAGAAGCCATAAAATCCGTGATACAAGCCGACACGGAGCCGTCGGGGTCCAGCAAGAAGCCGTTCACCCGCCCTTCCATTCTCTTCGACGCCAAAGAGGCCGCCGATATCGATGTCCACACCATTTTCTCCATAGCACTCCAAGGTCACTCTTCTTTTTTTTTCTTTTTTTGCTGTTTGTTTCTCGAGAAAATATAAGAGGGAAAATCGCTGATGCTCGCTATTGAAGTGAGCTAGTAATGTCTATAAATTGGCCTGTTAGTGTGCGTTTTGGATTCAATTTTTGTAGGAGTCAAGGCAAGCAACTTAATTTAGAGTTCAGTTTCTATTTTTTCCGCTAAATTAGTTCTTAAAATTGAATTATGTCTCTATTTTCAGGTCTGGAGGTCCTTGTAAGCGTTGACGAGCGATTTAGAATCTATAAGAATGACTTGTTCAGCCAAAAAAGCAAAGATTTGGATAGAGAGTTGATGGGCATTGAGGACAATAATCGGATTAATGCTTCGATTAGTTCGTACTTACGGTTACTCTCAGGACACTTTGAGCTGTCATCATCAATCAAGACACTTGAGTACTTGATACGCAGATACAAGTAGGTGTTCATGTCAATTGTCTTTATTTCCTTTTTCAAATAATTTATGGGAAATTATCATCTCATGTTGTATCTGGGAATTTCAGGATTCATGTCTACAACTTTGAGGAATTAATTTTGTGTGGTTTGCCATACCATGACACCCACATTTTTGTTCGAATAGTTCAGTTGATTAACTTGAGGTTTGTAAGTTATAATTCTTCTACATTGTTCGTCATTTGCTGAAGTTAACAGAATTGACTTGATATTTCATTGTGATTCAGAAATAGTAAATGGAAATTTCTGGACGGCGTAAAAGCTTCTGGTGCACCACCACCTAGAAACGTTATAGTCCAGCAATGTATCCGTGATAAGGGGGTTTTGGAGATTTTATGCAACTATGTGAGTGTTTGCAACTCTAATTGGTTGTTTGATTGCGTTATTGTCATGATTCTTTTTTATAAAAAAGGAGTTCTTTTTAATGACTGTTATCCTACAGGCATCCCCATCAAAGAAGTATCGCCCTTCAAGGACCGTGATAAAATTTTGCATGGCAGTTGTTATCGAGGTTTTGGGTTCTGCTACATCCGTTGACAGTGATGTTGTGAAGAGAATCCTACCGCTTGTTGCTTCTGGACTTGAGTCAGGCACAAAAGGACATCCAGAAAATAAGGTGAGGCTCCACAAATTTTCATTTTGGAGATTTTAGCAGCTCCTGAAACCATTGTGCATTTGTTAAAACTGTACCAAAAATAGAAGAAGATTATAGTATGCTTTCTAGACACATACAAGGAATAGGAAAGCACAAAATATTGAAGGATGGGCTGAACTTGGATTACTTTGCCACGTTACCATGTTCCGTTCGTCTTGCTCTGGGCTGCCTCTGTGATTTTTGTTTTCTTTTTCAGCTATGAAGTTTAAATTATAAATTCATTTTGTAGGCCGGAGCCCTGATGATTGTTGGTTTGCTAGCAAGTAAAGTTACATTATCTCCCAAGCTTGTGAAGAGTTTGATCAGGTCAATTGCTGAAATTGCTCGAGAGGAGGCAAAAGAGTCGGCTGATCTTCAGTTGTTTCGCTTATCACTTATGACTTTGATCAACCTTGTTCAGGTACTGCTTTGTTCTGATATGCAGTAGATTGTAGCATTATTCCTGAATTTTACTGTGTCATTTCTCCTTGAATACTGGCTGACGTCTTTATAATAGATCATCTTTTTGGTTGGGTTGTGGTCATTGTCCCTTAATCCAGTGATCTTCCTATAACCCTCTTTCTTAATTGTTTTAAAGAAAAATGAAAATCCTTCAGTTAAGAGTCGTTTTATAAGAGTTACTGAATTTCCCTGATTAGTAATATGGTTTTCTGCTTGTATGTATATATTTTCTTAAATTTCTTGTACTTATATGTTTCCATGAATTTTTTCAGTTGCAAGCTGTGGATATGTTCCCAATCAAGAGTTTGGAGATTTTTATGGGCATTAGGTAGTTCTTGGTTCCAATAAACTTCCATAAAGTTTAATACCTTCTGCAATTAGTTTCATGTTCTCTAAGGTTATTTTCTACTTTAATTTTGAAGGGATATCGCTGGAATACTTTTGGGACTGTTTAACGAGTTCAATATTGATAGATTCATTTTGGTGCTTTTGGATTCTCTGGTTGATTACAGGTTAGAATCCAGTTTAATTTTCACTTATTATTGTAGACATTTCAATTCTCCTTCCTGTTTCATTCAACTTTGATCATTTATTTGCAGTTCGTCTAATGAATCATGTCAGCTTGCTTTGATCTCGGTATTAGAGACAATTCCTTCCAAGAGTTTTGTTCAACATGTAGTTGCTAAGGTCTTATCATCCTGCTTGCAAAATTCACAGAAAATAACAAATTCAACATCATCAATATCAGGTATTTTTGTTTTAAGTTTTTTATTTTTATTTTTAAAATTTTTATTCATGTTATATCTTTACAGGCATTCTTGTTCTGCTCTCTTTTTGAAAGTTATTGTTTAATGTGCCCATTCTTATGACCGCACTTGCTTTTCTTGTCATATGATTATGGAGCTGTTGTGTAAACATTCTTCTGTGCAAACTATTTTTAACTGTTTCCTATGCATTTCTCATCATAATTTTTGGTTGCCTTCTAGGAAGCTGGGTGAAGAAAATCTTAATTGTTCTTAGCAAGAAATATCCATCTGAACTACAGGGAGCGGTTCAGAAATTTCTTGATGTATGTTTCCGACCTTCGCTCTCTCTATACCCATGCATGCTTTCTTTGTTCTTGTTCAGGGTATTCTGATTTGACTTCTTGGACAGGAAAAGAATGTGCAAACGAAGAAAGGGGGCTCAGTATATGAAACTTTGGGTAAAATGTTGGATGGTAACTTGGACACGTCACTGGCTTTTTCGGAATCAAAAATTTGGTTTGGGTTGCATCATCCAAAGGTATTCTTGGTATCATCACATTTCTATTTCTATGTATGAATGTGTATGCTGTCAAGAAGTTGTGGAAGCAATATCCTGATGTAAGCTTGTGCTATTGTGTATTTTTGTAATGTGGCCTAGGCTGATGTTCGTCGCCGTGTACTGTCTGCATTGGGCACATCAGTTGTCCTGGAAGCCAAGGCTACTAATCCACAGGTAGTTTTGTGGTTGCAAAATCTGAAGAAGATATTGTTCAATTTTACTAATGCTGCATCAACCAAGTTGCAAATGTATCCAAATTTAATGTTTTGTTAGTTTTTCTTGATGGAGATGCTATTTGCAATTTCCCAATGCTTGTGATTTCTGGGTTATTGTTTTCACATAACTAAGGTCTTTTGGTAGTTTTGAAGTAGTTTTTATTACGTAATTAAATTTATTTAATTTTGTTGTTTTGTTTAGTATTTTTTTGGTATAATATAAATCTGGTTGGATTTGCTTACTAATTAATGGGCACGTTTTCCTTTTCTCTTTTCGTGGTTGATATAATTAAAGTGTTCAACACTTAAAACTGGAAGTGTTTGTGTGCAAGAAGAGAGGGGGAAGTGCTGGGGGAGGGGGGTGTTTGATATTCATGCATATGCATAAGCATTCTGTTACTTTCAGTGTCAAATCGTCCTGGCTTAGTTCATGATTTTATTTTTCTGTGTGCCAGAGTTTTGTAACCATCCAAGATGCCATATTGCGACAGCTTCATGATGATGATCTTACTGTTGTGCGGGCGGCTCTGTCTGTAGAGAAATTGTCCACTATAATAAATTCTTCCAATCTTGTTGAAGCACTGGATAATGTTCTTAAAAGATGTTTTAGTATTCTGATATCAAGTGAGTAACTATTAATTGAATGCTTTCCCTCCATATTTTATTCTCTCATGTTGAGTTTCCCTTACGCTGGCATGCACATGTCTAATTTTCAATCTTTTTTTCTTGCAGGTTCGTTGGAGAACACCAGTCTAGCATGTGATGTTGCTGTTTTGTGCCTGAATAATGCTAGCTCTGATATCCATGATAATGTTGACCATTGCAATATACTTGCTGCCATGATATTTCCTCTACTCCTTGTTCTGCCTAAGGTTGTTTCCTTTTTGTCTAAGACATCAAATTTAATCTACCATTCTCCATTTCTCCAGTTCTTGCACCGACAAGTTGAAATTTTATTAAAAGATTCATGTTTCACCGTGTACAGACACAAAGGTTAAATTTGAAAGCTTTGGAATTAGCTAAGGAGGTAAAATGGCCACTTTTTGAGAATCTTGCTGGCGCAGCTTCCAGTACAGCAATTGTAAGTCATCTCGTTGTTAGCTCCACCATGTTTGCTCTCTTCAATTCTTTTCTTCAATTTACCATGAGTTGGGTAAAATGTTAAATAAGCTTTTAGAAAGCTGTGTGCTTGTGTATGGAGTGTAGTCTCTATTTCTATTTTGATTACTTCGTTTTTATTTTTGAGTTATGCATGGTTATCTGGTAGTGGTAAGTGCAATCCATGTGAAATGAGTAACTCTGAAGTTGTAAACCTGAATATAGGCATCACAACCAGGAAGGCTGTCCTCAATTAACATGGACACCATTACTGGTCTGGCCAGCAAGTTCTTGTTGCACCCTGAAGAATTTATGCCGTGGCTTATTAATAATGCTAATGCCTTCGAGCCGTCAAGGACACTTTTTTTCTTGGTGATGATGCAGACACTTGTTATTCAGAAGAACGGTAAGTTCTCTTTTTCCATTCTATATCAGGAATCAATCAATCAATTTTTCTCTTGCGGTGGAGTTTTGAACCCTTTTTCTGTGTTTTCACTTGTGAATATATGTATTGCCAATTGAATTCTGAAATGACTTCTCCCTACTTTTTGTACTTCTATTCTTTTAGCATAATTGCTGGTTTGTGTATCTTCTATATCAATGTCTGTCCCTGTTGTTCTTGTCTTCCTCTCCCCTTTCTGTTTTGGCACTTAAAGAAATTGATTCTAGTTTTGTTCTTTATGCGTCAGAATCTGATGAAACTTTGGCCCTTTTCAAAATTGGGTTTCCTGCACTAAAGACCGAATGGGAAGCATTTGAGTCTGTAGGTGATAGCTCTATAGAGGAGGTATGAGAAAAACTCTCTGGAGCTAGCCTGAAATTTCAACTTCCAAATCTTACATTGATGCTGATGAGCTTTGTTGTTCCATATTTTTGTAGTTCGATACAGAGTTGCTAAATTGGGATTGCAGAACGTTCCTTGATAAGCTTGATTCCAATTTGAAATCATTAAATGCAAATATTCTCCTATGCCTAGTTTGGAAGTTAATGAAGGCATTTTTGTCCGTGATGCCTGCAAATGTCTCCGTGGTAAGTGATTCCTTATGTGGTCTGCTTCTTGAGACTAGTACGTTAAGTGGTCATGGATACCTCTTGTAAAACAATGGACATGGGGATCACATCTGTATCTATTTGTGTTGTTATCTCTACTAAATGTGATATATGTTTTTTTAATTATTGCAGGATGATGATAAGAAGTGGGTTAGCTGGCTTAGGGACTTGTTTGTCTTTTTTTCAGTTTCTAAATTTAAGAAAGTTTTCAAAGAACACCGCCATTACCTTGTCACAAAGTGCAAGGTCTCTGCTGTTTGCTTCTTGCCCAAGTTTTTCACAGAAGAAGGTGAATTGCTACCTTTCGATATATCTTCTGTGACTTTCTTTTGCTTTCCTTCTTTTGGAGCTTTTGATTCTTTGGCATTATTGTTACTCCGTATTTCTTTGCTCAAGGATCATCTTGAATTGACATATTGTGTGATTCACTTTACAGATGTTCCAGTTGCGGTCCAAGTTGAGAGTCTTAATTGTTTTACATATATCTGTCGTCAACCAGAAGTTAGATTGCCAATCCAACTTCTTGCGGAATTTCCATCTGTTCTTGTTCCATTGGATAGTTATAATCAGGTACCTTGGCGGTCTTTTCTCTTTTCTTATTGTATTTTCCCTTGGCTGACTAGATGAAACTATTTGGAGTAAAACGGTTAATTGGTTAGCTGTTTACTTCCCTGTCAAGTGTTTTTATTATGTTCTGCGTTTCATTATGCTATAAGCACAGGCAGTAAACTTCGTTTGCTGGGATTTATTCTCGGTTTGTGCCCTTCTTCCAGGATATAAGAAATGCTGCCATGAGCTGTATTGAGGGGTTACTCACACTTTGGGCTCATGTTGACTCTTCGAGCAAGAAAAATGGTATTACTTGGAATAAATACTTTTTACCCTTGTCCATTTTGTTTTTATAAGTGCCTAACTGAGCTTGTAAAATGCCAGGAAACCATGCAACTTGGATACATTTTCTTGGTAAGCTTTTGGACTTGGTGGTTCAGCAAAAAAGACTCATCTTATCAGACAAAAACTTTCTTCCTTCCCTTTTGGCCTCTTCGCTCAGCCCATCCTACGAGAGCTTCATGTCACCAAAGAATATTGAGCTAAGGTGATATAGTGTTGTTATTTTTGCCTTTGTATCACTATTTCATCTTACACATTCATCTAGGATGAGCCTTGGTTTGTTGCTTCTAACTTGGCTGTTGAAGAAATTTGTCTTCAATTAATTTCTTCCACGGTTGCATTTCTTATGAAAATGTTCGCTTTGTTATGTTGGTGATGCGGTTAATATGCTCTAAAGTTCATTGTCGAGCATGATAATAATACATTTGATTGTTAACTTTAACACGGAGTTTTTTGTAGGGTTGATCAATCTACAAGAGAGAAGATTCTTGCTTTCATTTTAAATTCCGCCCTGAAACTGCCTGATTATGCAAAGGTTGTTTTTGATCTGCTGTTACCTTCCAAATCCTGCTCTTCTTCTAAATGCTTTTTGTTATTATTACTATTGTTTTTCAAAATTACCATCAGCTACATAGGAATTAATGGAGTTGATTGTTTCTGTCAGCTTTCAATTTTATCTTTGCTTAAAGGAATGGGCAATGCCATTTTACATGATAGAGAGATGAAGTCATTTTTATCACTGCTTTTGAAGAGACACAGTCAAGATTGTGTCTCCAGCCGTAGTTTGTCAAAAACTGAAGTTCAGATACTATGCCATCTACTGGAGGTAAGTCAACGATGTTCTCAAAGTATTGTTTGACTTTATGCACACATACTTCATCTTACTTTTACTCTGTAATGAGAAACTTGGCTTCTTCCTATTCTAGAGTTGTGCTATGCCTTCTTCATCGGATAAGCATGTTTCAGAGGATCATTTGTTGGAGGCTTTGAAGGTGAGAAACTATCAACTAGATTGTTGTGCATCCTGGTCATCAATGTTAAATCCTTTAACCTTACATGTGTTGACATTACTTTTTGCTATTCTAGTTGGATGGTTTGGCTCCAGAAGACCCTGCTGTTATACAGCCTTGTCTAACTGTTCTGCAGAAGCTTAACGGTCAAATATACAGTGGGCTAGAGACAGAAATACAGGTTAACTTTTCTGTTTTTGAAGAATTATGCATGTATGATGTATGTTGCTTGGGCAACATCAATGAGCTCTTTTGATAATTTGTTAATGTGTTTTTTTATATTCAAAAGTATGAATTTGAAGTAAAGATTCGTCTGTAGGTCACTAACAAGGGTAAATTACAAACATGTGACACCTATGTTAGTTCTCATTGTTTTTCCCTGAATTCCCTTATCTCCAGACGTAGCCACTGAACATTGACATCCTGTGAATTGTTAAACTGTTCTTATTTGTCACTTCACTGAAGCATAGAGATTTGTCCATGAATTGGAGATAGCAAATCCAGATAGGCTAAATTTGTCATCATTTTTTTGTATTGTGCAGGACCTTCTGTTTCGAAGACTTCTTTCTTTATTTCGGAATGCTAATGGTGATATTCAAAACGAAACTAGAGCGGCGCTGCTGCGGTTAAATGTTTGTTCTTCCTTCTCTGCCTCTATCTCCTTTTTTCTTTTTCTTTTTCGGGTTAATTTTGTGCTATTTGGTTTTGCTTTGCTTCATATGTTGTCAGACTAGCTAGTTTTGCCTGAAAAATGTGATGCTAGAGATAACTAATATATTTTTTGAACATTCAGCAAGTCTGTGATTGAGATTGGGTACTTTTTCTTGGAGTTGATTTATGTTTAGTTCATTGAACCATTGTGCATAGCATACAGCTCATTTGCATACGTTTGGATGTATCAGATTACCTGCTCTACTATCATTCGGACACTTGATTACATAGTTAAAGACAGAACTGGTACAGTGCATGGAAAGAAGAAAATGAAATTAGTAGGTCATCCGAAGTCCAGCCAGTCCCATGATTTGTCATGTAATGGAGAAAATGCGCTCTCTCTCCTTGGATCCCTCCTTGAAGTTTTGCTATTTAAGAAAGACATAGAGAACAGGTTGGTACTTTCTTATGCTACCACTGTTTTTAACAAACTAGAAAGTGAGGCTTTGATACCTTTTTTAGACTAATTGCTTTCAATTTGTTTGTTGTAGGGATTCTCTTTTGGGGTCACTATTTAAACTTCTTTCCAAAACATTTTCTGATGAGTGGGTAGACGGTGTTCTTGACCAGGATGAAAAGTGTATTCAAGTCCCTTCTAGCAATTCTGACTCTTTGTCAAGCACAATAAGTTCCATACAACAGACATTGCTGATAATCCTAGAAGATATTTGTTCTTCTCTAACACATTCAGTTTCATTGGGGGTATGCTGCGATATTTGGAATTTGAATTTGTTTTTCAGAGATGCTGACCGTACCATATTTTTATAGAGTTTAGTAGTTTGCATTTCTTTAATTTTGTATCCTTTAATTTTGTGGCAGGATGACATATTACATGAGATTGATGTCAAAATGTTGGTTGAATGCGCCCATTCTGCAAAAGATGGAGTTACTCGCAACCATGTATTTTCACTGATTTCATCTATCACAAAGATTATTCCGGAAAAAGTTTTGGAGCATATACTGGATATTTTTACTGTTATTGGTGAAGCAGCAGTCACACAGGTTTGTTGATATACTTTACTGTTTTTAACTAGCTAATGTTGTGCCTTGCACTGTCAACTTCTGGCCTGAGTTCTACTCTCTCACTGTGTAGAATAGTCATGGTTTATATTTTATTGTGTAGATTGACAGCCATTCACAGCGTGTGTTTGAGGATCTTATATCTACAGTTGTTCCATGCTGGTCATCTGGGTCAGGCAACAATGACAAATTGCTCCAGGTAATTTTTTACTGTTTTCAATGGTGAAGCTAGCAACTTGCAATGGGGGTTAATGTTTGTAACTATGTTGTGATTTCATTGGCTCTTCAGATTTTTATCAATGTATTGCCTGAAGTTGCCGAGCATAGAAGGCTATCGATCATTGTATACCTACTGAGGTACTGTTGGTTTAAACATTATTGAAATTCATCTTATTTTACCTTTTTAGGTTCCGCTTATGTTGTATGTTCATATGCAGGACCTTGGGAGAGGCAAATAGTTTGGCTTCATTACTTGTCCTTCTCTTCCGTTCATTGGTTACACGAAAAGGATTATTTTGCTTTGAGAGCATGCATACTTCAGATAGCTCCACAGCTTCATTACAGAGAGAGTGGGAATATTCTCTGGGTCTTCAAATATGTGAGCAATATTCATGCATGATATGGCTTCCCCCTTTGGTTTTGATGCTTAAACAAATAGGAGCTGGTATTCAGTCTCAAGAACTGTTTATCGAATTGTTAATTGCTATGCGATTCACCTTAAACAAATTGCAAGATCCAGAATTTGCCTTCAAGCTTGCATCAAGGGAAGATTCAGAAAAAATTCAGGTACTGATTTTTCACAAAAAAGAGTTCAATATAATAAGAATGTTAATTTACATAGGCTAATTAATAATGATGGGATCTGTTAAATTGATCAACAAATATCTTCCTTATTGTTATTAATATTTTTTTCCTTAGAAATTAGTTGATATCTATGTTTTGGTATGTCCTTCGTTAAGGTTGAGTGACTGTTTTCTGCTAAAATATGCAGGCTACGCTGGAAGAGCTCATGGAGCAGGTTGTCTCTATCCAGCAACTTGTGGATGCAACAAGGAAGAAAAGGAGTATCCATGTTTCTGTTAGGAAAGAGTTGAAGGAGTGCATGCATGCTGTATTAAGGACTATTACAGTGGTCATGATGCCCCAGACACACTTCAGTGGTATCACTAAGTTGCTTGGCCATACAGATAAAAATGTGGCAAAGAAGGTACTTATTGTATTCTACTTCTAGGACTTATAAATGTCTATAAGCATGCATACGTATTTATGTGTATCTGTATATGTATTTGAAAACCTGAGTAGGATTTGGAGGCTGCTAAGTATCAATTACTGTAATATGCCATAGTTCAATTTAACTGAAGTGTGAGATATCATTGACAACTGAGTTAAACACCAATTTGTGTGATTGGATATTTTAGCACTTCTTGTTTCTGCTTTAAGTTAGGTTGACAAAATTGGAAATTTGTAAAAAATGATTTGGCCTGAAAGTGTAAAAAGTAAAAGACTAAATCATAGTGCAAGAACTGGATACTTGATAACGATTTTTGTAGCAAGAAAACCTTGAAACAACTGGCTGAAAAGCAGATACTCATGACCCTGTCCTGCACCCAATGTGTAATCATCTCATGATATAGTTAGCAGTCGAATAGTGGTTCCTTGGTCTATTAATATTTTCTTTGCTTACAAGTGCCTTGTAATATCAATTATTCAATTTGCATTATGATAGGGAGTATATTTTTTTTTCACGTTAAGTTCAATTTTTGGGCAGGCACTTGGACTCTTGTGTGAAACAGTTAGGGAGCATGACATGGTCCGACCAAAGCAAAAACATAAATCCATTTCCAGTGATCGGTGGCAGCATCTGGACGAGAATTCTCTTGAATCGTTTCACAGTATGTGTTTGAAAATTGTTCAGTTAGTTGATGATTCATCAGATGATGTGGAAGTCTCCTTGAAGGTGGCAGCGGCTTTGGCTCTAGAAGTTCTGGCCCATAGGTTTTCTTCTAATCATTCCATCTTCATTGAGTGTCTACCATATGTAACAAAAAATATCAGTATGCACGACTTGGCAGTGTCCTCTAGCTGCCTTCAAGCAACTGGTGCTTTGATTAATGTACTCGGGCACAGGGCACTATCTGAGCTTCCTCACATAATGGAAAACTTGATTAGGATTTCTCGCAAAATATTTTTATCTTCAGATATGAAAACCATATCTGGTGTGGGTGGCACGGATATTGCGTTACAAATACCAAAGGAATCTCTTATTTTATCTATTCTAGTCACTTTGGAAGCTGTTGTAGTTAAGCTAGGAGGTTTCTTGAACCCCTATCTTGAAGAAATTACAAGAATTATGGTGCTTGATCTTGATTATGCGTCAGGGTCTGATCCGAAACTGAAAATGAAAGCTGACTCAGTTCGAAGGCTCATCACTGAGAATATCCCTGTAAGCATCTGAACAATGTTTTTATTGTATTATTGCTTATAGGAAAATGGGTTTTCCCCTTATTATGTCATCTCACGTAATATCAATTCCGGTTATCTTATCCAGGTTCGACTTGCCCTACCGCCCTTGCTGAAAATATACTCTAGTACGGTTGAGTCTGGTGATTCGAGCTTAGCAGTTTATTTTGGAATGCTGGAAAACATGATTGGTAGAATGGATAGATCATCTGTTAGTGGTTACCATGCTAAGATTTTTGACCTCTGCTTGCTTGCTCTTGATCTACGTCGCCAACATCCTGCATCTGTTCAGAAAATTGATGATGTAGAGAAGATTGTGTTCAATGCAATGATTGCTCTCACTATGAAACTCACTGAGAGCCTGTTCAAGCCTCTTTTCATTAGGAGTATTGATTGGGCAGAGTCAGATGTGGAAGATATTGCAAGTGTGGGAAATATACCTAGGGCTATATCTTTCTATGGTCTGGTAAATAAACTTGTTGAGAACCATCGGTGAGTCAGTTCTTCCTGTCTGTGCTTACAGTTACCAGAAGTTACTTGTAGTGATTTGATTGCCCTTCTGTGTTTTGTGTGTGTGTGTGTGTGTCTCTGGTGCCTGTCTGTGAATTTGGTTTACGATTGGGGCCCTTGATTTCAGAGATTGGGTTGAATATGTGATGCTTGACTGCAACAAATAATAGTTATTTCTTCACATTAAACTTTGTGCGTTCTTGTGAGTAAAAAATGGTATTAAATGGATTCAGCTGGTCTCTGATGATCTAACTTGCTGCATCTTAGGATTGATCATTGCATCACCTTTTTTTAAGTCTTATTTTGTTTGATTTCCTTATTCAGAGACTGATAATTCAAGTGAATTCATAATTTATTTTATGTTAATTTCATTATTTTAAACTGCAGATCTCTTTTTGTTCCTTACTTCAAATACTTGGTGGAGGGTTGTGTGCGTTACCTTACTGTTGCTGGAGATGTGAATACTTCTGGTTCAACACGAAAAAAGAAGGCTAAAATTCAGGAAGGGAAGGACAACAGTATATTGCTTGGCAACTGGCATCTCAGGGCTTTGGTGTTATCGTCTTTACACAAGTGTTTTCTCTATGATACTGGAAGCCTGAAGTTTTTGGACTCTTCAAATTTTCAGGTCAGTCCATCTTTTATTTTCAAATATTGTATCCAGGGATAAGTAATGTGTATAATTTCTTTGTTTATATTGGATGCCGTTGAGCCCTACAAGTCAGGAGAGACAAGAGGTGGAAAAAGGGAGATTTTAATGGAGGGAACCTGTAATTAAAGATATTTTTTTTCGAAATTATTTCTCAAAATTAAAGATATTCAGTTGGTCACGACGTGAAGAATCTTAAATGGATGGAGGGAACCTTTTTATGTTTCTTCAGCGATGATGTTGTCTATATAAACTTTGTATGTGTTCTTGGTCTTCTACCTTGTGAAAAAAATTTCATCTGAGTTCTTGGAACCAACCTTCTATATTTTCTTTAGCCTCTTCTCGACCTTGGAATGAAAGATAGGTTCTTGAAGACACATTGCCTTTTAGAATTTGGAAGATTCATTATGTTATGCCATTATTTCTGTTATTTGTTAAAGCTGCTTGAATTTGCAGGTTCTACTGAAACCCATTGTTTCACAGCTCGTCGCTGAACCACCATCGTCTCTAGAAGAGCATCCAGACATACCATCCGTGGAGGAAGTTGATAATTTATTGGTGGTTTGTATTGGTCAAATGGCTGTGACTGCAGGAAGTGACCTTTTATGGAAGCCCTTGAATTATGAGGTGATTTTCTTTTTCATGATATTTTACGCTTATGTACACAAATCTCTACTTTGTTCTTGTCTTTGTCACAGTCCAGATTCATATGAAGAAGTTCGACTTTACATAGGTTTCTTAAAATAGCCGAACACGCGGTTTTTCCAGCCTTTTCTTCGATTTTCTCTCTTTTAGTTCAAAGATTAAGCTTCTCTTCCTGCATGTTTGTCTTTGTGTTCTTACACTTTTACATTGTGAATCCAGGTGCTGATGCAGACACGCAGTGACAAGGTACGGACCCGAATTTTGGGCCTGAGAATTGTTAAGTATCTATTGGAGCATCTGAGAGAAGAATATCTGGTATTCCTGCCCGAGACCATTCCGATCTTGGGAGAACTGCTCGAGGATGTGGAGCTCCCTGTTAAGTCTCTTGCGCAGTCGATTCTCAAGGATATGGAGACCATGAGTGGTGAAAGCCTCAGAGAGTACCTGTGAATGCAATTCATCCGCTGACGTTGGCCGAGCTTTTCTGTATCCCAGTGGTCGTTTTGCTCTGTTAATGACGGCAACGCAGGCTCCCTCGTCTTAGGGATTGGTTTATGTGTGGTCCTAGCGGAACTGCAAAAATTTTGATCGTTTTGGTTTACGGAATGGTTCGGACAGCGCCCGAAATGTTTACCTTCGTTTCATAGAGGGTGGTGTTGTGTACACAGACGCAGCCCCTAAGTTGGGCGTTTAAATTTTGTAGTTTTATTTGCATATAGTTTTCAAAGTTCGTATTTGCTCCTTTGCAATTCTGTTCGCAACCACAACAACGAAGCTATATCCACTAAGTGGAATTCTGTGCTTGGTTTTGCACCAACTCTTTCATTAGCTTCAAGTACCACGTCTTTCTTGAAGTCTTTTTCCAAATCTTTGTAGGTCTTTCTCCTCATTTTTGTAGTCAGCATCTGGTCATTTACGAGTAAGAAAAACAAGATAATACATGGCTTTGACAGAACATGTGGTATTAAAGCCCAGAACGGTAATTGAAATTCGTAACAGTCCATAGTTTATAAAAATAGAGTTTTAACAAAAAACTACGGTACTTTTTATTGTAACGAAAAATAATATTTTTACATTAAAAAGTTAATCCTGGTACTATTAATTTTACTCTATTTTGTTCTTATCGTTAAAATTTAAAGTTTTTAAGCTCTTAGTTTTTCTTTATAAAAATGACCAGATAAATGTTCTTTTTACAACTCTTGCTTAATGTTACGGTTTATATTTCTTTATTTATAAGTGAGATGACTCGTGTGGATGACGATACAAAATTATTATGACATATTCATTGTGTGCTTTACTGCCTTAGTCCAATTCCCCCACTCCTCGAAACTTTGTAGGGTTCTGTCAGGTAGGGGGTGTTAAATTATTGAATTTAACGTGTTAGTAAACGCATAAGTTAGTATATAGAGACGTCGTGGATGTACTATCAGAGTTTGGAAATGTAGAGACCATGTTCGGCCCATTGGGCTTATTCGATGGAATCCGATACAGGCCTTCAACAACATAAGCCCTTTCTAATTAGTTGAGGAAAAAAAGGGCAAGAGAACATGGGGTTTGCCGGACTTCCACGCCTACGCAGTCGCTCCCGTTAGTTTTTTTTACTACGCGCGCTCCTCCTTCCCGGTCCGTTTCTCATTCGCGCACTCCTCTGTAGGGTTTTGGAATCACAAAACTCTCAAGCATTTCCATCAACTGCAACTCAAAACCTTTGGAATTTCAATCTAAGGTACCTGCACATTTCCTTGTCAACTGATTTTCAATACTGATTTGTGTTTGTTTTCTGTTTGGTTGCCGAGAAAATAAATGAAAGCGGGAAAATATTGATCCTGGATTTCTGGTTGTTTAGGTCGATTAATGTGTTTAAGATGAATATCTGTACGGTGTTGTTGTGCCCTGTACTTGTTTGAAGAAATGTCTCTGTGAATGCTTTGAATAGGGAGCTCGAGATGCTGCCGAGATGGAGCAGAGCTGTTGCTCAGCTCTCGAGGCTGGGTACGCAGCAGAACCTGAATCTCAGAAACGAATTCTATGTTGTTTCGCGCCAAACCTATGCCAGGGCTGCTGCAGTTGCTCCCGATACGGCTTTTACTGTGGAAAAACCTCTACCTGCCGAGCCAGTGGTACGATTTGAAGCTACCCTTTTGGTTTTAGTAATCAAGCTTTCTGATTTAAGTAATTATTGGTTGTAATTTGAATCGGGTTTGCTGGTTTTCTTGTTAATGGGCATAGAGTATCCTGAAATTAAATCATTAAATGGCGTACCTGTTTTCTTGTGACCGTGTTTCTGCGGTTATGTGTGCATATATTTATTGTTTTGTTCATTGTTGAGACTTTGTGTAACAACGTTGGACAGGTAAATTTGGACAAATTGTTTTGGTCTAAGCCCTCCTCATTGGCTTTGGCCCCGGACTCCCCATTGAGAATTGATGAGCCACAATATGGGAGCTTTAAGCGTGCAATTCTTAGGATGTTGCTGTTTTATAGCAAACAAAGCAAGTCTATTCGAGGGGCTAATGTCGTGTATAAGCGAATTGTTTCACAAGTTGATAAGCCGGGCATCTATGAAGGTCATTTTTTCATCGCAATTTATTTTCTCCCAGTCGTTTATGATTACATGGGGTGGGGGAATTTTCACATGAGCATAAGGTTGAGGGGGGAATGGGCTGTATTTTGTGGAAACATTTCTATGTAGCCAAAAAAGGACGTATTGGGTTTTCTGCGTTTGTGCAGTAACACCTCCACATCATTTAATTTAAAAGAATCAACCATTTTATCTTATACATTTCTAAATTATTCTCACCTTCTGTAGGAGATGATAATTTTTCTATTTTTTTTGGCCCAGGAAACTGTCTATATGTGTTAAGAAATTTTACTTGAAATAACATCAGTTACATAGCTTTGTGTAGGAACTAAACTTTTCCCCTAAATATGCAGTATTCAATTTGGAGAAAACCTTTAAGACAACGTTCTCTCTACTTGTACTTCATATGTGGCTTTGCTTACGCCGGTTGAAAGAAGAGGGAAAGGATGGTGTTGAATTCGGGCAACACATATATGAGATTTACAATCATGATGTGGAACTTAGGGTGTCTAAGGCTGGGGTATGTTCCCTTATGTTAAACTTAAATATTCTGCTTTGAACTTAATACGACACTTTAGTTGGCTTTTATGAGGTTATTTCTAGATACCCTCAAATGTAGTTCATCTGTCTTTGAAAAGAACTCAATAAGCTGTTGATAATAACTTTTCTTTATGTATTATGGCTCAATGACCATAGGTTTGAATTATTGTGCTTTTGGCATAAGAAGTTATGAGAACATGCTTGCCATACCATATGTGTTTATCATTTTTAGGGTGTCCTACCATTAAGCCTGAGGTTGCTTACACTTTCTATGACTTGAAGAACTTCTTCTCAGTTATGAAATTGGTCCGTCGACACTTGATGCGCAGATAATGTTATTTGTTTATTTATCTCTTAGAATCTGCAGGTTCTTTTTCAAGCACATGAATACCAAAAATAGATGCTTTGTTTGGCCTGCTCAATTCTCAAATACATACATGTATAAATAGCTATATCTGAGACTGTTTAACATCTTTGACGTTACACACTTGTGCTTCTATGCACATTTTCCAAATACTTGGCTCAGTCAACATACTAGGAGGCTAATAATATTTGAGACTTCAGCATTAGGTTCATTGGTGCAGTATATTAGAGCATAGGATTTACCGTTAAGCATGCTGTTTGATTAATTTACCCTTGAAATCTTAGGTCAACTTACTACTGACTAGATGGATGAAGGACTTGGAGAAGATATTCTATGGAAATATTGTTGCTTATGATGCTGCCGTGCTTCCGGAGGCTAAACTTGATGATCTGCAAAATGTGATATGGAGGTAAATCTTTACCAAGCTCGGTCCATTGTTCACCCACCTTTAATAATATATACATCATCAGCCCTCCCTAGCCCCAACATAAAAATTGTCATACATTTAATCATGGGATACGTATTAACCTTCTGCACCGATGTTGCAGGAATGTCTTTTCTGACGATGGTTCATCACAACCAACTGGAGATGCATCACGAGCAGTCCAGGCATGTTCTCTTCCTTGACTGGCAAACTTTCAACGGCTTTTAGCATTAACTAATAACTCTCTTATATGATGCATAGAGTTAGAATGAAAGTTTGTGTACATGCAGGCTATGGCAAGATACATTCGCCGGGAACTTTCTTGCCTGTCCTTAACAGGTATCCCTTGTTTGTTCTTTGTGTTTCCTGTTCCGCATTCGGTTCTGTTGAGATTGCACAAGAACTCTCCATCTCTTCGCAAGATATAACGTTGTAATTTGGATGTGCAGACAAGGAAGCTATGTTTTCTGGTAATTTCATGTTTACTCCGCTGAAGGGCGAGAAACCGAAATCGGAGGCATCCAAGTGAGAACCCAGCTACTCACTTTCAAGTTCCCGTTGTTTGGAAGGAAACTTTACACCAATCATGGACTTGTAAAAGACGATCAAAATAAAATATTTGTGCAATTATCAAAATTAACTTTAATTTTGTTTTTATTGTTATTTTTATATTTTTTATTCTTGAAACCGTGATTCAATAAGATGGAGATTACAAGTTCGTTTGTAAGTGCTTTTAAAATGATTGAAAGAATTTGATGAAAATATTTTTGAAACCAATTCTTAGTAAAAACTCAAGTGAATCTTGAAAACCCTACTTCAAGTGCTTTTGGAATTCAAAAACATTCTCTAAATGCGTTTTCAATCGTTTTAAAAGCATTTTCAAGCAAGTTCTACAAAGGGAGAGGCTATGGCGTTTTTGCTCTAGTTTGTCAAACACGTGAGAAAACCAATTTTTCTGCTTTTCCAATTAGGATTATGTAGTGTTACTACACAATAGCGGTGATCTAGGTACACCAAAAAATTTCTTGTGATAAATAGCACAACTAAGCTACGAAATGTCAAGAAACACCTTTTGCATTTTATGTAATTAGTAGGGTAAAAGCGACATTACATTTTAGCCTTATTAAAACATTGACCTGAAGGTCTGTTTTTGGGTTTGGGCTTTTCCTTCATATATCACACAGACTTCGGAGCCTGATTATTAATGGGCTTAGAGGCCTAATTATTAATGGGCTTAGGGCCTGATTATTAATGGGCTTACTCTTATATTAAATGTCAAAATTTGCCCCCTGCTACCCATTGGCTGGGTCCCACATTTCCCAGAATATGTGAGCATCTTTCTTCCCTTCATATATTCTATATGCTTACGTGCTACGTCTCAGGGCTCTTCCGTCAACCTCTGTAAAAACCCCAACTTTCAAATCTTCTTGTTTCAGTTCAGTTCCTCTCTCTCTCCTCTTTCTCTCTCTATATTGACTTCACTCGCACGCCACACCCTCCAAGTTGTCCTCTTTAAACCTAAACCTCAGAGGTTACTATTCCATTAGGGGTTTCTCCTTCGCGCACTAAAGAAACACGTTTTCCTTTTCTTTCAGATTTCGTTTTCCTTTTCTTTCAGATTTCGCTTTCCCGACATTCCCTCCACCGATTTTCAGATATAACCACAAAATCTTCTTCAATCTTCTCCAATACCCAGAATTTGATTTCTTCAAATTCACCCAAATTCGCAGTCTTTCTCCTCCGACCACCATGAAGTGTTTGAAAATTTTTCTTCTTTTTTCCCTGCTTTCCGTCGCGTTTTCTCACGAGACCTTCGACTCCCACCTCCTGCCGCGGCCGTTGATCCTTGAATACCAAGAAATCACCGAGACCCAGTCCAAGGAATTGGAGGATGAGATCAGATTACACTGCGCCAGCTGGAGATTTTCTGTGGAAGCAAACAATGTCAATCCCTGGAAAACAATCCCGGAGGAGTGTGCGGAGTATGTCAAGGATTACTTGACGGGTCGGGCTTACGGGTTCGATCTCGAAAGGGTGTCTAAGGAGGCTGGGCTTTACGCCAAGAGTGTTGAGTTGAATGGTGATGGAAAGGATGTGTGGATTTTCGACATTGATGACACGTTGCTCTCTAATCTTCCCTATTATGCTGACCATGGTTACGGGTATGATTCTTCGACTTCCCTTGAGAAATTTAAATTTTGTTTGGATTATTGGATTGTGTAGCAAATTATTGAATTTTGATTGCTTGGAACTTAATAATAGTAGAATTTCAATGAAACGGACCCTTCTAGTTATCTAAGTGAATTAGTTGAATGAGAATTTTTGTCATGAAAATTTGTATCAAGAGTTGCAGACGGCGGTTTTATAGCCAAGTATTCGGAAGAAAATTGGAATGTAGGAACTTGTAACGCAGATAATATCTAGAAATCTATCAACTGGAAATGTTCATGTTGTTTGAAAAGTATAACCAGAATCCTGTTTTCTAAATTTCATTGAATTTTATCATCATTTGTTGGTTTGAGTTCTTTCGTTTTTTGATGACAATATATTTATGTGCTGATGTGGATATTGTGTGTAATTTTGTAGCTTGGAGGTTTTTGATAATGTGGAGTTTGATAAGTGGGTTGAGAAGGCCATGGCGCCTGCCGTAAAGTCCAGCTTGAAACTCTATGAAGAGGTCTTGAGTTTGGGTTTTAAGGTCTTCTTGCTCACGGGGCGCACTGAAGGGAAAAGGAAGGTTACCGTTGAGAATCTGAACAATGCAGGGTTTCGAGATTGGCATAAGCTTATTTTGAGGTGAGTACGAATGTCTTTTATGAATTGATATGGAACTGAATTGTTTTACTGCATTGCCTGACTAGTTTAAGTGTCCATATATCTATTGCATTTGACTGTCTTAGCATAAGTAATCGTTGTAAATTCGAAGAAAAGTTAGATTACCTGTCTAGTTGCTGTAACTTTCCTGCATAATTACTTGCTTAGAATTAGAAATAATTGAAATGGAAGAATGTTGTTTCAATCAGATGAAAATATGATTTGGTTTTTAGTTATGTCCTGCGCATATGCATATACATTAGTCACACATCGATATTAAGGACACACCTCCCCTACAGGCCTAATGTATTACCTAGATGAAACAATGGCTTTAATTATTTTGATTTTTGTTTGATAATTAGACCCAGTGGCTTTGTTAGGGGTGGTTGGTGCACTGTTTTGATGATTTCATCCTGCTTTCCGGTTAAATGTTTGGTTCCCTTTTCCTAAATCTGTAAAATATCATGGCATCATGTGCTTTTCATCTCAGTGTTGTTTGATGATCATGTCTGAATAAAATAAGGATGGAAGTAAAAATGTAAAGCTTTCAGTCGGGTATACAAGCTCATCATCCGCCAATTTTTTTTATGATCACCGTTATTCTCTCCTCTCTTCCCTTTGTTCTCGAAATCATTTGAACATAGAGCGTAAACTCGAGGCTTTCATTTTAAGACAATGCTCGTTATATATGCTACCATAAAGCTTTTGACTTTAGGTGATTGTGCTTTAGGTCCTTGTACCAGCTTAGTAATGATCATCTGAAATTCTGAATCCTATGTTTTTCATACTGTGCAGGTCCGCTGATGACCGCGAGAAACTGGCGACGATTTACAAGTCCGAGAAGAGGGGTGAGATGGAAAAGGAGGGATATAGAATACTTGGGAATTCCGGGGACCAGTGGAGTGATTTACTGGGTACCTCAGTCTCCCTCCGCTCGTTCAAGCTTCCGAATCCTATGTATTATATTCCATGATAGGGTAGGCATCATTCGTTTCAAAACTATCGAACCGATTTATGCAAATGAAGCTGTCGTATAATTGTTGTGCAGCTTGTACCGATTTAATTCATGATGCCACACACACACACATAAAACAGTGAGTTGTTCATATCAAACTGCATCATATATATTGGAATCCCATTTCAGAGAGAAAATTGTAATGGAGCTCTTTGGCTGCTTGGAATTGTACTGGACCACTTGTGTGAGTACTTTGTTGTATTATTAATTTATATGTTTGGGAGATAATTGGAGCGATGGTCCCTGAATTTTAGTCCGATTGGAGCTTCGTTCCTGAACTAAAGGTTTGTGAGTCTTGGTTCCTGAACTTGTTAAAATGTGGAGCAATGATCCTTTTTTGCTAACTCCGTTAGAACTTCTATCTATTTTTGGTCCCTTCAAAACCCTTTAATTTAGGTGGGTCTTGTGGAGTTAGTCAAAATGATCATTGCTTCATAGCATAATAAGTTTAGGAACCAATAGTCAAGAATTTTCAATTCAAGGACCAAAGCTTCAATTTGGCCAAAATTAAAGGATGATTACTCCAATTTTCTCGTATATTTTGGTGCCCCAAACCCTAACTTTTTGTGTGAGGGGAAAAATGTTGTGACCAATTGCTGTCCATTGAGTCAGTCAATGTCTGAGCATTGAAGGCCATACTGGCTGAGGGTTAGGGTCATATTTAGTGCCGTCTAAAATTGACTTTCAAATCAGATTAATTAGGTTGAGAATAATATTTTTCTCTTATACCTTGGACTTAAGTTTTTGGGGCCATCTTTGGGTGTATTATTAATAGAGAACTGTTTTTAACACTTCAAAAATTTTATTTTACACTCCTCACAAATGTATTTGTCTTTCTAATTATAAGAAGTTTAGAGTACCAAATGAAAGTTTTGGAATGATAATAACAATTCCCTATTAATATAGGGTAAGTTGATGTTGTGTTGGCAAAACAAATACTCATCTTGTCCCAACAAACTGGGGTGAGCTCGGAAAACCGAAAAAAAAGGTGATAGAAAACTGAACCACAACCGGAAAAAAAAAAAAAAAAAAAAAAAACCGATTGAAAAGAAAATCGAATCAGCTGAGATATAAATTAATATTTTTTATTTACTTATGCTCAATATTCATTTTTCAAGCTTAATTTCAAGTTAACCATTAGTCTAATTTTAATCCAAAGTCAGCGAAACTCAACGTTAGGCTCAAATATATTAAAGTCCTATCTCTAGATTATTATTTTTTTCCTTCATTTTCTCTTCAATTTATAGGTTAAAAGGAAAAATAATTTGAGAAAAAAAACCATACAGAACAAAAAAAAGCCGAACCAAAAGAAAATAAAAATTACAAAAACTAAACTGAGCAGAATAATAATTTTAGTTTGATTTTCAATTTTGACAAAAAAAATTAAATTGAATAAAACCGAACTCACTCCTGAGAGAATTTAAGCACATTATTAAATTAATTAAGATCCAGTAAATGGAGCACACGTGTCTGTAGTGACTACACTTCGTTTGACATGGCCCCAAAGCATCATGCCTCACGCGGTGGGGAGATCCGGTCCTACGCGTTTGATTTTGATAAAGAGAAGGTGGGCCCAAAAACACCACATTGATGACTGATGAGGGCCACCAAACAACTCATCAATCCCCGCCGTAAATTAACAAATTGCCTCCAACCGCCACTTATTAATTTGCAACTGTCTCCTCCAACCGCCACTTAACCTTCATAATTACAAATTAATTATGAAGAAACACTAATTTGTATTTAGTAATTGCAACTAGAAATTTAAAATTTTGTCAACAAGACAATTTTCTAATGATTGAGGATAAAATTCAAGCCCGTATTTCACACGTCACGTCTCGAGTTCAATTTCTGTCATTGGTGAATCACACGATGATGGTCAGCAAAAGGCTGAAACGCCTTTATAAGTCTTTCTCGTCCTCAAAATGATGAATTGCCTTCCAAAGCCACCAACCGATCTCCATTTTAAAATAAGAAAATTGGGGACATTTTTTCTTGTTGAATAATAATTCTGCCCATTATAAATGTTAAGCCACACACGTAAAGCAACTCACATAGAACATATTGTAGTTACTGTAGCGTCATAGTCCAATATTTAAAATAGATTGACCTTGTGGTACCAAAAATCATAGAATTTCCTTCCTAAAGGACAACCTAAGCAAACAAAGCTTTCTCTTTGCAAGAGTCGAAGGAGAGGGAAAATATCTATCGCTCTTAATTTGCAACAAAACTGTTTTTACGACTCAAACTTGTAATGATTACAAAAAAGCAATTTTTCCGTTGTTATTTCATTGTTTTGTTGTAAACGCAAAATAAATTCAAAAGCAAACTTTTGCTCAACCGAGCAAACGAAGTACATCTAATCTAGGTCATGCGTCAACATTGTTTTTCTTTTTTAACATATTGATTCATAATAATTGAACAAATTTGGATCTGAAAATGGTCTCCAATTTCTTACTCTGCCAATAGTTTGATAAACGACAATAACCTTGTAACTTATTGATTAAATATGAACAAAATGTAAAAAAAAATTGCTTCCAAAGTAAGGGAAATTAAGATGCGCGTATTTTGTAACGACTTTGCAGCTACAAATTTATGAAAGTCGTAGATGTCCCCTTGGTTTTTATAATAAAATGACAGGAACTCCACAGCATAGTTGATGTGACATCGCTCCTTCCTTGACCCCCTTCACTTCTTTAATGATCAAATCCAATTTTACAACGTGTGATGTAATAAAATCGAACGCAAAGGTTCAGATGCAGATATGGTTATTTTTTACCTTCTTTTAAGTATAATTATTTGCGGACTAGTTTGGGGTTACTGTGTTTTTTTTCTTTTAAATTATTTCTGTTGTAGTGTGGAAATAAATCGTTGTGAAAGAAAAATATAAGTGTTTGCTAAACTATAGTGCTTAAAGTGCGTTTAACCCAAAAAAAAAAAAGCATTGAGGGTAGGATTGTTAGTATGAAAGTTTCATTAATTGATATTGTTCACCTGTCTCTAATGAAAGAAAAACACTTCCGGTAAAAGCATGGCTTGAGCTGCTTCTCCCTTCTACTGTTTTAGATCCATGATTTAAAAAAAAAAAATTTATTTATCAAATACAATTAAGGCATCAACTTTTTAATATTATTTAAACGATACTAAACTAATTCTGCTTCAGAACACAAAATTTTAAATGTACACAGATATAACGCTTTTAAACACTTTAAGTGCGCGTCATTTGCTTTAAGAAAAGAAAGAAAAAATACCACTTTCTACGAAGGTAATCACTTTTTGTCTCCAACTTCCAAATCTCACTATTCCTTCCTTCCATTGGCATATCAGTCAGAAAAAAGAGATAAGGTCCATGCACAAATGACATGAGGAATATTGGTTTGGTGGCCAAAGTGATCTTTCACACACTCAAAGCACAAATACAACACTCAAAACAGATGCAACATCACATGCCTTAGATCCGTCTTCCAAGTTTTCTGCCATACAGCTCATCTTCTCATCTCTCCCCTTCTCCAACACCATCACCTCTCTCTCTCTCTCTCTCTCTCTCTCTCTCTAAATTCTCTAAATTCTGTTTTCCCAGTAAATAAAAAGATTATTTCCCCCCTCATAATTCCCGAAAGTCTTGGATTCCACACACTCTCAACTAAAAAGGCAATCCCATCTCAACTTCCTTGTCTTCTACTCCTACTTGCATTCAAGTCTTTCTCCATGAAAACTATCCACACCTGCAATATGTTCATGACTTTCTCAACTCACCACATCAAAGCCAGATCTCTCAGTTGGGGTTTCCTCCAATATTTCACATGAAGAAATTGCATTTTTTGACACAATGAACAGAACCCAGATACTAACTTTGATTGTTGCACTGACTTCATCGACAACTTTGGTGTTTTTCCTGCTTTTCATCTACTTTTGCTGCAAGAAAACTGGAAAAGGTGAGCAAAAAGATGTGGAAAAAACAGAGCAGAAGCAAGAGGAAGTTGTGGAGGCAGAGGAGGAGCTGGTGACTTTTCAGGATGGGGAGGACCTCACAGTCTGTGACATTCTCGATGCTCCGGGGGAAGTGATCGGAAAATCGAACTATGGCACGCTGTATAAGGCTTTGTTGCAGAGCAGCAACTCAGTAAAGTTGCTGAGGTTTATGAGGCCTGTTTGCACTGCAAAAGTTGAAGATTTTGGTGAAGTTGTTCGGCATTTGGGGTCCGTAAGGCATCATAATTTGGTGCCTCTTTTGGGATTTTATGCAGGGCCGAGAGGTGAGAAGCTTCTGATTCATCCGTTTTATTGGCGCGGCAATCTGGCTCAATTTGTGAGAGGTGATGATTCTAATTTCTCTTGCCTTGTTTGGTCTGTTTTTGCTTTTGTTCTGTTTGGTTGCCCAGAAAATGCCAAGAATGTGATGGGAAAGAAACTTGAATCCCTTTTTTTGTTTGGTTTTATTAGGAAACTAGAGTTTTTACTCAATTGGGTCTTTGTCATTGTATTTCAAAAAAATCAAATCAAAAAGTTTAGGCTTGAAAAATCTGTTCTGCACATTGATTTCCATGTTCTGCTTTTAACTATTCTGTTTTTGTCTGCATAAATTTGATCTCCTTTGTGCGTGTTCTACAACCATATTTGGATTCTTTCCTTCATAATTCATATATATTGCCTGTCGGAAAGAAACTTTCCTACATCGGGATGTCATTGTAGCGGGATTCCAAGCTGTAAATCGTTTAAACTTTCTCCATGTGACATTGCGTGATTTAGTTGGGATACCACTGCAGTGACATCTCCATATGTTCTTATCATTGCCAAATTTTGGAGATTTCCTCTTAGAAGTTGTCTTTGCCTGTATATTTTTAGTTCCCATTTAACTATAAACTGATAGACAAACCTTTGTTTTCAATGGCAGAAAGCAACCCTGACTCTCACAGATGGCCCATAATCTATAGGATCTCAATTGGTATAGCCAAAGGCTTGGATCACCTTCACACTGGCTTCGAAAAGCCAATAATTCACGGCAATCTCAAGTCGAAAAACATACTCTTGGACCGCCATTATCGCCCTTTCATCTCGGATTTCAGCTTGCATCTTCTGTTGAATCCAACTGCTGGCCAGGAAATGCTTGAAGTCTCAGCATCCGAAGGCTACAAAGCACCTGAGCTGATAAAAATGCGGGATGCGAATGAAGAGACTGATATATACAGTCTTGGGGTTGTACTGCTTGAATTGCTCACAGGGAAGGAACCAATTAATCAAAATCCAACTACACCCGACGAGGATTTTAGTTTGCCAAATTTCATGAGAAATGCAGTGCTTGGACATAAAATCCATGACTTATTCCATCCAGATTTGCTTCTCAATAGCGGCGTCGGCGTCGGCGACGGTGAAATCCCGGTCACTAGAGAACAGATTCTCAAATTCTTTCAGCTTGCTATGGCATGTTGTGCTCCTTCTCCAACGCTTAGACCAAACACCAAGAAAGTTCTGTGGAAGCTTGAAGATATCGGAAGAAACTGAACACTATGAGCATTGTTTGGGTAGGATAAGTAGCAACTACACCTAGGATGGCACTATTACGTTATTTCGAGCCAATAACGCACTGTCGTGTAAAACAATTGAACTCATGGAAGTGCTTGGTTGACGTTGACTTGAGTTATCGTCACATTAACATTTCGGGTGTAATTAAGTTTCCCCTGATTTCAAGATATCTGTATTTTGTAAAATTTGCGTGATTGATGGCCATGCCAACAACAATGACCATATTGACATAGACATGTATAGTAAAAATATAGATGTGCTCTAAACGCCAAAACATTTAATTTTCTTTATCTTTCTTTCGTCGGAACTGATCCATATCTTGTCCTACCTCAAAAAGTTGGAAACTTCAGTTTACGGAGAAATCACATTTCAGCCATCAGACAAATTAAGGATGAGAAGTTGGTGATTTAGTTAGTCAGATTGCATATTTCTTTATTGCTAAGCATGAGCAGCTTCAGACAAAGGATTCCATATGGTCCACCTAGCCTTCATATTGTCGAGCACACATTATAAAAGAAGGAACCTTTAATCAAAGGTGAGCAGTAAACATTTGCTCATTTCTAAATCCAAATTTGCTCATTTCTAAATCCAAAGGTTCACAGGTTTGAGTCATAGAAATAGTTTTTTTGGAAAGCAAAAGTAAAACTGCATACGATAAATGTTCATTTTCCCGACCCTGCAAAACCAAAAACCTTATTAGTTTAAGATCGCACCTTTTATGACCTAACAATTTACACTTCGTAGCTCGGTTATGTAACATACATCTTATTTTTTTCATTGAAAATGGATATTTTATATCTCAATCTCATCAGTAATGCGTTAATAACATTGTGGCTACAAAAATGTGACATGTTCTTTATATAACATCAGCAATGTCGATGGTGCATTCGTACGTTAACAGGCCTGCCAACTTGTCCTAAAATAATTTAACTTGAACTGTTCTAAGATTTGAAAATTGGAAACTTCTTTCGTTTCATCACATCAAATTAAATGCAATTGGATTGTCACTTTCTCTTCCCCACGTTCGCTGCTTGTTCATTCCTTAATTATCAGCAGGTTCATCTTCGAATCTTTTGCGAGGATTTTAAAGATTTGTAAATCGTGTTCATTTATCATAAATCGTGCTGTCAGTTTTTATTAGGTACTATTTATATTTAATTTTAAATAAAAATATTCAAAATGATTTTTGACTGCATAATATACGATAAACGGATATGATTCATAAATCTCTGAAATATTCACAAAGAGGATCCGAATTTAATTATATGATCTCTAGCTGCCATAAGAGCATTCCCACCGTAGCATATTGCTCGGGGGACTGTCTCCAGAACAAAGGCCCGAGGGCCGGTGGATGGCGTCCAGCGTGAGGCAGGCCGGGGGATGGGGGAGGCCCGAGGGCCAGGCCCGTGAGGGATTGCCAGCCCTTGAGCCCGAGGTGGGAGTGACGCAAGGCTGACGCCAGGGTGGCGTCAGCGTATTATTTTATTTTTTTTGTGTCAGGCGCGTGCACCCCACCCGCGCGTGGGGGCGCGTCCCGACACAATAATCAGAAAAAAAAAAATGTTTTGTCAGTTACCGTTGGGAAGCCACGTGGCTTCCCACGGTACGTTAGATCCTAACGGTCACTTAATGTGGACCGTTAGATCTCAACGGTAAAAAAAAATAAAACTGTCAGATTTAATATCCACCGTTCGATCTGAGATCAACGGTGGATATTAAAATGCTTTAAAAATTAAAAAATAAATGAAATAATAGTTTAAAAAATCTGAAAAGTTACCGTTGTGACACGTGGCACAATCTGGAGCGTTGGAATTCAAATTTTTTTATATCCAACTGCAGAGATTAATTAATTGAATAAAAATTAAAAAAAAGTGTAAAAAATGCAAAAAAATTCAAAAAAATATCTGAAAAATCTGAAAAAAATTGTAAAAAAAATTGTTTTTACTTTTCTATAAATACCTTCTCATTATCATCTACCTTCACAACAATTTGGTAAGTTATTTAATTTGGTAAGTTATTTATGTTGTTAAAAGTCCATGACCATGACCATCGTTCTAATTAAAAGTCCTTGTATAAGAATTACATAAACATAAACATACTAAATAAACATACTAAGAATTACATAAACATAAACATAAACATACTAAGAATTACATAAACATAAACATAAAAAAATTACATAAACATACCAAATAATAAAACACACCAAATAAAATAACATAAACATACCAAAAGGTGGATTATATAGAGGATTCAGAAAGGATTAGGTTCTGCATAATGCCACGTGGCATGCCGTCATTCGTTAAAAATCTGATGGAAATCTATCATCAAAGATTGTTAACAGATTATGACACGTGGCATGCCGTCATTCGTTTAAAATCTGATGGAAATCTATCCTCAAAGATTGTGAACCGATTATGACACGTGGCGCGACGTGATTGGTTAATAATCTTATCAGAAATCCATCACCAATAATTGTATTATAATTATTTATTTTGTATTATTTAATAATACTTAGGATAATGACACGTGGCGCAACGAGAACGATTAAAAATCTTATCCGATATTACATTTAAAATTATTTTGTATTAATTTTATAAATAAAAAAAATACTAATATTTTATTGCCTATTGCCCGGGCTATAGAAGTGTAACGGTGGAGATGCAAAATCTATTGCCAGGGCTACTTACTGTTCATTAAGGGCAATTACTGTTCATTAGGTGGATTGAATAGTGTATTGCCAGGGGGGAGGGCTTCAACGCTGGAGTTGCTCTAAGAGTACATGGGTGGGTGGCGGGTGGCGGGTGGGTATAAGTTGCTCTGGGTCCGACTGTGAGAGATGACATTATTATGACCATCTAAAATAATAATAATAATTGCAGGTAGGGATATGTTATTATCGTGATATTTTAGTGGATAGGGTATTGGGTTTTTACCTATGCGTTCCAAGTTCGAAACTTTTCCTTTCCTGAATTGCTCTAATAGTTTTGAACTCTTTTTTTAATAATAGTAAAAATTTAAAAAATAATACAAAAGCTTCTTTTCACTTAACATTGTATTATTGACACAATATGTTATTGTGATAATATTTATGAGAATGTGGGTACTCTTCAGGACAAAGCAAAATTTTGATAGTATAACAGTCACGATATTACATAATATTATTAATCAATTTACGTGTTAAAATGTTATAGTATAAATGAATGATTTACTCGTTTTTCATATACCCCATATGATCACTATTTCACTACTTCAATGAAATTGTCACTATTTGCACAAGATCTTGTGCTTTATAAACCCTTTGCCAATTTAGACCATAGTACCAAACCAAACAAAAAAATAATTTGGTCACGTACATGGAATGACACGTGGCATATTGGTATGACAGAGAACCACATCCTCCGGTCCCAACACTTTTGCCGCAATTTTGAAGAGAGACCTACAACCACACATCCAACGTGTTTTGACTTTCTCATATGACATCGCATAATTAGCACGCCAATCCTGACAATTTGTTTCTTTGTGTCGCCAATAAAATACTTTTTAGCCTTCGGTTCTTGAATCTTAATATTTATTTTTTTTATTGGATAAAACAGAAACTCCATTGAAATTTGAAACCATGGACGAATTCAACTACTTACAAAATATTTAACGCTGAACGCCACCTAATGCCAGCCTCGCAATAAACTACCCATCAGTGTTACCCTCAAAAATAACAATAAACAAAGGAACATGCTATTGTTTTCTGGTCTTCCACTCCATAATTGCAGAAAGAAGAGTATAGTTTAGTATAACATTCTTGTTTGGCAATGGCAAATTTGTCATCGGCGAGTTATCGTTCTCTTCGAGCCATTTCTCGATCGCTTTGCGGTCGTAAGTGTATCCATCTGCGGCCACACAAGGCTCATCCATCACATCCTGTAACAAAAGAACATGGCATACAGATTACTTGGTGGAATAAGTCATAAAAAACAATGTATTCTGTCACACGTCGATACTCGCTAATGTGGTGTTTAACAGTAAGAATTTGACACTGAACTGCCAACGATTATGCGTACCTTAAGAATTGGACAGATGAAGTGGTTAGGAGGTAGGCATTGAACCACAGAAGCTGAATTTTTCGCTGTCTCAGCAACCTCTTTCAATCTCTCAAGTAGAGGAACTACTTGTTCTTTCAAGTCAGGTCTGTCTCTGCGTCGAAGCTCTGCGCAGCTCAATCCCAATTCAGCCAACTGCCTTGTCTCTTCCATTGGCCAATGACCTGCTTTAGGGTCCAAAACATCCGTCAAATTTTTATCCTTAACAGCTGTTTCTACCAGATGTGTTATAGCTCTTGCTGGTTTTGCAGTAAGCAACTGCAAGATCACCATTCCGAAAGCATAAACATCCGATTGTGGAGAGATTATTCCTGTCCTTTGATACTCGGGGTCTATGTAAGAGAGAGTGCCAACAGGCCCTGTGTCGTTGTATATACTGGACATAGAAGGATCTGAATTAAGCATTGTGGCAAGGCCAACGTCGCCAATCTTGCTCACAAGGTTATGATCAAGCAAGATATTTGCTGGTTTCAGATCACGATGGATGATTGGTTTTGGCTTTGTGCTGTGAAGAAAGACGAGAGTTGAGGCGACCTCCCAAGCAATTCGGAACCTCTCAAACCAAGGAATAGGTGGTGTACCGTTTTTCTGCAGCAACCTGTCCTCCAAGCTACCATTTTCCATGTACTCGTAGACTAGACAACTGTGATCAGGACATGCACCGAGAAGGAGAAGTAAATGGGGATGGCGGATTTTGCTCAAGATCTCAAGCTGCAAGCCAAAATGAAATGTATGATAGTGTTCAGTACATGCAGGAAGGATAATTAGTTTACTGCGTTATGTCATGATTTTCACTTACCTCCTGCTGGAATTGCTTAGTTTGGCGATTCTCTATAGAGTGAAGGATTTTCACTGCTGCAGTTGTATGATGAAAGCTGCCCTTATAAACAGTTCCGTACGCTCCCATTCCAATCTTGAGATCCTCAGAGAAAGATGAGGTGGAAGTAACAATCTCATCCCATGAAAACTTCTGGTATTGTTGCACAGGACCTACAAGTGCTTGTTCAAGTTTTTCTTTCTCCTTGGCATCATGCATGGCTTTCATCTCTGCTTCTCTCCTTTGTGCAACTTCTCTTACGACACATTCTCTCATGTAATCAGCTTCCCTCTTAGCAGATTCGTACTTCTCCTTTTCTTGTGTTGCAGATACTATCGCTTTCTCCTCCATAGAATTTATCTCCTTGAGCCTTACTGCTTCCTCCAACCGGCGTGCATTTAAATTGTTTATCTGAATATCAAAAAGGAAAATTTCTAACTATCCAAATTAAAGATATTAAGACCCATGAAGTTTTTGCTGTCAACGAGGATAAGAATGCCTACCTTCCTAGAAGCATCCATAGTCTCACTTTGAGCCACTGCATACATTCCTTTGACATGTCTGAGTTCAATTCTTAGCTTTTCTAACTCCAGGTTGATAGTCGCCTGCGATGTGTGGAAATTGATCAATTCAATCACTACTGAAAAACATACAACTCTCATACTGTTGAAATCAAAGAGTACTACCCACAATGTAATTCATAAACCACATCTCATATATGAACTTCCAACAATGTCTTTTTCTGCATAATTCATTGAGAAGCACCATCTAACCAAGTCAAAAGAAGTCAGGAAGTGCTACCTGGCTCTCCGGTGAATAGTTTGTAACCGCGTCTGAGGTGGACGCTTGATCTGAAGTCCATGAATGGCAATCTGTAACAAAGCTTCCAAGATCCTGAGAATGGCATCTAGAATGGATGGTGTCATTTGAATTGTTCTTTTTACTAAGCAGGGTCTGGTTGATATTTGTAAGAGCTTGAAACCGCTGTATTGGCAAAGAAGGAGAACGGAAATGAAAGTTTGAACTAACCGAGCCGCGATCTGTGCCTGGAAAACAGAAGACTGGATTTAAATAATCATCTACTTGCATAGGTAGCACCATTAGCACACTACATATGAAGATGACATTCAACCTTAGTCATGTGCCTTACCCGTCTGTGAACTAGACGTGTAACTCGAAGAACTGCTGACAGAACACGTGTCACTGTTGTCATCTTTGACGCTTTCAACTGACTCAGCATCAGATGCGCGTACTGATGACAACTTTCCTTTTGAAACAGCATACACGGTGCAAAATCTTGGAGTGCAGGCTGAGATTTTTGAGGAGAGTCCGTTTTGTTTCCTAAGAGCATTAATTGTTAACATGATCACTCACAAAGCAATTCTGACACAATTGCTCACAAAATACAAAGAAGATACATGGATGGTTCTCTGTATTCCTCATTAGTATTATTAGTTTGCTTTTGAGTGTGTGTGTGTGTGTAGGTGGACGTGTGCCTCATGGATCTTTTCTTCACCAGAAGTTCAATGCAAACCCATCCAGAACCTATTGATTGATTTATCGGATAACTAGCACAAATTCTTTATCCAAACTTGTATCCTCTCTCTATTAGCTTTTAAGTTCGCAAAGGGTGAACATACTAAGGCTGTCTGTGAGAAATTTCATCCCCTTTAACGCGCACAAACCTCAGTTAACGAAGTAACTCAACCTTATAAGTTCTACAGACTCCAACTTAAGGCACACAGACCACCCGACATGTGATTTATAACGACAACCTGAAAGTTTTATAACCAAATCATATATGCTCGGGGACCAAAGAAACAAGAAGAAATCTGAATAACTAACAAATGATTAGAAAGGTCCAACATGTGTTAATCTATCTGGCTGCATTTCAACAAAATACCTTTTAAAAATGCCACGAGATGGGGCACCTAAGACGAGATTGCATATAGCAGACTTAGCAACCTCTTCTGCTATTGCATTTGCAACGTCATCCGATTCAACTAGTACAACATCTACTTGCACCTGCATTCAAAATATAGCGGATTACGATTTTGTCACCTCCGATTTTCTTACCATCAAACTTCAAAGACCAAGAAAGTTTTACCTTCCTAGAAGCACACATTTTCTTGTATGGAGCAAGCTTTTCGCTTGCCTGCCACTCCATTTCCTTTCTATAAGCAGCTACTACGTCCTCTCGCACTTGCGAAATAGGAATCCGACTTCCCACTACAATCACAACAAAAACAAGAATTTATAAACACCATAGACAAAGAAAATTGTTCAAGACATAAGATTCACTTGTTTCGCGACACACAAACCCGAAGAAGCAAAGCTTACTTGGTGTTGGAACTCCGGTGATCCTTGGCCGGACATGAATCAACTTGAAGGAAACATTTCCCTCCGGAACAAACTTATCCAGAGCCCACCTAACTATGTATTTGCTATTTTTGTCCCCACTGATAGCAATGCCAACAACTGATGGAGGAGGTGAGAAATTTACACCTTCTCCAGTAATTTCACTCCCATCCATTGCTCTACCACTCCTCTGTGACACTGGAAATCCTCTGTAACAAGTAGAAGCATAAGTAAATAACTTAGCATTTCTAATACAACAATTAGTATAAAAAAATGAAGTAAATAGGAGTAAATTGGAGAGAGAAGTTGAATTGCAGACCCAAAAGTGAATTTTCGAAAAACAATCCTCAAACTACGAAAAAGAACAAAAATTTCGAAAGAAAAATGATTTTCGCACGCTTTTTTCTTCTTCTTCTTCAAGGCACACATGTTCTTGCTTTATTCAATTCAATATCTAAAAATAACAAAAGGTGAGCAAAAAAAAACAAAAAAATAGAGCATAAAAACTCAAGACAATGAAAAAGTATGCGAAAATCATTTCCCAACAAATATTCAATTAGCTGCCACTCAAAAGTTCATAGAACGACACAAATTCGAAAACCCAGAAAAACAAAGCACAGAAAACAAAAGAAGAACAGCATACCAGGTGGCGAGCTTCAAGACTCAAACTTTTAAGCACTTTCTGAACCCCTCTGAACTCCTATTGAGAAAAGAGCCCCATTTATGTTTCTCTCTGCAAAAACATGTTAACATTCAACCACAAGTTGCAGAATTGGAATTTTTGCTGGTCAGAAGCAGATGACCTCACAAATGCAACCAAAACTTAAATTTGTCTCGCCTCTAAAAATTTCAGAGCCTAACTTTGGCATGACTCGTGAAGCATTTTTTATACGGTATTTCTGAAAGCTACAAAAAAGAAATATAATTATCTATTGGATTTTTTTAATCAAATAAATAAAAAAGGACCAACTTGAGGAACCTTGTTTCTGGTACGACTTTTCAGTCTATATTTGTTTTCAAAGCAATGTAAACTTGATTTTGTATCTATCAATTGTGGAAAATCAGACCTAATAATTAATTTAAAGAAACACCTAAAATATTAGTAACTCCTTATCCAACGGTCAAGATCAGGCTGTTAAAAATCCAACTGCTCTCATGCACCACGTCATCAAGCCGTTGGACTCTTTCGTTGGAGCTGTTGCAACGGAACCCACCGTTGCAAGCTTCATCGGCAGACGTCAACCTTGCCTGATGACGCAAGACAAGATTTAAATTGCATGGGCATTTGAGTGAGCATGGCTAGGCCACCACTTGCTCTCCTTATTCTAGCCCCGTTGAAGGTGTTCTGGACAATTACTCTTGCCCAAAACAAAGGGGTGGAAATGCTCTTAAGAGGTACAATTGAAGAAGGTTGCTTTGTTTTCCACATGGATTTTTGGACATTTTTTTTTTCACTCGTTTCTAACCCTGTATTAATTTCAGCTCGAGAAGAAATAAAGTTGTGATCTTGGACTGCTTCAGGGAAGAGTCTGAAAATCCACCACGTTTGGACTCTTCCCAAAAAGCTTAAGGATAAGAGCAAATTCGATGCTTCGTAAACCACCATGGGATTTCATTTTCTACTATTTATTTGCTAATTAGAAATTAGTTATTAGGGGTCCTACTTTGGTTGTTGGCCTGTGATTCTGTGACTATCAGACATCACGAGGAGATAGAGACATAAGCATGTTAAAGTCCTTTTATATTACACATAGTTGGTTGATTTATTAGCAGCTGGTGCATAGAACGTGACTGGTTATTTCCTGGAAACTGGACGAGATTTCATAAGATACTTTGCATGTGTATGTATAATGTCTCTGAATGCATGCTCTTAATTAGAATTTTGAACATCCAATCAAGCCCAAAGTGAGTGGTTTACATTCATTTTTCTGAAGTGATGCTTTGGTGACATGTTTACTCCAATATGAGTATTAAAATTCAGAGTTATTTTCATTTAATGTTTAAATTTTCTTTGGTATGGTCAATATTTTTATGGAAGTATCAGAAAAACTAGAGAAAATTTTGAAAGCGGAGGTGAAGTCTAAATTATGAGTATTTAGCCCAAAGTGAGTGGTTTGTATTCGTTTTTCTTAAGTGATTTTTGGTGGCATGCATGTTTACTCCATGAGTTTCTAGAAAATGAGTATTAAAATTTAAAAGCCAAGATGAAGTCTAAATTATGAGTATTAAGCCCAAAGTGAGTGGTTTGTATTTGTTTTTCTCAAGTGATTTTTGGTGGCATGTATGCTTACCCCATGAGTTTCTAGAATATGAGTATTAAAATTTAAAATTATTTTCCAGCTAAGAGAAAATTTGTTGATTTTACATCCAAATTTGGACTCCAATATTTTGGGGATTATACAAATTAATTAATAATGATCATTTCTTTCCATTAAAATGATAGATTAAGAAGAGCATCCGAAGTAAAATAAGAATGACCACAATTGAAAGTAAGATGAGAAAAAATTAATTATGGTGATTTGGACAAGTGAATTGAAGACCTGCAAATTTTTCAATTAGAAGATACAGACTATAAGACCGAGATAGATAAAGTTTTAAAAAATACTTGAAAATAGATTTTTAAAAAAAATTAGAGTATTTGAAACAAATGAAAAACTTGGTAAAACCGAACTCAATTCTTCAAAAAAAAAAAAAAAAAAAAACCAGGCTATTTGTTAGATTTTAAAAATTCAACCATATACAGCATGAAAACGTGCCATTTTTGGCTTTTAAGTCAAAGTCGTTTCTTTTCACTCGGGACAAATCGCCTCCTGTACATGGGCTCCATTTTCTTTGTCTAATTCTCCTATAAGTAGTTGAGCTGTGGGATTATTAGAAGAAAAAAAAAACAGTAAAACCTTCACACAAGTTGGAGCAGAATTATATATGTACAAATTATAATTAAAAATTAAAACCTAGAAAAATTGATCGCGAAGACCAACAATTACCATGGTTGACATACACAGTGAGTTCAAAAAGAACAAAATTAAGCTGGTCTGAAGCTTTTGATCTGGCAGTTCCTTTCCCATGCATGTAGTGGCGAAGCTAGAAATTAGTAGGGGGAGGGGTAAATTTAAAAGAATACAAAGTTCAAAAAAAGGGAAACAACCAAATCTGTTTATATAGTAATATCGTCCATAATTTATCAATACAAACAATTTACATTAAAAACCCTTTTCAGTGAAGACATCACTGCCAGCATCTCCCGTTTTCATTTGAAAATATAGTAATAACGGCAAAATGAAGCATCTCTTGCTATATTTTACTCCAACCACTCATAAGTATCAAATCGATTATGTTGGCTTTTCACTTGGAATGGAATGGAAAGTAGCTGTAAGGCTGTTGTTGGTTGATTGAATGCTGCAGACTACAGCCAATCTGGGCACACAGAAGGCAAAGAATTAGAAAGTGGGATTGTAAAACAAGATTCTAAAAGATGCTAGCGCTAATCGGGCGATAGGTTAGAATATTGTGAGTAGGCAAGATCTAGGCAGATTAGACGGATTTAGGTAAATTTATAATATATTATATAAATTAATTAAATTTAAACACTTTTTTAACAAAATTATATTTAAACATCAACTAAAACGTTATTTTTTAAAAAGGTGAGAGTTGTAGGTACAAAATATATGGTGTGATCTTAAAAGAAATAAAAAGTGATATTGGGTTAAAAAGAGGGGGAAAATGATATTTAGGTTAAGAAAGAGAAAAATAAAGGGATATAAAAAGTAATAAATAGAAGATGGGGGACTATTTAAAAGAAATGTGCAGCGATTAAGAAGATGGTGGGACCATCTTAATAAACCGTGGAATTAAAATGGTTGTTGAGACCTCATTGTCTTCCTCGAGCACGATTGACTGTGCAAAAGAACTTTCAACTTCTGGCTTCTTCGTATACGCCCACTTAACCCCACCCAGCCCCACCCAGATTTAAATAGCTCTGTTTAATCCCTCCCTCCTAGTCTCGCCTAATGTGCTTTCCAACTAGGAAGGGGCTTCACGAATGACAACTTGTAGGCTTTCTGACGGGAGCAGAGGGGTGGACCGTGGCTCATGGGCTTCACTTCTGACGAGGGGAGGGGCGGCCACCCCTCCTTGTCCCTCTGTAGCTTCACCAATGTGTAGAATAGTCATGTGTTCTTCACACCAACTTTTTTTTTTTTTTTTGGGAAAACTAGACATCATCTTCTAGGGCACAAGGCCAAACAAACATAAAAAGAGGTCCACAAACTACTTAAGTACAAAACAAATAGTGAACCTGAACAGTACTAGGGGTGGTTCGGTATGGGATACCGAACCGAAATTAGTATCCCAAATTCCAAACCAAAATCTTTTGGGACGGGAATTTGAAGATCAATCCCAAACCAAAATTTCGGGAATCCCAAATTTCGGGAATCCCGAAATATTTTCGGGATTTCGGGACAAATCGGGAATCCCAAATTAAAATATGAAAGTATGAATTATTCTTCAAATATATAATTTAAGAACACATTCATGAACTAGGAATGTCATTTCATTCACACTACCATTTAATCAAATATTGGCATGCTTGATTGTTTTTATCAGAGTCAAAATTCAAATTAATTAAACCCTTTTGACAATCTATTAAGAGACAAAAGAATCAAACCTTCTAAAATCATTAGCCATGACAGCAGCAATAATAAAATCCAAATGAATATCAAACAGAACATGAAAAATATGCAAGGTGTAAGACATTCCAGGTTGCAGAGCATGAATTAGAAACTACTGGCATCAATTATAAAAGAATAATATATAATATATATGTATAAATTAATAATATATAATTTCGGTTTGGTATGGGATTCCCGAAATATTGAGAAGCCAATCCCAAATCCCATACCAAAATTTCGGGAATTTCGGTTTGGGAAATTTTTGGTTTGGGATCGGGATTTTTTCGGTTCGGTTTGGGATTTTCGGGAATTTTTTCCACCCCTAAACAGTACACACAAAAGAGCCCCTCGGACACACACAGATAAAGCCACAGAACTTCCTAGAACCTTGCAGTCTCTTCCTATGCTGGCAATGTCGAAAGCCACCAACGCAAGCCGTCCAACACGCCGACCAACCAAAACCCCAGGTGTGAAGAAAACTAATGCTTTAACACCGCAGAGCATCCACGCCAGCACAAACCAGTGCCTCGAACCGACAACTAGCAGCCAAATTCCTCTAACCTGCAACAACCCACATGCTGATCGAAACTAGTCAAAGAAAAAAGCTAGTGGAAAATCGACCGACAACAGTGCCAATAAAGGCAAGCAAACGAAAGGTGGTGATGTGTACACCCAAGTAAAAACTCTGCACACCTTCCAAAGAAAACACAACCGAGTTCTGTGAAGAGAAGATGTTGCAGACTGGGAAAGAGGAAGCAACAAGGAAGGAAGAATCCAACCCGAAGTGAGACTAAAAGGAATTGGGAAAACAGAGGAAGAAGGAGAGATGAGAGACATAGAAGTGGAAGGAAATCCGAGAGGAGGGAAGAGAGAAGCGGATTAAGGGAGGAAGAAGGAAGAAGAACAAAGAATGAAGTAAATGACTGCCACCAACCCTTGCCAGACCTTGGGCCGGTGGCAAGGGAGAAACACCGACAATGAAAAACTCACATAAAGAGGTGAGAAATACTCTCAAAAGAGAGAAAGACTCTCAGAAAGAAATAACACTTCCACACCATCTTTGATATAACCTATTTTCTATTGCTTTTTGTTGGCAGGTGATCACTAGGTTTTTTGTCTTCTCTATATATTTATATATGTTAAATTTCAGATAGACGGGTCATGGGCCCACTCTAACAACACCGATACTGTCCTTACTTGGCCATCTGCTCAATCTGTTAGGTGTGGGGTTTTAATACAAAAGGTCTCGGTGATAGTTATAGTGGGGTAATTCTATTTAAAGGGCTTGTTCTCAAGCCTTATGGCCGATGTGGGACAGAGGAATTCTAACACTCCTCCGCACGTGAGACCTTATTTTATGGGTCACACGTGAAGTTCCACACATCGGCAACCACGTGGAGCCAAGCCAGGGCTCACCCGTTCGCGCAGGGCCAATGGGGACCCACCCATTCACGTGGCATCTCTTGGCCTACATGGAGCCAAGTTGGGGCTCACTCGTTCCCGTTCACATGGATGTACAAGCCTGTCCCCTGACTCTGATACCAGTTTAAATTTTAGGTAGACGGGCCATGGGCCCACTTCAACAACACCGGTACTGTCCCCACTTGGCCACCTGCTCAATCCTTCAAGTGTGGGGTTTTAATACAAAAGGCATCGGTGATAGTTAGAGTGGGGTAATTCTATTTAAAAGGCTTATTCTCAAGCCTTCTGGCCGATGTGGGATAAAGGAATTCTAACAATATATATAGGTAGTCATGTTTTCTTTGATTGATATTTGGATTTCTCTGTTCAAAAGTAGGTTAAAATCTTGTATGTTGAAAAGTTAGGGTGTAAGATTTATAATGTTTCTATAAGACACAACCAGTTAAAATAAATAAAAAAATGGGTTTTTAAAACAAAACGTGCTCGCAAGGCAGGGTTGAGAGAGACGTAAAACTCAACTTATCGCTAATGGATTCAATCAAACGGAGGAAGTAGATTAGTTGAAACTTTCTTTTTAGTATTTGCAAAAGAATCTTTTAGGATCATAAAGGCATTGACAACTCATTTTAATATTGAATTACATCAAATGGATGTAAAAATTGACTTTCTAAATGGAAGCTTGGATGAGCAAGTGGTCATTTATTACAGTGGTAGAAAGGTGTTGAACCCTTGCAGGACGGCATGGGTTTAAACCCTGTCGATGGCTAATCTAACGTTTAATCTAATAAAATCTATCATTTGACCAAAAGAAAAAAAGAAAAAAAACAATGGAAGCTTGGCTGAGGGCTCGTTTGAAAATGCTCTTAAATGAGTGAAGTGAAAGCACTTTTAGAGAAATGCTTTTAGGTCTCAAAAGCAGTTGAAGCGCTTCTTGCAGGAAGCACTTTGAATATTTTTTTCAAAATTAACTTTCATTTTTCCTTATGATTTATTTCAAAAATATATATTTTTTTTAAAAACGTTTTCAATCATTTAAAAATGTTTCCCTAACGAGCTTGAATATGATTTAACCCCCTAGATTTGTTGATAAGGGGAAGGACAATTTGGTAAGCAAAATAAATAAATGAACTTATGGTTTGAAACAGATATCAAGGCAGTGGAAATCGAAAGTTTGATGAGGTGGTAACGTCATTTGGTTGTTGTCAACAAAATCGATAACTCAATTTACACAGGGCAGATGCTTACTCAGAAAACACGAAAAGTACTTTCAAAATTCTTGTCAAATGTGTTGTAAACAAGTTTTCTTTATTTGAAAGCGTTTTTGGTCACCGCCAAGTTGACGCAGTCCTTGGTTGAGTAACTTCAATGAAGAAATATAGGCAATAATATTCTGAACCACTGTAAAATTATGACAATTTGCTACATTTCTACTTGTCCATAAGAAATCTGCACCATTGTCTACCAAATGGAATGCTCTAGCATACCCACTGCTGTGTCTCAACCACAAACCTCTTGTAATAACGGTATCTGATGACTGATCATAGCGAACTAGCTACTTAAGGATCGTTGAGGCGCCGGCCTGTCCCACGGAAAGCAACTCCATCAGCCTGCTGTGTGGTGGTAGTAGTCCCGCTGCTTGTTTGTGGCTGCACTGGGCTGCTTGTTCCAGTACTCCCGTTGAGTCGAAAGCTTCTTCCTCGGAATGCAACTCCGGCTTGTGGATTGCGCTCCACTGGGGAATTGACTTGGATTCCCTGACCCCAGAAGGCTACTAATTTGTGTCTGGTAATCCATGATTAAGGTCTAAACATATGTACAGAAAAAACGGTGCTAGAAAAAAAAAACAACAAAGCTTTATTCCACTAAGTGCGATTGATTGTATGAATCGTAGAACGCCAAAATCGATCTCAATAGTATTTTAGGACTCATACAGCGGACTTCATTTAGTGAGATAAAACTTTGTTGTTGTTGTTGTTGTTAATAAATCTCAAGACTAATGAAATGCAATATGTGTATGTGCACGGCAAAGGATACACCCAGAGAGGAGTCTTGAGAGTGAATTTTCCACCAGAAAGAGGATGAAGCACAGTTAAAAAGTAATAGAGATGACCTGCAACCATCCCCATAATATCTGGCTTCAAGGGAACTCCAAACATCAAATCCAGAGTCAGCAGTGCGTAAGGAAGATAGAACCCCTGCATATACACACAACATGGTCAATATGCTAGGCCGAATTAAATTGCCATGGTTTAAAAAAGGTGGGAGGACTGTTTCTGGAAGGATTAAAGCGTTTTTATGACTACTTTGATAAGAAAAATAATTTAAAAATGGTCATATAAGCGCATTCTAAAAAAACTTCTTAAAGCACTTAAGTGGAAATATTTTTCGGAGATACAATCGCATAATGGGATAGAAAGAGAGAACACTCGTACCCAACGGGGAGAAAAGTACCTTAAAGGTCACAACACCAGCTATGTTGACACGTGAATTTGGGAACTCACGAGACCATACATAGACGATCATGAAAACCACAGAAGTTCCCATAAACGGAGACCATAAATATGGAACTGCAGCCATAGCCTTAAGAAAGAAAATCATCTTAGGAATATCGTTCTTTCACGTTAGTCTATGCAACAACAAAAACTATAGTACAACAATAATTTTTCGATATATTCAGAATACTTTGCGACACAAATTAGATTAGAAATTATGTACGGCTTACCAAAAGTGAGAGAGCTCCAAACATAAGCATCCACATAAAGTCTGCCGTTCTCTTGTCAAACGGTCCTCTCTCCAATGCAACACCATATCTTGCTCTATTCCAATGGAATTATATAAAAATAATAATAAATAAAAGCTTAGTCAATTAGTTATATGAACAAGATATTGGACGAAATGGTCCAACTGATATATGTTTAGGGATAATATTTAGGTATTCGCTAGTGAGTATTCAAGTATTAAGAATAATACTTGGGTCTTCACTAGTGAATACTTTATGAGAGTATTTGTTTGCCCTTATTAGTTTTTACTGGACTAGACTAGACTAAATATTAGTGTAATTCCGTGCTTGTTACATTATGGGACTAGTGATGAGTCCATATTTATCTATATTTTACCTTCTTAGTTATAATTTATTTAATATTTTGATACAATTTTGATACTTTGCTCTATATTTCAACCATGGGACATGCAATTTGGCCAAGATGGGATCAAACAAAGGAATTTTGGAGTAATTCCAATTGGGATAGATTCGCGAGTCTTTTCAGATGATTATATCAAAATTTCAAATTTTGATTCCCTGTCGTTTGTTTGTGGCGAATAAAAGAAGGCTGACTGTAGTTTTTCCAAATTGACATTTCTGAACGTTTTAGGCATTTTGAAGGTCAAGATGACATATTGGTTCCTTCTAAGATTTGAAGAGGACATGTCAAGCTTTAAAAAGAGACCTTTTGAGACCAAATCGGAGTTGATTTGGTCGATCAAAAAAGGGTCTTCTCTGCAGTATGAATATCACTTTGAATAGAAAACCTTTATTTATTATTTTAATTAGACTTCCAAATTTATTAGAAGACATTGTTTAGGCAGGATAAGGAATAAAGACTATAAATATAGTGTAGCAGTGTATTAGGGTTGTCTACACACTACTTTAGAGAACATTTTTGGCTTAGAGAATAAAATATTTATTTTTAGGGCGAGGCTTAAGCTTTATTAGTAAGAATATGTAGTTACTTTTCAATTTACTTAATGTGTATAACAAGTTTGTCTCACATTTTTTTTCTCTTAACCATGTGCTCACTCTGTTTTGTAGGTTTAGACCTTAGGTTTGGCTTTAGAAAGGTTACGTTTCTTGCCCTCCCCCCACCCCCTAAATTATTAATCATTGTGTTCAAAGTGTCTGTGTCTGAATTGGGTAGATTTCTATAAAATTATTGGATTTTTAGGGTTTTAAATTTGTTTTCGTGGGCAATTTTGTCACAATTCCAAAATGTTTCTTGAAATTGAAATTGATTAGGAAACAATTGCTGTCTGGAATCTGGATGCTTACTCTGTTTTGTTAAGTTTGATTATCAGAAATTTTGCTAGGTTGCGTTTGCTTTGCAGAAGATTAAGGACTAGGAATAACAATTAGTTATATTTTCATTATGCTGCTTCTTAGTCCGACAATGCACCAAATGTTTCACTTAGTCAATCCAATTTAGTATATTCTAAGTTAATCTAGTTTAATTCCTAAAGCTAGTATAGTGCAACAAACGCACTCTATGACTCACTTTCTAATAATATTATCAGATAAAATAAAAAAAGTGAACACTCACTAGTGAGTACCCACTACCCAAGTATCACCCTAATCTTAATGCGAAAAGTCACATCTTTACTCACATCAGTATAAGATCGCAAGCAAACGGGAAGGAAAAGGGTCCGAGGAAGAAGAAATTGGTAACAAGCCTCCAAACCTTCAATCATCATGATTCATTAGTAAAACAAAAAAAACATGTAAATATGGTAGCCAAATCCTAGATATCATAATTCTTTGAACGAAGAAAAAAAATCAAATATGTTCGATCTTTCTTTCCGCATGTACGTATATGAATCTTACATAATCTTGTTGGCAAGGAAGGTGAGCAACTAATTAGAGAAGATTAGATTTTGATTTACCTGGAAACGTTTTATGACAAGGCCATAATCAAGGGCTATGTTCCAAGGATTATAAAGCTGGAAGTACAAGGCAGCTGCAAACATAAAACATCCCACTCCATACGTCTTGCTCACCGGCGGCAGAGATCGATAGTATCTGCAATATCATGGGGAGGAATTCATTTAACAAGCTTCGACGATAAGCTAATCTCGTCTAATCCTATATTTATTTAACAAAATGAGCGTGTTTTCATGAAGAAAAAAAAAATTACAGATATCCATATCCAGAGAGATGAGGAGAGGTTGCTTACTCCCCAGGCGTAGACATTGTAAGCAAACGTTAATGGGAGCTGGAAAATTGAAGTGAAAAATGATCGAGTTACGACCAATTAATACAACTTTATATATATATATATATATATATATATATATATATATATATTTTTTTTCAGCATTGCACATGGCTTCTCTGTCCTCCCACTTCCTGTACACTTCTATCCTCTTCTATTTGTGCGATCACGGTTAAGTCACGTTAACATTTTACATTACTATTACTTTTTGTCTTATTATCTTTATAAAAAAATCAATATAAAATATTGATGTAGCTTAACCATGACTGCATAAAATAGAAAAGAATGAAAATATATAAGAAATCCAAAGAAGAGACTTTGGGTCGTCGCCATAACCCGACGCAAGGGTCATGGAAAAGACTTTGGTTCAATAATCCACCGAAAGGGTCATTGGAAAAGACTTTGATTCAATAACCCAACGTAAGGGTCAGGCAAAGACTTTGGCTTCAACCAAGTCTTCCTTCCATTATCTTCGCACCATTGACCACGTCTGCATTGAACTCAGAGCAAATACGCTCCACTAATACAATTACTATCCAGGGGACAAGTACTGTTCACGTATGCATCGCATTTAGTGCAGCTTTTTTACAGTTTTACATGATCATGATTTTGTTTAGAATCAAACAAGATATCAACTTCGACCATTTTCAGCTACATATTGATACAAAATTCTCCCAGCATGGAATGGGCGATGCACATAATTCTTAACGTGAGAGATTTTTCAGCGTGACAGTCATATCAATATGTTGTATTATAATTTTGCTCATGTTATGATATTGTTGACTACAAAAATTACAGAACCTACGTGGCGCGCAGGCCGAATAACTAATGAGCTAACTAATGTCCTTCGGTTGAATGCAGGGCGTGCCAACTCGTCGGCCGAGCTAGGCCGAGGAGTAGAATTTTATGTGGTCGCGTTGAGCGCGCTGTTGACTTCTGTATCTTGCGATTGCGACCGAGGAAGGAACGCTCTCGGTCTCTGGATTCTATAGCCTGAAGACAAGGCTACTAATTCTACGGAGTTCACAACTCGTCGAAGCCTGATTCGGCCACTGTGATTATATTCGTAAGAGTATAAGCACGCCGAATTGAGACCAAACTATACGGGCACAGGTATTCGAATGTGATGTATGTCTTGATGGTAAACGTAGTTCGGCCGTCGGAATGCCGAACCCTGAAACTTATTTGTGAGTATCCAATCATAAACTCACTCGGCCTCCAATGCGCCGAGCAGGGCAATTCGTAACACCCAACTATGCCGAAATGGCTTAGTAAGATGACCTCTACCAACAAAGGTTCGAAAACCTTCCTCGGCCGAGACTTAGATAGATAATCGGTCGACCTCTACGCAGTGCTGTTTATCCAAACTGAAGGTGTGTCTCGGTCGGCTGATTCTGCGGCAGCAGTGCTGTTTATCCAAACTGAAGGTGCTCACCGGTTGATTCCACAGTGCTGTTTATCCAAACTGAAGGTGTGTCGGCGGGAAAAGAAAAGGAAAAAATCTCAAGGTGTTTGAGAGAATTTGCGCAGGGCAATTGTATGCTGATGTTGAAGGGTCTCTTCTATTGCGTAATTTCTTGTATTTATAGCACCTCGCTCCTTGATTCCCATTCTGATTTGGATTGGGAGTCCTTGTCCCATCTCACCTTTAACTCAAACAATCCCAGTCCTATTGGGATTCTGAATTCTCCTACTTTTGAGGTTTTACCCCTTGCCGGTCGAGAATCCTGGTTGCATCAGGATTTCCTCGACCTTTCCTCGTTTATCTGGACTACTTAAGATAGGATCTGGCCGACCCTGCCAGCTGGTCCGAGTCTCATTATTTGGCCCATAGCATGTGTTATTACCTTGGGCCGAGCACATCCTGCTGCTCGGCCCAATCCTAATATTTTGGGCCCAAACAGATATATATATATATATATATGTGTGTGCGCGTATCATGTGTTGTTAATATATTCTAAGTTAGAAAATTATCAACCTTACTTTTTTTTTTTTGTAGAGTATCAATGTAACAATTAACACACATTATAATACTATGTGACAATGTGATAGTTATAACATTGTGGATGATTGGGTTTGTTCGCATGCCCTCAACTCAACAATTTGCAATTTTTCTACAATGTAACAAAGCATATTGAATACCCAAAAAATGAACGACTAAATTTGAGCATTAAAATGAACGGTTTGGAGTTCGATTTTCGTTAAAAATGAATTTAAACTGTATTATTGTTAACTCATTATAAGGCTAAGTTCATATTTTTCTTCTTAATATGGATAATATTTGAAAAATAAAAATAATCACGGGCGTTTTAGCCACGCGCGTAGTCGTTGATAGGAATTAGGATGCTTTTTAGCAATAAATTGGTGGCAGTATAGTCAGATATGGTGTACGGACTAGTATACCTCTCCTAGACTCCTATCCTGAAATACCAAAGACGAGTAAGTTACTAGATTCCACTAATGCCCACTCCTCCACTCCACTTTCTAAGCACCATCGAATTTGAATCTTTTTATTTCCTTCTCCAATATAAATTTAATGGACCAAAATAATGGTCTTGGCCTAGATATATGATTTATTCTCGGACCGTGGATCTGAACAAAACATTATATATTTTTTGGTTTTGAAAAATTGATGTTCTAACAATACTAATTTATTGAGAAATGGGATTTGAGCTCAAGTGTGTAAAGATAGATACATTATATAATCAACTGACCTAACTCACATCTGTCATCTATCACATTAAAATAAACTTGTTCAAAGTTTTATATTTAGTATGACAACGCAAGTTACAGAATATCTTGAAAAAATTAATATAGTGGAACTGTGGAAATTGTAAAATTACATTAAAAGCCATATGAAACAAACAAAAGCCAGAGTAAAATAAAAAGGCCATCTCTCAAATCTCGGTCGTCATGACCCCCAACCTCGTTGCTTTCCAGCTCCTCCATTTATATAATATAAACTAAAATCAAGAAGAAAAAATCACCTTCCATTGCCGTCAAAACCAGATTCATCCGAAGTAATCCAACCTCAAAATCTCAAACCTCTCTCTCTCTCTCTCTCTCTCTAGAGAGAGAAATGGACGACATGCCAAATATGTCTCCTCCGCCCAAGGGCGACCTGACGAACACAACTTATGGTACCATGATGATAAGCAGCAGCCTCACATGGGGCAAAGATGTCATCATCCTCTTCCCCAAGTGGCCTAACAACAACCTCAGCATGTACATCTTGGCTCTCTTCTTCATCTTCCTCCTCGCTGTCGCCGTCGAGCTATTGTCCGTTTTGCCCAAACACAGACCGGCAGCCAAACCCTACCTATCCCTTCTCGGTCAAACCGGCGTCCACACCTTTCGCACCGGTTTGGCTTACCTGGTCATGCTCTCTGTCATGTCATTCAATATCGGAATCCTCATTGCCGCCGTGGCCGGCCATGCGCTAGGTTTCTTCATCGTTAAGGTTCGTGATCATGGCCAACACCCCCCCGACTCGCCCGAGCCCAAAGTTTGATTTGTCTTCTTGTTGATCGGTGCTTAAGTTTGTGTGGGTGCTTGGGTTTGTTTCTATCTTCTTTTTTTGTTGGTTTGTTATATAGTGCATGACTATATTTAACGGGAAATAGTTTTGCTCACCATCTAATCTATTGTTATCATACGAGTTTAAATTTTGACATCTATACGGTGGATAGAAATAAATATCAGAATTTAAATTCATCCAATGATGATAAATAAGATGGTGAACATCACCATCACTTAAGGATGGTGAGCAAAAGTTGCCCCATATTTTATGTGTGGCTACTTTTTTTCACCAAAGATTTTCATGTGCCTGTTGTGTTGTGTTTTAGCTAGTTTGCTTGTGGCTCAAATGAACTAATATTTGTATGATTTGCATATTTCTGTTCGAATCAAGTAATATTTGAACTACACCTCAAGAAAGTTAAGGGAGAATCCTACTTCATTATTCTACCCTTCTTGTACCACTACACTCGATATATGTGTTACAATTGGAATGCGTTTGATACACCACATTAGCATGTCAAACACGTCACTATAGTGAGGCTCGTTTGGGAAATAATATTGGACTAAGCTAACTAAATTAAGGCATGTTGACTATTGAAATTACTAAAAAGGTCCGAATAGGTAGAAGCTAGATTACTCATAAACGAAACTTATTTCAATCCCCACAAACTGGTAAAACATCAATACCTCATAACTTATTCTTTTTTTTTTTTTTTTTTGAATTAGAAGTTTTAATACCCACAAAATTATGACCCTTCACCTCGGCCTTCAAATCTTACTAGCAAATTGTACCTGCGCGTTGCGATTGAAACATTGTTGAAAATGTAGAAAATCTCGAAAATGTGTCAAATTGTACCATGTGTTCGGGTGTTCCTTATGTTATGCAATATTTGAGCTTTCAGTTTAGTGCACTTACATCTTCAATCTCTAATAAACAAAGAAAATGATTAGTATCACATATTTAACAATATATAGATTGCCTACACGCATCATAGGTAATTACATGACATTCATAATGCTCTTGCCGGATATAATCTGATTAACCAATATCAAGTATCATTTATATGAACGGAAAAAAGGTGCAGTAGTAATATACCCATAATATGATGCAAGAGCCTTGCTTTTCTCAGCACCAAGTTCTTAAGGAACAATCTGCTTGCGGATAATCATGTCAGCATCCACAATCACAACCTCATCAACATTCTCAGCCTCCACCGTGCTTAAGCCAGTGCACAACTTGAACTGGTTTGTTAATACCTGCAAAATTAGCATCTTAATCAATAATTTATGCATTAATGAAAGCTAACTTCTTCCATTTAATTCAAACCATCAAATTAAACGAAGAACTAAATCCAACTCAGAATTTAAAATTCAAACTTCGCACCAAATTAAGAAAAAAAATGTTTTTCTTAATCTGACCAGTTGCCCGTTTTTGAGAACCTGCTCATGGAAGTAAACTCAAAAGTGGGAGCCAAGTGCATCCCCTTGTACTTCTTATTGTCTCCAGACAACCGAAGGATCCAACACGAAGAGAGCGAGATGAAGACGGAGATAAGCAAAGAGAAAACAGAAAAGCAAAGAGAGAAAAGGCAAACAGAAAAGCACATAGCAAAACGGCAAATTAAGCAAAAAAAAGCAGGGACATTTTCGTCCGGACACTATAGAAAGATGCTTAAGAACTTGGATTCGAAACCTCCATAGACGAACACTTGAGAAGACTAAACAAATAGACGACTTGGGACTGCCATGTTACTTATGGAAGCCGTTCAAATGTATCATAAAAATCATTTGGCCGTCAAAAGATTGATACAGCATCGAATGTGCCTTAATTCTCAGGGGAGAAGGAAGGAATGTGAATTTAGATGGGGGCTATAAATTATTACCATAGATGGAGAGCAGGAGAGCAGTCTTTGTTCAATATTGAGACGCATGAAACCGTCTGAAAGGTGTGCATCGGCCACCAAACCGTCAGGTGCTCTTTCATTTCTATTGGAAATTACTGCAGCACCAATGCTAATAAAATTTCCCTTTGATATGGACCATTTTGTTTCTCCTGGATATGAGCAAGGGGTGGTGCTACAGAACGATAAATTTTTCCAAGTGCCGGGAACACCATGACACATGGTGTTCCCTCACACATTAGGATTTGACATCTTGAATATCCTTCAATTTTATATTTCAATAAATAAATAAAACTAAATCCTAATGTGTGAGGGAACACCATGATACATGGTGTTCCCGGCACTTGGAAAAATTTCTCCTACAGAACAAACCTCAGATTCATGACGACCCGAAAGGCATTTTCTAGCATCTGAAGACAGAAACTTTACTATCAAATAAATCAATTTAAAGTCAGAAACAAAAGGGAAAGAAGAGGAGAGAAATTAAATTACATTATCGAACGGCTCGAGCGATTTCCAAAACAACCCATCTGAGTTGGAGGACAGAAGGACTTCTCCGACGCGGTCCAAGTTGAGGCTGCAGTTCAAAGCCACCGCCGTGGCTCCACCGTCGAACTGTGCGTGAGGGAGAGGGAGAGATTCATCTGGTTCAATACAGCAATCTACATCTCCTTCCATTCAATGAGGTTTGAATTGTACGAGTGGATATTGAAGTTGAAGGCCGAGAAAACGGAAGAATTTTCAGGTGGAATTAAAAAAAAAACAACCGGTGATCGGGTTCGTTGGCGGAGGTGGAATTTGGCGCAATGTCATAATGCTACAGCGCATTCCTGGCTAAAAGATGTGACGCTAAATTACAATCAAGTGGAGTATATTCAATAGCATGCAACAGCATATGTTGTTTTCATTCTCTAATGCAACAGATTTCGTAGACAATAAAATGGTGAAATAACAGGACTGCTGTTGACAAGCGGAGCCTTGTCACGGTAGCACCGTGTAAACCTTGACATCGTCCATCTCCGGGCTTCTCACTGAGTACTGAAATGTCCATCCGTGGCAAGCACCGGCATGCACGCCCTTCTTATTGATGGCGAAAACAGCTCCAACAAAACCAGGGAATTTTCTCGCTATTCGTGACATCGCATCCTTGGCAGCGAGTTTAGGTTCCATCCCTAATCTCATACTCTCCACAACTTGATAACTGTAATTCAATCATTTAAACTAGATTGTCAGTCATTAAACAGAAGTTGAACAGATTCAGTACAGGAGCAAACTGGGGGCTAAATACACATGGCAGAACATAAAACAAAGCCTGCTCGACACATACATAACGCATCTTTATATCGCGTGGTTCTACCTACAAAGATCCATTTAAGTAGTTTTAGCATCCAAATAAACTGGAGCTGCAAATACAATGCATCGTACTGGTGTATTATGTTCAAAACTCGAGCCACGGTAACAGTTTATAACAAACCTCCAACAGGCATGGTTTGCTTAATTATTAAGGGTTTAAGAATATGCAAGTCAATTCATAACTTCATCACCCCCCACGAGGAAAGACGTTGAGCATAATAGTTATGGCTTCAATGGAGCAAAACCTAATTTCAAAAGCTAAGATTTGTAATTGTTGACTGGAACTGACATCCTTCAGCAATATTATTATTTGCTCCAAAAAAGAACCCAAATAGGACCAGGACCAAAGATGACCAATAACTGAGTAATGGATGTTTTTTCAATTACCATGGAAGGAAACGCATCATGACGTCACCATCTCCGGTTGCACCACAAGCACCAACTTCATCATCAGCATATGCAGAAGATCCAGCAATTGGCCCATCACCCACCCTGTAGTTAAGAAAGCAATGTCCTTAGTGGAATGGGGAGATAAATTTGTCATTTCATCATTTTTGATTAAGCTAACCCTATGTTCTCTAAAATCTCTATGAGCTCTACCAAAAAGACTATAACTTACCTCCCTGGGATCTTAAATGTGGCTCCATTTGTCGAGGTACCAACGGCAATTTTCCCCATCTAGACAAGAAACCGTAGGTAAATCAGTGAAATCAAAGTATTCACAGAGACTTTACTAAGAATGTTAACCAACAGCAATTTTCCCCATCTAGACAAGAAAATGTAGGTAAATCGGTGAAATCAAAGTATTCAAAGAACCTTTACTAAGAATGTCAGCCTACTTTATCAAAAACTGCCATTGATATGGTGTCGTGGTTGTGACGACCAATGGGAGATGATCTTGGGTTAATATTAGTGGTTTTGGAACACAGCCCATGAGAAAGACCTAGAGAATCCTTTGCATGATAAGGGCCACAACTATTAGCAGGTACGACATCTTTCCAAAAATTAGGCTGGCAGTCGTTTTCTTTCCATTTGGTCCACTTCTCAATGGATTCTGATGAACTAAGGTTTGTTGGTCCTGGAAGACCCATTGAAATTGCAAAGGCTGACGCCTTCTCTCCGACAAGCAAAGTGTGTTCGGTATACTGCATCACTAACCTAGCAGCTTTGATTCCTTCCCTTACATACCTCATGGCAGCAACAGCTCCAACCTCCATCGTCACCTACGCATGTCCTTAGCAAACAAATAATAGATACTCATTATCAAAGCAAGCAGTACAAAATGCTGCAATAGCAAGAGCAACAATTGAGACGGACAGAGCGCGTGAATGCAACTTACCCCATCCATGACCAGAGCATCGATTGTAGTTTCTCCGTTCTCATCTGGACTCCCACCAGGCCCAACTGTCCCAACAACATCATATATTATACTTTCATATAGTAGCTATCAAACCCATCAACATTCTAATCAACATTCTAAATGAGAAATCACAAAATTAATTACATAATTCAGGAGAAAGTTTTACCATACAAGGAAAGCAAAAGTTACTTTCGGTTATGATTACATCCTTTGAAAACTCAATTCATACATACTCTCTAATATGATTTGAGGTTTCCATTCTCATGAGAAGTGATATTGACATATGCTACATAATACGACTGCCATCGGTAAGAAACTATTTGTCCTGGTTTTCCAAGCACACCCAAGAACTAAGATCCTAACAATTAAACCATGGTTGGTCAACAATTTATTTGCCATCTTCATCTTCTATAACATGAACTTTCGACTCAAAAAATTGTCTCCCTCCCTTCCTAATGTGTAATTCCAATCCACACAAACACTGACTACCAAATCAAATTCATACAGATAATCCAACCATCAATTCCTGACAACATTGTTTCTTACATGAAGATAAAATCAACTAAATCCAAGAATCCAAAAACTACCTGTACCATCACATCTGAGCTCCTCGCAAGCCGAGCAACCCTCAACGACGGCATCCACGGCGGAGAAACCATTATCCACAGCCCTCCATGCTGCTCTGACAGCCTCTACGAAGGGCCATGTGCTCACCACCACAGGGTACTGCCCTGAAGCCGAAGCTTCCTGGCCTTTGACCTGATAACCCATCAATAAAAACACGATCTTTAATCAAATTATACCACCCAATCATGCACGTAATGAAAGAACCAAAGTACCCAGCTGTTTGATTCCTCAGAAAATGCAGGGGAAATTTGAATTACATGAAAAAGATACAAATTTCAGGAACCAATTGGAGGAGAATAAAGAGTAAAAATATAACTAAAATTTATGATCTCGTGTGTACTAAATTACCAAGGAAAGCAGTGAAAATGTAAGGATCAAGATTGGTAGAGAGCTCAGACGGTTGGCAGCCATGGAAGGGGACAATGATTGCTGCTCTGTTATCTTTGGAGCTGCTGCGTACGAGTTTGACTAACAGGTGTCTTAGACCTGGTTTGGTACTGAGGTGATTCTAAAAAAAGCTGCTATAAAAAAAAGCTGGGAGCTGTTTTTGTGTTTGGTAAACACTCAGCTTTAGCTTTTTTTCACAGTTTTGGATGAAAAAAAGCCAAAAACAAGAAGCTGCAAAACCTAGCTTTGAAAAACTGGCTTTTTTTCACATCTGTTTTACATAAAAGTTTACCAAACACTCTAATTCTGTTTTTTTTTTTCAAAAGCACTTTTACAAAAAAGTTTACCAAACACTCTGCTGCTTTATTTCACAGCGGCTTATTCTCACAGCACAGCAGAAGCAACTTTTTTTCAAAGCACAGCAATACCAAACCAGCCCTTAGTTCAAATACACATTTGGTCCCTGTGGCCTAACCATTGGCCAACTTTGTCAAATCAATTATAGGGGCATAGCTGTCCTTTTCAAGGGTGTTCACGCTCTATTGTGCAAGAGAATTTTTATTGTGTAAAAGAATTTTTTTTATTGTGACGGGAATAGGGATGATACATCACGTGTTTTATAGAAGTTGTGAGAAATTATATTTTTTAAGTTATTAACTTTTTAATACATATATCCCACAATTTGTATAATGACATGTGATGTACCACCTTGTGTACTGATTACACTGAAAAATCTCTATATGTGCAAATATGCATTCCAAATACTGATTGGTTGCGTTTCATGTTGTGCAAAAAATTGTAAGGGAAATTAGTCGAGTGTGTTGTGAAATTTTAGTGTGAATGCCACATAAGTAATTATATGATAAGGCAATCCAAATTTGATTTTGGTATGAAAAGTACCAGTAACATTGTGTCGAAACGCCTATATATAGAGGTATGTTTGTAATCTTATTACAAACAAAAGATAGAAGAGTGGAAGTAATAATATCAATATCTCTTCCCTCTCTTTACCAGCATTTGTGAGATACAGTTATAAAAATAAATAGTGTGATACATTGCACCTATTCCGGTTCTTTCTCTAGTAAAGTTATCTCTCTCTCACTTTTTTTTTTTTTTTTTTTTTAATGAAAACTTACTTTTTCTATTTATAAGAATGAAATTTGTAGACTTCTGCGTGCATGCTTTGCTCAGGAAATTGACCGGGACCACTAATGTTCCGAACTTGCTGGACGTGCTCGGGCAGGCGATCTCCCACCTCTTGGAATGGGGGAGAATGCTCAAGGTAACTAGCTAAGAGGGGCCTAAGTACGGCGGATGCCGTACATTTGGGTGGCAAAGGAAAGCGAGATCATACCAGTTTTTTCAGGCCTGTTCGGACATATGGTTCCTGCGGCGGATCAAGTTGGTGAGCGTGTGAGTGATGGCTTAAAGACGTTTCGACTCCTGACATTTTCTTCGATGATTTCCCACCCGAGATGCTTGATTATCTCGAACTCTTACAAGCTCGTTGGAGTTAATGAATTTCTGGGAGTCTTGTGTAGCTGTTATTTGGTATGAATTCTGGGACACAACTGATTGTTTGATACACTAGAAACGAAGATTTGAACTTCTTTAATAAACATTCTGTTTAATTGTTGAACATCATGAAAATCGCTTCTTTATACAATATGCCAATCCAACATAGACCTAGTCTGTACTGCAACCTGAGTCCACCATAAACTCAGTCTTAACTGATCTTATTAAGGAATTTACACAATCATGGTGATGCAGTAACTCAAACCAAACTAAGAAAACAATGCCAAAACCAATCATAACGGTCCAATTCGGTATTAAATCCAAGCTTTTTCACTGCTGCAAACCAAGCACTCATAGTAGCAAGTGTATGTAATGAGATAGTAGCTTCATCTCCCCTTGCAAGTGGTCTACCATGCTCCAACTCGGAAAAAAGTTTGAACTTTCTTAGGACTGGCAAAGGTCATAACTTCTTGTACTTGTAATCATCGTCTCAGCCAGATCTGGCTTCAGTCTCGAAACATCGTCAGTTGGAGTTGGAGTTGGACTGCCCAAGGAATTCGTTTCATCTCCAGATTGTTTCATTAGCATCTGTGAAAATTGCATTGTGATGTTCCATGAGGCACTGGACGACCTCAATAGCGCCAAGGTCCATGGGCACACCATCATCCAAGGGGATGGAATCATCTACATCATCACCTTCATCTGAATCCACAATAAAGGAAAAGTAACACGGAAAAGAACTGAATAACTTCTTTCGAAAAACCAACAATATAACACCCGTTTAGTTCGTAAATTGCTATAAAATAGAAATAGGTTGGTAATGGAGAACCCCTCACCGGAAAGCATGTCCCACGCAGAATATGTAGGCTCTGGATCCAAGTTCTTCCTGGAAGGACCTTTTGATGGTTGATTCCAATATTTCCTATATAGGTCTGGTGTCCTACCCTTTTGCCAAATTATAACAGGGGCCATCTCCATTGCGAGACTTTGGATGTTCATCTGTGTACAGTTAACAACTATTTAAACAAGCTTATCAAAGATTCAGCTACGAACAACCCGCCATGGATACAACAGAGAGAGAGAGAGAGAGAGAGAGAAAGGGATGCTTCCTACCTTGTTAAGAACTGACTTCTGGCTAACGCGTAGCAGTAATGCAGTGACAAATTCTAGGGTTGTGTAGTTGACTGTAGGCAGCCTCCTGAGCATGTTTCTCATCGCACGTATGCTGGAACGAGCACCTTTGATCTCATTATAAAGCTCAAATGTGGTTAGTGGCTCAGGAAGGGTAGCTAGGTAACATTTGACTAGAGACGCTACGTCAATTGGACTTACACCCTCTGGTAATGATGCATTTGAATCTGATATTACAACACTAGATTAGTGTTGTTCTAAGAAAACTGTGTTTCAGAGAAATAAATGAAAAGAAAACATACACACTTCAGATACCTTGGTTGTACAGTGAAACTAGTTGTTGAATGACTTTTTTATCTCCCTCGCCTTTAAACAGATATGGTGTATTGAGTCCTAGAAGTCAAAAATAATCACGAACAAGTTAATCATACATGAAATGGAAATCAAAGTAATATATGTGTATCATACATGCACCAGAAGTGTACAAATTAGAGAAGTGTAGACTATGGAGTACCTGATGATATGAGATAATCTGCACATCTGACCAAAATTTGAGGAATAGGCCTACTAGATTGTTGCCGTTGCACAGTAACTTCAATCGGAACTCCAAAAACTGAAAATAAAAATTTTAAGTAACTATCACCATTCACCATTTAACCGAAGATTAAAAGAAACCACCATTCTGATACGGTTTAATCTTGACACGCAAACCACCAAATTAGGGAGATACAGATGATCCAGCATTTCACCATGTTTCAAATAATGCCAACTAATAAAAACCTGAGTCCTTTTCAATAAATTCTCCGCTACAAATTTCACCTTACAGCTACATATACAAATAAATTTTAGGGGGAACCCCGTGTGCCAGAAGGTCATGTGTAATGTAATCAGAAGTCAAAGAAACAAAGCTTCCAAAGTTTCCTCAATCCCAACTTCGACCACCAGTATACTATTAACTGCTTCCCACTATCTCATATCCTACAACTAATATTGTATATTTCCTTGTTTGTTGATTCCAGAGAAAAACCAGACGTGCGATTGAAGAAGAAGCAGCCGGACAGCCAAACAAGCCACAAAATCAACAATCTACACTATAGCCTTCGAAACTAACAGTAGTACTGTATCTCAGTTCCATCAAGTTTAACACTGTAAATCTCACAGATTTTTTTTTTTTTTTTCCAAATATTACAAGTAATAACGTTAGGCAAAAACGTATATGGAGGGAGTAGAAAATTCAAGAAACTTACCATCAGTGCTTGCAACACCCTGAAAATTGAAAAAAAAAAAAAAAAAACAAGATTAGACTTTTAAAATATGTATAACAAAGAAGAAAAGAAAGGTAACAACTGTTTTATAAATCCCATACCTTCTGCCATCTTTCAATGTCACTCAATATAGTTTTGCTCTTTTGGGCAGTCTTCTTTGCCACCTGAAAGAAAAAAAAACCATCTCGAATATGTCAGTTACGATCCCAACTTAAAAGTCATGCTCTAGGCACATGATTAGATTGTCAATGGCATTCACCGTTAGGGTTAAAGAAACAGAAAATTAGCATAATATGTTCACTCTAAGTTAGTTTCAAGTTTCACTTCTGTATTTCCTGCAAGATTTTACTTTTATTTTCATCTTTTTAGACTCTTGTATTTAGTTTCCGTACTTGAGCTGCATCACTAGGCGTGTTTACAAAACACCCTTAGCAGTGATAAAATGAAGTATTTGAAGAAAGTGACTACTGATATATCCCAGACACAGTTCTAGAAAGTCTACCTCTTCAACTTTTATCTTCCCCACAGAAACCTTTTCCTTTGTCTCTGATAAGCCCTTCCTAAAAAATGTACCAGTTGTTGCAGCAGCAACTATAAGACGTTCCTGAACAGCATGTCTTGTAGCTGGTTGCTGAAGAAGTGCCCATCGACTTTTGAACATTGACCCAACTCGTTCTGCCACATCAGCAACATTCACTTTTGCATCTTTAGTGACCTCTTCAACAAATGTTCCAGCCGAATGTCCAGCTTCTTTAATCTTCACCCCTGCATTAAAACACAGTTGGCTACAGTCAAACACAAATGTTTTTCTTATAAAAGGATTAAACAAGAAAAAACGGTGCAGTCAAAAGGTACCTGAGGAAGAAAAGAACTCGGTAGTCTTTTCTTTCCACCGGGGTGAGATGTCGGAAGGCATTGTAGCAGTTGCAGATACCAGAGTCAAATTATAAAGGCAAAGACCAGTTTAGCCTGTTTTGAAGGGAACAAGATCGCAACGGCTTTGCTCTTGCGTTAAGAAAAACTAAGGTATACATATAAGAAAGAAACCGGCTTTGATTTCACAGGTAGCAGCCTCTTGAATTCATTTACCAACACAAATTCGAAATTCAACTTAAACAATAAATCATCAAAGTTTCCCTTCTCCAATCCAATCAATCAACTTAAACAATAAATGTTTCAATGTCCACTGTTTGGTTGGTGAGAAAATGAAAGAAGGTCAAATCCCCTCCCCCCATCATTCCCAAATACAAAACAATTCAACTTAAGATTAAAAATTTATAATCCAAACTAAGCCAATCAGCTCCAATAATCAGTTATCTACCATTGTAATCTATCTAAACCGAGCGCAGTGACGTTTTGGGATTTCCGACCCACTTAGTGGGACAAGGCTTTGTTGTTGTTGTAATCTGTCTAAAGATTATTCCTTTTTCATCAAATTTTATCAAATTCTCAAAACCCAGTTGGCCAAATCAAAATCCATCGCAACTTGATCAAATTTTTAATTACAAATTGAAAAGAAAAATAGTACTAATACAGCAACAGTTGAATGAAAATTAGTTTCGAATAATTAAAAACAAACAAAAACCCTAATTTTAACTAGTGAAATTCAAGAAGATATTACCTCTTTGGGGCTTGCTGATCACGGAAGCTGGAAGCGAAGAAGCTGAAACGCGAAAAACAAAATTGAAAAATAGAAAAATCCCTTCTTTTTACAGAGAGAGAGAGACGTAGGAGAGGGAAAGTAGTCCAATTTGGGAATCCAAAATGCGACACCCGTCTGCCATCGGTGGGGCCCAGTAGGGTTGACGGGCGAATGATATGACGCCACGTGGGCGCTAATTTGTGAATACGCGGACTAGGTTCTTCAACTGACATAACCGTTGCGTGCGCAGACTGAGATTAGCACTTTGTTTTGGCTTAAACTTTAAAGTTAAGACTGTGATTAACATTAACCTCCCCAGTGGGCCCCGCCCTTAATCCTTAATTTTCAACTTTTAAATCAAAGAGTGTGTGGCATGCCTATATTAGTGGGGCCCACTCTGTTATTATATGGTCTGCCACTTGCATATTTATCAAAACTATAATTGAATATTCTAACAATAGAAAAATAATTGATTATTTTACATTTGGATGTAGGTGTGACACACGTAACAAATTCTACTACGTCATCTACTTTGTCTGAAAGTGCTTTTAAACTGATCGAAAACGTTTTTAATGAAGCACTTAAAGTACTCACTACAAGAAGCACATAACTAGTGCATTTAACAAGAAACACTTGAAATGTTTTGAAATCTAATAATATTTTCTCTAAAGCGTTTTCAATTATTTTAAAACACTTCCAAACAAACTCTTATTGTGTTTACTAAACCTTCGAGAAATTATTACGTATTACTAGAGGTGTCAAAAGGGTTAACCTGACTAATTTTAAGTTGATTTATGTGGACTTGGGCTGTGTTTAGGCCGATCCACTGAATAAACAAATTGTGTTTTAACTGACTCACTTGATAAAGTATTAAACTTAATTCAATATGCGGTCCTGACCCATTAAGATTTTTGTCATGTTGGGTCGGATCACTAAACTGGTTGACTTAAGCAACAAACTTTAGTTTTTTTGAACTTAAAAAAAAAAAAAAAAAAAAAAAACATAAACATGTATTAGAAAAAATAACCATGTATCATTATAAGTACATCAAGGAGCTTCCATCTTGGTGTCCTTGCTAAAATCCCCCACAATCCTCCTCCAAAACCAATGCTCCTGCCACACTATCTCCATCTTCTCAATCGGCACGTTCTTCGTCTCCGGCAAAAACAAGTACACGAACAACGTCATCACCACCCCCCAACCCCCGAAAAAGAAGAAAATCCCGGCCTTGAAGTGGCAGAGCATGGCTAGAAAAGTTTGAGCAACAATGAAAGTGAACAAAAAGTTCACCACCACATTGATACTTTGTCCCGCCGACCGAATTTCCAAGGGGAAAATCTCACTCGGAACCAACCATCCGAGAGGTCCCCACGACCACCCGAATCCTGCTACATAAATGCATATCAAAACCAGCACTAAATAGGCATACCCTTTGCTCACTCCGCCGTGATCACCAAGCTGAGCTGCCATTACACCTCCCACCATAATTTGTGACACCAACATTTGAATCCCCCCAGCTAAAAACAACGCTCTTCGCCCGAATTTGTCTACGATAAGCATAGATACGAATGTTGAGATTGTACCAACCACGCCAGTCATGACAGAGGACAAGAGCGAAGCGCTTTCTCCCAACCCAATTGTTCGAAAAAGTATTGGGGCATAAAAGGCTATGACATTGATCCCTGTCACTTGCTGAAAAAATGGTATGGCCATTGCCATCACAAGCTGAGGCCTATACTTTCTCTCCAGGATTTTCTTGAAAGGGTGTTTCATGTTTTTCGATATGTTGTTTGCTTTGATCAGATCATCGAGTTCCACTTGGACATCATCGACCCCTCTGATGCGTTGCAGCATTAGCTTGGCTGTTTGGTGGTCCGCGCTGCGCTGGATTAGGCTGTTGGGTGTTTCCGGAAGGAAAAATGCACCGAGTGTTAGCACTGAGGCGGGGACTGCAGCCAAGGCTAGGGAGATTCGCCATCCCCAACCGCCTTTGATCTTCTCAGTGCCGTAGTTGATGAGGTTAGCTGATAATGCGCCAATGCCGACGCTAAATTGGAAGCCATTGTTAATTGCTCCTCTGTATTTTGGTGGTGCCATTTCCGAAAGGTACAAAGGAACAGCCTGCACAACACAACACATAGATTACGCAACAAGTAACACGGAAAATGAAAAACATCGAAAAGGGTATGCTTAGATGATTAATGTTAGCGGGCAAAATGTACTACCTGATTTCCAAAACCAACACCAACTCCAAGCAACACACGGCCGAGGATGAGCATGTAGATGTTCATAGCTGCACCGTTTAGAGCTGAGCCGGCGAGGAACGCAGCTCCACCGGCAAGGATTGAGGGCTTGCGGCCGTAGGCCCTCGTGACCAAACTGGCAAAAAGGGAAGCTACAAGACCAGCTATGTAGAGTGAGGATGTGAAGGAGGTCAACAATTCGCTGTCGAATTTACAGTAGTTGCTGATTTTGGTGTCCAATTTCATCTTCGTGTTTACCTCAGGGAAGAATTTTTTCAGAAATGGCTCCATTGATGTCACGCCGCCCGAAATTCCAATGTCGTAGCCGAAAATAACACCTCCTGTGGCTGCCATCATGCAAGAGAGGATGACGAACGGCGTCATCCTCCCGTTGTATTGACCAGCTTCGCCTGCTACTGCTAACCCAACTGCCATTGCTTCTTCCAACCTCACTCACAAAAATATAGGAAGATAAGAGTACAAAGTTTAATAAATTTGTAAAAAGAAAATGGATGTGTAAAGAGAGAATGTTTTACACTCTTTTCCGACAATACGATATTCAAAACTACTGTAATTTACGGGAACGAATTTGTTGCCCAACCACTTGTGCAAGGGCAGTCTTACTTGACTGGTATATAGAGAATGAGATCAGCATTGAAATATGCATCGGATAATTTATGGGATATTCAGCAAATGGTTTTGGACTTTGTGTGGAATATGTAGGCAGTGGTTGCAATCACTATATATTATTTTACAAATTCAGGCAGGACCATAAGCATTTGTCTGAACTCTGAAGAAAGTTAAGAGAGTACTACTTCTTTAGATAAGGCTAAAAAGTTAGAAAAATGTACTCATAAAATAAGCATTTGGGACATAAGCACAATTATTGGAGTAAAACCTTTTATATTTTTACGGTTTTAGTTAAAATGGTTTACGAAATTGACATAACTTTTCACTTTAGTTCCTGAAATTTAAAATCGATATAAGTAATCTCTGAGATTGTCCACCATCAACAATTTTGGTAATTCTGTGGAAAATCTCTGTTAAGTTGAAGAAACTACTAGTTTCAGAAGAGGAGTTTGAGTTGACAAACAACGAAAATCAAAATTCAAATAAAATGTTATATTGTCATCATGATAATTTAGAATTATGATTAGGTAGAATGCCGCTTACATGCACAAAATAACGTGCCATGCCAATGGAAGAACATTACCCTAAAACCTGTGTTACATAATATGTAAGTATACCAGCCATGAGGATCAAAGTCTTGCGGCCGCAAGCTCCAGTGAGTGCAGAGGCAAAGAAGGAGGCTTCAAAGCCGTCTAGTGAGGTTGTAACCGTGGAAAAAAAAGTTGGCCATCAAATTTGCAGTAGTTGCTGGTTTTGGTGTCTTCCTTCATCTTAGTGCTCCGGGAAGGATTTCTTTTGAAATGGCTCCATCATTGAATTCACTCCACCTTCACGAATTAATCAGGATTAGTACTTGCATTAGCTAATAAATTTTGTCAACAATATTTGGCTAAACGTTTCAAGTCTGATGATTGTTTACGTAGTGTTATTAATTCACGTGTTATATATGGGATGATGAGTTCATTAGTAGTACAACACGGTGGTCTCAAATATATGAATATTATGATGACTGGCCTGAAATTCCAACATCGTAGCCAAAAATAATGCCTCCCATGGTAGCAGGATAGCACCACAACCTGGGTGCTAGATTGACCGTCAGGGTCTCTCCTGCGCAGGTGGATATCAATTTGTGGATTAACATGAATCAAGGCGCAAAACTGTGGAAACAAACCCAAACACCCCAACAGCAACTAGCAAGTAGTGGGCCAATATGGGCTAAAAAGCCTATAAAATGCAGAAGCTAAATACTGCCAAATACAATCCAAATCCATAAGCAAGCCTAAACGGCCCAAAGAAGAAGAAAATATAAAACAGAATAGGAACCACAATCAAACAGAAAAGAGAGATGCAAAATGCGAAGTGGGAATATTGATAGTCTCTTTGTCTCTTAACAGTTTAACGTCAATTCTCGTGCCAACATTACAAAATATTATACTAAAAAATATGAGATGATAGAAAATCTATAGAGAGTCCCACTTTTGAGAGTTTCCTTAGCATTTCTCAACAGCAAAAACAGTAACAACAAACAATCACGTAGAAAATGACATCGTTTGCTTCTTTGCATGTAACGGTCTCATTTTTTTTTGAGGAAAGCTAATGAAAAGGGTTTGAAAACTTTAAGTTTTAACGATATGGACAAAATAAAGGGTAAAACGAAAAATACCAAGATTGATTTTTTAGTGTAAAAATGTGGTTTTTCGTTAAAGTGAACAGTACCATGAGTTTTTTGTTAAAGTTCCCTTCTTTTTATTTGTAAATAACACTTCATGCAAAATTTACCTTCTAAAATAAAATATAAAAAATCATTATTGACGCTCAAGAAATTTAATTTTATATCTCTCATAAGAGTATTTTTCTTTTTAAATATACAATGTTTAAAGTGTAAAATTAAATTTTTAGAGTATTAATAATAATTTTCATAAAAAAAGCATAAGTTTATGAGTCAAATCAAACAGCAATTTGTCTGATAAAAAAATAAGGAGCCAAGTATTTTCTCATATAAAGTTCAAAAGGTATTGCAAGAAAAACAAAAGGTAGGGCAGAAATAAAAAAGTTCAAACACTAATGATATTTAATTTGGGTCTTCTTTAACAAAACCAAAAGCTTCAATTGGCCCCAACTAACTTGATTAGTCTTTTCCTAATTTCCTTTGCCTTTTTGGGAATTCCTCCTCAAAATATTTTGTGCCCAATTCATGAAACTTTGAAATAATCGAAATTGTTAATATTAAAAATCATTCTATAAAGATCATTTATATAAAAAATAAATAAAATATGAGATCATTTAATCATCAAAACTCTACAAAAACAAATAGACAGATTTGGAACAGCATTACGAATTGTCCATCTGATTGTTACCCTTGACTGACTAAATAACTTTAGTTTTAATTAATGTTTTGTAGAAATAATCTTTACCAAGTAATTTATCATATTAGCAATTCCTATTATAAATACGAAATCCTATAAATCGAACACTAAATAAATCTCCTGCCACTCTGCTCTTATTTTGTTCACCTTCTGTTTTTTCCAAAAGTTTTAGCAGGGGCAAGATAATGTAAAGTAGGATCGTCCATCTCCATAGCATTCTACATGACACCCAAAATTATTAGATTCGGTGGGTGAGATTTCCTTCTCAGTTAGATTATTGGAAAACTTCCATGCATTAACATACTCACTAGGCCGTGGGCTTGATTACAAAATTATAGCATCCCTAGTCTTATTAATTATAGTTGAATTTAATGATGTCCACCTGTATGAAACGTACGTGGTCCGTAATCTCCAATTAGTATATAACTGGGCAAGTGAGTCGTATTTATCGTGTTCGTATTGTTTTTAAATTATATCCGCTATCTTAATAGATCGTATCGTATCAAACTTATTATTTTTACGGGTTCTTAATAAATGACCTGATATCGACTCAACTCGTTAACGAGTCGTGTCGTCTTAATAGGTCATGTAATAAATTACAGCAACATGTTAATCAGTTCTTGACAGTAACTCGATAACAATTTGACTCTTCAACAGATTGACTTGAAACCTGTCATTTTATTCTGATTAACAAGTCGTGCAAAAAATTGTCAGATCCTAATGTTGACGTTGAAATATTTAATTTTTAAAATCTTTGTTGTGAAAAAGGCATCTCAGAAGATTGCAAGAGTCATGCATGGATTGATGTAACGACCAATAACCGCCATCAACGGCTGAATCCATGGGAACGTTCTGTGCATGCATGATGTAACAGAAAATTAGAAAAATGTGTTAAAATCCAAAGATCAAAGAGGGCCCTTTCTCCACCGACTCTTTCTTTTCGAGTTGATTATTTTACAGCATGCTGATAAGCCCTAATACATCTATCGGTATATATAATTACCAAAATAATAAGCCATGCAAATTTGTCAAGAACAAACTGCAACTTGATTGTATATAACATTTGGAGCTCGAGCTTCAGTTTGGACTGTGGAAAAAAGAGTAATTTGTTTGAAGAATATTTGCTTAGTAAAGTCAATAAATTGAACTACCACCAGACATGCTCAACCCATGTTTCTGGGTTTATGTTATGAAAATCCCCCCTTGAAAGTTTTTCATGAATGAAAATCATGTTTTTATATTTTTATGCTGGGGTGGGGCAGTGGCGCATGTGAGCGGAGTTGAATATTCCTTAATGCATAGCATATATAGTGTTTGAGCAAAAGTACCAATGCAGCATAAATTAAGTAAGTTTTGTTTATACAGAGAGAAAAAACATCCTACGTAACTATTCTTATACACCTCACATTCAATTATGGCTTCATCACCTTTCAGGTGTCAGATGTATACTTGAGTATTTGGGTCATTTCAAGTATCAACCTGAAAAATTCGGATTAGGGGGTGTCATTATCTTTAAATCCCCAGTTTGTGCCTGATATTGTGGATGATGATGAATTAAGTAGAAAACTTTTTTAAGGGAAAGACTAGAGCACATGCAAATTCCAATCACAGATATGAGGTAATGCTGAGTATAAAAGACCAGATTGTGGAATATTGGCCTGCAGTACTTTAACAAAATCAACTCTGGTTAACATTGTCAAGAGACAATGTTGAAAAACATGTAGTTTAGTCTATGGTTAATTTCCATAATTATGCTTTTGCTGTCAATAAAAGATCAGAATTTCAAAATATTGTCCTTTAGTATGTGTCAAATTTAGGGAAAAAAAAAGGGCTAAGACCTCCTATTGGTGAGCGATCTATAAAAATTTAAAAAACAGTTAAGATCCCTTTTGTATGTCCTCAAAGGGACGTGTGGTATCCTTCGGCCCTGGGATAGGGTAGCCCCCCCCTCCCGCTAAACTTTTGGGTAGCAAACAAATTTAGTCGACCATGTATGAAAAAAAACCATGTTACTTCACCACAAGTCTACAACACCAATTATAAAATAAAAAAATATGAACGTGGATTGATGGCAACAGGGAACAAGAGTTTTCTCTATAAAATCCAAAGTTGTAACACTGCAAAGCACACTCTAAACAAGCTAAGCACTTAGCCATGGTCACCCTCCATCTGCCATTGCCTGGTTTAACAACCCTTTTGAACTTAGTCACTCTTTTTTGCTGCTTTAATATCTGCTTCGCCGTTAATCGAAAGCACTTAAACTTGTCAGCCGCTGCCACCGATTGGTCCCCTGCCGGAGCTACTTGGTATGGCAGTCCCGATGGCGCCGGAAGTGACGGTATAATGCATGACCAATGCGTACATGTTTTGTAATTTTTGGTATACAGATAATGGTATTGTTTACTTAATTATAATCGACGTTTAACAGATATGCTAACTTATGCAGGAGGGGCTTGTGGGTATGGAAATTTAGTGTCACAAGCTCCGTTCTCTTCCATGATTACTAGTATAGGCCCTTCTCTGTACAAATCAGGCAAAGAATGTGGAGCTTGCTATCAGGTATACTGTATACTCTAAACTAATTAATTATTGTTATCTTGTTACAAAGCAATTTTTTAACTACTTTAGTTTATGACTAACTGACTGACAACTTCTCTGCCCTCTCAGCTCTCATAAACTCTCATTCCCTCTTATTTGTATGGTAATGGTTAAATCACGTCAACATTTTATATCACTATTGTTTTTTGTCTTATTATCGCTATAAAAAAAATCAATATAAAATATTTATGTGACTTAACCGTGACCGCACAAAATAGAAAGATATGAAAGTGTATGAAAACTGGAAGGGCAAAAAATCAACAGTACAAGAATTTTTTTTATTGATAATGAAAAGAAAGTTACACCTAGTCAGGAGATATAAATCTAACTCTCCATAATACATGAAAAAGGAGACATAAATATTACCCCTGTAGAAACGAAACAATAAAAAAATAAAAAATAAAAATAAAAATAAATAAAAAAGGGACATAAAACCTAACCCCTCTAAAACCAAACCTAAATGTCGAAACGTGTAAAACAACTTGAGCAACATCATAAGGTTGAGGTGAAAAAAAAGTGAGACAAACCTATATGAGAAGTGGAAGCCAAAAAGCCAACATAGCCCGAAAAGAAAACAGCACAAGCTACAAATTAAGAGGAATCCTGTCATATCAGAAGTTGGAAAAGACAAGTCAATGTTAATAAAATTGTCCGTAGCAACATTTCCTTCCTGATTCAAAACTAATATGAAGATAACTTTTTTTTTTCAGGTAAAATGTACCAACCATCCAGCTTGTTCTGGCAAACCGGTGAGGGTGGTCATTACCGACTTTTGCCCCGGAGGGCCTTGCGCCTCCGAACCGGCACATTTCGACCTTAGCGGTACCGCATTCGGCGCTATGGCACTTCCCGGCCAACAAGAAAAACTACGCGATGCCGGAGTTTTGCAGATTCAATTCGCACGGTATAAACCATAATTTTACACTTGCAAATTTGATGAAAATTAAAATATAATATGGAATTTGCATGGATTCTGATATGCATGTATTCTACGTTTTTCCCATGGCCAGTGTGGCATGTGATTATTCAGGACAAACAATCGCATTCCACGTGGATCAAGGATCAAACCCAAACTACTTCGCGGCTGTGATTGAATTCGAAGACGGAGATGGTGATCTTGCCGGCGTTGAGGTGAAGGAAACTTCGTCATCGAACGGTGGAGGCGAATGGCGAGCCATGCAGCAATCATGGGGTGCAGTGTGGAAGCTTGATGCCGGGGCAGAATTACATCCTCCACTGTCGATAAGGTTGACATCTCTGTATTCAGATGAGACTTTGTTGGCCAAGGATGTAATTCCAGTTGGGTGGAAACCCGGTGCCACTTACAGATCTTTGGTCAATTTTCATTAACCAATCTGGTTGTACTAAAACATGGGTTGTTATCGCACTCCAAAATCCCAACACTCCTTCCTAATAGAAGGAAGAAAGGATTGAGAAGTGTGTAACGACTATTTCCGAGTGCTGATAACAATTCAATATCTCTATAATAAAATTAGAAAAATGCAGTCAATTTTGCGGGTCTTGTCGGTCCACAAAGAAATCTCCAATCGGCTACTTATTAATCATAACGTTACAAGCATAACCAAGGGAACTAATTTTCTCACTGCATTTTTTCTCCGATACGCACTTATGTTTATTTTTAGTATTTATATTGAATAAATTAAAGAGAATTAAGAAACAAAAAAAAAAGAACAATGAACACGCAGAAAGAGAAAAGAATATTATTTCCCGAATCGAAATTTATTAATCATAATGTTACAAGCATAACCAAGGGAACTAATTTTCTCACCGTATTTTTTTCTCCGTATACACACTTATGTTTATTTTTAGTATTTATATTGAATAAATTAAAAAAAATTAAAAAAAAAAAAAAACAATGAGCGTGCAGAAGGAGAAAAAAACATATCATTTCCCGAATCAAAATTGAAAGGCATGAGAGAGGATATATTGTATCATCTTCTTAATTTCCATGAAGACGACGAAGAAAAAAAAAAAAAAACTAGTTAGGCGAGATAACCCCAAATTTTACAATTGCAAATTTGGTGAAAAAAAATAATTACTTTTCGACAAGTGAAAAAGTCAAATAAATTACATAATTTGATAGTGTTGCATGTCTACATTAATTTTAGTTGCGATTAATTTGAAGAGGGAGATGGTGGTCTACGTTGATTTAAAGGAGGCCTCCACATCGAACGGTGTTGGTGAATAGCGCCATGCAGCAGTCAATGGGTGTTGTGTGCAAACTCTGGTCATCTGGCACTTTTCTGACAAAAACGAGTGCAAGTTTTGAGTGCTAATGACAATTTTTCGTAAAAAATATTAAAAAAGGTGTGGTCAAATTGTCTATTTAATCGGATCACGTGTTAAAAGAGAAAAAGAAATAGATTTTACAAACATTACCAAAATTGCATCAATCTTGAGTAAGACGTCAAAAAACAAAAATTGGAAAATAAAATGAAAATGAAAATTGTTTAAAATCAAAATCAAAATCTCTATTTGGATGGCATGAAAGGGAAAAGGGAGAGACTCTCAGAAACAACAAAAATGAGTGATCCGCGAGAGAGCTTGTATTATGTCGTCTTCTTAATTTTATGAAGAAGATGAACATAGTTTGCAAGATCGCTCTCCCTGCCACTCATCTTCATTGGCCTCTGAGAGGTTATCTCTCATTTCAACTCAGCCAATTCTAAGAAGCCTTAATTTATAGGAACTCGAGGGCGCACAGATTCAGAAAACCAGCCTTGGAGCCCATGGTTTTCACAGCGAGAATGCCGTGTGTCAGCCTAGTTATATTCACACACATGCATGCTTCCCACGTCGTTCGACTAAAGCTAGTAACGGTGGCAATATCTATTTAACTCCACGTCACTCTAGTAACGCTACAAAGCACACTCTAAACAAGCTAAGCACTTAGCCATGGCCACCCTCCATCTGCCATTGCCTGGTTTAACAACCCTTTTGAACTTAATCGCTCTTTTTTGCTGCTTTAATATCTGCTTCGCCGTTAATCGAAAGCACTTAAACTTGTCAGCCGCTGCCACCGATTGGTCCCCTGCCGGAGCTACTTGGTATGGCAGTCCCGATGGCGCCGGAAGTGACGGTATAATGCATGACCAATGCGTACATGTTTTGTAATTTTTGGTATACAGATAATGGTATTGTTTACTTAATTATAATCGATGTTTAACAGATATGCTAACTTATGCAGGAGGGGCTTGTGGGTATGGAAATTTAGTGTCACAAGCTCCGTTCTCTTCCATGACTACTAGTATAGGCCCTTCTCTGTACAAATCAGGCAAAGAATGTGGAGCTTGCTATCAGGTATACTGTATACTCTAAACTAATTAATTATTGTCATCTTGTTACAAAGCAATTTTTTAATTACTTTAGTTTATGACTAACTGACTCACAACTCTCCTTAATGGACCTGGCTTCTCTGCCCTTCCAGTTCTCATACACTCTCATCCCCTCTTATTTGTGCGGTCATGATTAAGCATGTCAACATTTTATATCATTATTGCTTTTTGTTTTATTATCTCTATAAAAAAATCAATATAAAATACTGATGTGGTTTAACCGTGATCGTACAAAATAGAAAGAGATGAGAGTGGATGAGAACTGAGAGGGCAGAGAAGCCGGATCCCACCTTAATTCATATTATGTTTGAATTTTTTCCTTTCTAAGACACGTAGAACTTATATTCCTTTCATGTGAAGGACTGACATTTTATGACATAATAAAACTTCAGTGTTTGGACGTATATATATAGGCATATATATTCTTCAAAATTAATATTCTTGTTTTTTTATTTAAAAAAATCGACCGTACGAGAACTTTTTTATTGATAATGAAAAGAAAGTTACACATAGTCAGAAGATATAAATCTAATCCTTCATAATACATGAAAAAGAAGAGGACATAAACATTACCTCTCTAGAAACAAAACAATAAAGATACCAAAAAAAAAAAAAAAAAAAGCAAGGACATGAAACCTAAACACTCTCAAACCAAAAAGTGGCACAAACCTATATGAGAAGTGGAAGCCAAAAAGCCAACATAGCCCAAAAAGAAAACAGCACAAGCTACCAATTAAGAGGAATCGTATCATATCAAAGTTGGAGAAGACAAGTCAATGTTAACAAAATTGTCCATAACAACATTTCCTTATTGATTCAAAACTAATATGAAAATAACTTTTTTTTTCAGGTAAAATGTACCAACCATCCATCTTGTTCTGGCAAACCGGTGAGGGTGGTCATTACCGACTTTTGCCCCGGAGGGCCTCGCGCCTCCGAACCGGCACATTTCGACCTTAGCGGTACCGCATTCGGCGCTATGGCACTTCCCGGCCAACAAGAAAAACTACGCGATGCCGGAGTTTTGCAGATTCAATTCGCACGGTATAAACCGTAATTTTACACTTGCAAATTTGATGAAAATTAAAATACAATATGGATTTTGCATAGACTTTGATATGCATGTATTCTACGTTTTTCCCATGGCCAGTGTGGCATGTGATTATTCAGGACAAACACTCACATTCCACGTGGATCAAGGATCAAACCCAAACTACTTGGCGGCTGTGATTGAATTCGAAGACGGAGATGGTGATCTTGCCGGCGTTGAGGTGAAGGAAACTTCGACATCGGATGGTGGAGGCGAATGGCGAGCCATGCAGCGATCCTGGGGTGCAGTGTGGAAGCTTGATGCCGGGGCAGAATTACATCCTCCACTGTCGATAAGGTTGACATCTCTATATTCAGATGAGACTTTGTTGGCCAAAGATGTAATTCCAGTTGGGTGGAAACCCGGTGCCACATATAGATCTTTGGTCAATTTTCATTAACCAATCTGGTTGTACTAAAACATGGGTTGTTATCGCACTCCAAAATGGTTGTCGACACTCCTTCCTAATAGAACAAATAAAGGATTGAGAGTGTATAACGACTATTTCCAAGTGCTGATAACAATTCTATCTCTCTATAATAAAATTAGAAAAATGTGGTCAATTTTGCCAGTCTTGTTGGTCCACAAAGAAATCTTCAATCGGCTACTTATTAATCATAACGTTACAAGCATAACCAAGGGAACTAATTTTCTCACTACATTTTTTCTCCGTATACGCACTTATGTTTATTTTTAGTATTTATATTGAATAAATTAAAAAGAATTAAGAAATAAAAAAAGACAATGAGCGTGCAAAAGGAGAAAAGAATATTATTTCCCGAATCGAAATTTATTAATCATAACGTTACAAGCATAACCAAGGGAACTAATTTTCTCATCGTATTTTTTTCTTCGTATACACATTTATGTTTATTTTTAGTATTTATATTGAATAAATTAAAGAGAATTAAGAAACCAAAAAAAAAAAAAAAAACAATGAGCTTGCAGAAGGAGAAAAGAATATTATTTCCCGAATCGAAATTGAAAGCTATGAAAGAGGATCTATTGTATCATCTTCTTAATTTCCATGAAGACGACGAAGGGAAAAAAAATATATATATATATAAATAAAATAAATAATTTAAAAAAAAATAATAAAAAATAAAACCTAGTTAGGCGATGCTGCATGTTCGATTTACACGAGATAACCCCAAATTTTACAATTGCAAATTTGGTGAAAAATAAATTAATTTTCGACAAGTGAAAATGTCAAATAAATTACATAATTTGATAGTGTTGCATGTCTACATTAATTTTAGTCGCGATTAATTTGAAGAGGGAGATGGTGATCTGTGTTGATTTAAAGGAGGCCTCCGCATCGGACGGTATTGGTGAAAAGCGCCATGCAGCAGTCAGTGGGTGTTGTGTGCAAACTCTGGTCATCTGGCATTTTTTCGACGAAAACGAGTGCAAGATAACTATTTTGGAGTGTCAATGATAATTTTTCGTAAAAAAAAAAAAATGTGTGTGGTCAAATTGTCTATTTAATCGGATCACGTGTTAAAAGAGAAAAAGAAACAGATTTTACAAACTTTACCAAAATTGTATCAATCTTGAGTAAGACAAAAAAGAAAAATTGGAAAAGAAAATGAAAATTGTTTTAAATCAAAATTAAAATCTCTATTTGGATGGCATGAAAGGGAAAAGGGACTAGGTTGGTGAATAGAGGCCTGGTTTGATGTTATTGGATCTGATATTCAAGTTCAAATTTCCGTCTCCATATATTAGAGTGATTTAGAATATCGGATTCTAAGAATTAATATTAATGAAAAGCTTATTGTTATGCAATATGTCAAGATTTAAATACGACTGCAGTTCTTTAACTGGACCTAAAAGAGTTTACAAATGATGTTCGGAAGTTTTAGCTCAAAATTGCCATACCATATGCAGCAAGGAATAAAAATGAAGTTCTCAATTCGTACAGTACCAAGTTTTGTTCATATAAATCACCCCTTTTTATTGTCAAGGTTCAATACATCCAAGTCTCTTTAGCACAACAGGCATACAAAGTTTCGGAACCGAAAACGACGTTACGTTCCTTATTCGCAGGTTTTTCACACATACACATACCACAACAGGTATACATTCGCTTCAGAGCTAGGGGATAAGCACAACAGATCCAGATGTTCTCCTGTTCTCGAGGTCTGCGTGTGCCCGTGCTGCTTCAGATAACGGGTAGGTGTGATTCACTCGAACCCGCAGTACACCCGATGCAACATTAGCAAACACATCTCCTGCAGTCTCTAACAATTCGTCTTGCGTAACGGTGTAATGAAAGAGGCCAGGCCTTGTCAAGAAGAGTGATTTCGCTTGAAGAGCCGGTAATGAAACTGGATCAGGCACGCCTGATGACTGCCCAAAACTCACCATGTATCCCCGAAGTTTTAAGACCGCCAGTGATCCCTGAAAACAATGCCTCCAGATAAGAATTCGTAGTCCAAATCACTAATTATCTATAAGATGATGTCGATTTTGGAGTTGAGGAGTTGAGCTTTTACAACATTTAAATCGATCATCATATGGTTACGGAGATAGGAAATGTATAACTAACCTCAAACGTATCCTTCCCAACAGAATCGTAAACAACTTCAACCCCATTGTCGGATGTTATTTCTTTCACACGAGCGACAAAGTCCTCTTCCTTATAGATTATGACATGGTGGCATCCATCCTCCTTGGCTTGAGCTGCCTTCTCTTTAGTTGAGACAGTTCCAATGACAGTGGCACCAAGGGCACTAGCCCACTGGCATAGAAGGGATCCGACTCCACCAGCTGCTGCATGAACAAGGACTGTGTGTCCAGGTTCAACCTGTATCACAACTACATTTACATATGTTGGCACTGACCAGTACTAATAGTAACAAATATTCACCTTGACAAGAACAATGAAAAGTGTACGAAACAGATAGCTCTATAAAAACATTCTGCAAAGCCACATTTAATTTCAAGAAAGATTAAAAAGAGCAGATGCGGGTACATATGTATAAAACTACCTTGAAACAACGGCGTACTAGAAACTGAGTTGTCATACCCTTAAGCAAGAGGGATGCTGCGACTGTAGGATCAATGGAAGCAGGAACAGGCACAGCTCTGTTAGCAGGAAGGATCTGCTCTTCCGCATATGAGCCCATTGGCTGACCAGCATATGCTACTATATCTCCAACTTGCCTGCCTGTTAGTCCAGGTCCCACAGCCGTCACAACTCCGCAAGCCTCGACACCTGAAGTCAGTTTTGATTTGTAAATAAATAGGACAACTCCATTTCCAGCACCCAATAGAGTTTTAGATGTAAACACACAATAAATCTATCTGTGGGGAACAGTTAAGAAAATCAAATTTCGGAAGAGAACATAGGCCAAAAATTGGCGAGAAATGAAGCAAAACCTGGGGTGTAGGGAAGCGTAGGAGCCTTGTAAATGCCTTTGCGGAAGTATACATCGATGAAATTAAGCCCGATAGCCTTGTTCTTCACACGAATCTCACCCTCCTTTGGCTCCTCTACTTCCACATCTTCCCATTTCAACACCTAACATCATTACATGATAAACATAAGCAAAATGACCATATTGGTGTTGGCATAAACTAAGAACCAGAGCAAAAATTTAACGAAATGGATATCGGATTCTGCCTAACAGAAGTTAAGCATAAATTAATACTGCCTAACAGAAGTTAACCATAAATTAATACTGCCTAACAACAAAAAAAAAGCAGAAATTTAACAAAATGGATATCGACTAATCAGTATCAAAGGAAGCACTTCAAGTGATTTTGAAATCCAAAAATATTTTCTCTAAAATTACTGTCAGTCATTTTAAATGCACTACCAAACCAACCCCACATCGTTTTTCGGGTCCAATTGTCGGCTTATGTGATCGATTATATAAGAAAAACACTTGATATGGCTCTAATCAACCAGCATGATCACTTCCAAATAAATTATAAAACAAAATAAAAGCAACTCTCAAATTCAATGAGTCGAATATATAATACAATATAAACAACTCGGGCTTCATAATTAAATTGGACTAATTCTGTTTTATCATACAAATTAAAGCACAACCCAGAATTCCGATTCATATATATATATATATATATATATACATATATATATATAGAGAGAGAGAGACCTCAGGACCGCCAAGTTCATGGACTCGAATGGCTTTGACCATCTTTACTGCCGCTGCTGCCACTTCAGTGTCGACTGCTCTAACTACTACCGCTACTGATGATTTCTGGGTCCTAAAAGCTGAACAATTGCTCAAATTGTTGCTGGAAATCTGTGGAAAATGTGTAGAGTTTGGAGCTGACAGCAACTGGAAACAGGCCGGTGGACTTGTGATTAAGAAATGGGTAAAGTTAAACCATGCTTCTGGAATCTAATTGGAAGCATCTAGTCTGAGATAGCGGCCAGATGAAGAAACGCCACTTGCCCGGGTTTATTCTTTTGGGCCCAATCATTTGTGTAGAATGTGAATCACTCTCTAAACTACATAGAAAATAGAGTCTTAAATGTTATTGGTACTGTTTACTTTTAACGTTAAAGACATTTTTTTTTGCCTAAAAAATCACTTTCACCTTTAGAGCAACTCCAGCGTGTGAAACCTTCCCCCAGGCAATACACTATGCTATTCACCTGGTGAACAGTAATTGCCTTTTGCATCTCCACCGTTGCACTTCAATAGCCCTAGCAATAGACAATAAAATATTAGTATTTTATTTATTTATAAAATAATACAAAATAATTTTAATTGTAATTTCGGATAAGATTTTTAATTGTTCTTGTTGCGCCACGTGTCATTATCCGAAGTATTATTAAATAATACAAAATAATTTTATTTGTAATTTCGGATAAGATTTTTAATCGTGGTGTAAGGTATATTATAATGAGAAGGTATTTATAGAAAAGTAAAAACATTTTTTTTTTCGGATTTTTTACAATTTTTTTTTTAATTTTTATTCAACTAATTAATCTCTGCCGTTGGATATAAAAAAATTTGAATTCCAACACTCCAAATTGTGCCACGTGTCACAATGGTAACTTTTCTTAATTTTAAAATTATTTTTTCTTTTATTTATTTATTTATAAAGCCTATTTAATATCGACCGTTGATCTCAGATCGAACGGTTGATATTAAATAAGCTTTTTTTTATTTTTATTACCGTTGAGATCAAACGGTCCAAGTTAAAGAGCTGTTCAGATCGAACGCACCGTGGGAAGCCACGTGGCTTCCCAACGGTAACTGAGGCTGACTGCTCCGCGGGCCTCTGTGGTCTGAAACTTGTCTGCTGATGCGCCCCCACGCGCGGGTGAGGTGCACGCGCCTGACAGAAAAAAATTAAAAAAGAAACTGACGCCAGCCTGACGTCAGCCCTGCGTCAGGTCCACCTCGGGCTCACGGGCTGGCGATTCCTCACGGGCCTGTTGCTCGGGCCTGCCCAGTCCCTCGAGCTCCCAACGCTGGAGGCTTGCAGCCGGGCTATCCAGCCCTGTTTGGTCCATTGTCCCCCGAGCAGTCCACAACGGTGGACTTGCTCTTATTGTAGCAACGTCTTTCAACTTTGAGTAAATTAAAGCAATGACTTGTCAACTAAAAATTCATGATTATTGATCCCTAACTATTCAAAACATACATCTATAGTCCTTTCGTCAAGTCCGTCAAAACTATCGTTAAAATGAGTCAGGTGCCACACACGTGAGGCTAAATCAAGGAGCAAATATGAAAAACAAAATAATTTTTTTCTTAGCAATGATCCCTTACCTTTAACTCAATTAGAGTAATGGTCCCTCAACTTTAACCCAATTAGAAAAATGGTTTCTTAACTTCAATCCAATTATAACAATGGTCATTCCACCATGTTCTAGTTTAACGAAAGTTCTGACGAAATTAACGAAAATGACCATAGTTGTACGTTTTGATGAGTTAAGGAATAACGGTCACGAATTTTTATTGAGAAGCCAACGCTTCAATTAGATTAAAATTAAAGAACCATTGCTACCATATTCTCAAACTATATTTCAAGAACAAGAAGAAAAATATACGGATAGCAATTTTGAGAGCAGAAAGGAAATATACAGATATTTGAGAGTTAGACAAATCAGACCGATTGATATTTGAGAGTAGAAAGAAAATATACGGATAGCAATTTTGTCCCACAGAAGCTCTCTTCGTGCATGTGCTAACGTTCTGAAAAAATGGTGTTATTATCGTTTATTCACTTTTTCCAACGTAAAAACTAAGTTGTATTATTTGGTGCATTTTAAGCTAGTCACTATTTTTTTTTGTTCTTGGCTTGAAGGAACGTTAAACTTTAGCCTCTATTAATATAAAAGGACGAACTTTCGACATGTGACAAATTTTAATGTGGCAGATCCCTATTTTATAATTGTCTACTATATGACATTACAACATAAAATATTATGATGTTATTTCCAATCTCTACGCATTTCACCGCTTCACCGAAAATTCTTCTACCCCAACCATACTTAGCTTGATAGTTTTCACCGTCTACCGAGAGTTGTGCCCTGAGAGAAGACCAACTGAAGAACAATCCTCCCTCTCTCTCTCTCTCTCTCTCCCCCCATTCCGTTACTCTCCCGCTAACAACTTCCGTCCCATCAAACCCCCAACGCGCCAAACCCAACGTCACCCAGACCACATCCAACGGCCTAAGAATCCCAACTTCAACAAACTAAAAACACATCCAACGTCCCACATTAAAAACTCAGTAACCCACCCAATCAAAACCCTTCTCATTCCAAACTCACTGCTATTCTGGTCTCCCACGCGCCAAGACAAACGCGCGTGAAGAATCCGCCGTGCGCGAGGTTATCGCGTTCATGCAGCAGAACGCAAAACTCAGCAGAGGCAAACGACGTCGACTCGTCCGCAGCATCTCTGTAACTATGAGATTACAAAACAAATGAAGAATCAAATTTACCCAACGGTAAATTCTAGACGGTTGTTTGGGTAAAACGGTCAATACCACGGCAATATATATATCCACTGCGGTGAATAGTGTGTGTGTTTTTGGTCGAAGCTGGGGTTTTGAACCGAGTGGTGATTTGTATGGGAGTGTGAAAAGAGTGAGTTTTTTCTCGTTTTTCTAAGAGAAGATGAGGAAGTACTTGGGGAATAAGCAAGTTCAAAAAAAGCCAGAAAGCAAAAGCACTTTTTTGGCCCGACGTGCTCTGCCCTCCCCTGCTTCTGCTTCTCCTTCTTCCTCCCCAGTTTCTTCGCTCGGTACGTACTTTTGTCAAACACCTTTTTCATCTCTTCGTCTTCCTTCTTATTTTTCTGAAAATTTCCGTTTCGTTTCATTTTTTTTCTCTGATGTGGTTATTTCTGATCTGGTTATTTTGCAGATGCTATCGAGCACATTAAAGTCGGATGTTTCTACCAAATCGACCAATCGAAGCTCCATGAAAGAACCGTACCGGAGCAGCTCAAGGACGTACGGATCGTCATGGTACTATTTCATATTTTCATACACATAAAACCCACTGATAATTTTCGCCATTGCTGTTGAATCTCGTTCATCTTTTTCAGATTTTTCTGGGGTTTCAATCAAATGGGGTTTTGATTTGGGGTTGTTTGATTTGTATACAGGTGAGTGCAAAGGGTGCGTTTAAAGTGGCAGTGCGGTTTCCGAGCCTTCACTCTCTCCGCACTCACATCAACGAAAATGGGTTCCCAAAACCAGATGCCAAGCAGATTCCGGCGCTCGACGAGAAGTACGTGATGTCGCCGGATATGGCGTCAGAGGTACTTTACCGGAGAATCCCACCTCAGGAGATGGTTGATCAGAGCAAAATTTGGAGCTTCTGGGCCGTTCGACCTCCGTTGAAGAATCACCCGAGAAGCTCGTCGTCGAGCCCAGCAATCGGCGGCGGCGGAGCCATGGATAGTAGCGTGGTTTCTGGGAAGGGCCCGTGTTGGTCTGAGCTCACATTCGCCGGAATGGTGCAGTGGGGCAAGCGGCGGCAGATTCGCTACCTTCGCAGGCACGAGTCGTCGCCGAGCTCTGGCTCTGAAGATTCAGAGAAGGAAAAGGAGGTAATGGAGCTGGAGGACGGTGACGAAGAAGAAGGCGAGGAGACAGAGGAAGAAGCTCATCTTCCTCCTGTTCTGCCATGGAAGATGAACCTCCGGAATCGGAAGCGGAAGCGCCCTGATAACAAGAGAAAGATCAAAGCTCCGACCCCGAAGCGATCAAAATCCAGAGCAAAATGTCCGAAGCAGAATAACCAGATTGTAGCAGTTCCTGATGGCAGCAGCAGAAAATTGGCTAAAGTTAAACACACTGTAGCAAGATGGTCCGCAGGAAGGTGAGATTAAGATAATCATATCATTAATTGGGTTTTTATTAATAGGTTAATAATATTTAACTGGGTCGATTTGTTTTTGTAAGATTTTTGGTTTTGATAAACGTGGGTTCTTTTGGGATTTTTGCAGGTACAAGCTGGCGGAGGAGAACATGTTGAAGGTGATGAAGGAGAAAGGGGCGGCGATTGGGAACCCAATACGGAGGCCGGCGCTGAGAGCGGAGGCTCGGAGGCTGATTGGGGACACGGGTTTGCTGGATCATTTACTCAAACACATGGCGGGCAAGGTGGCGCCTGGGGGGACCGAGAGGTTTAGGCGGCGGCACAACGCTGATGGGGCCATGGAGTATTGGCTGGAGAGTGCTGATATGGTCCACATCCGAAAGGAAGCTGGGGTTCAAGATCCCTACTGGACCCCGCCGTCGGGGTGGAAGCCCGGCGATAGCCCCACCCAGGACCCCACTTGTGCAAGAGAGATTAAGGAGCTCCGTGAAGAAATTGACAAGATTAGAAGGTAATTAATCGCGTTTTTAGTATCTTAATCATGGTATTAATCTGTGATTAATTTATTGGTAAAACTGTTAGTGATACTCTCTCTGGATTTTTTCAGGGAGATGGAGGAGTCCAGGCAGCAAGGGAATGCCGGTTTGGCTATGGCGCCCGCTTCAAATTCTTGTTTGACCGGTGTTGACTTGGATCGTGATGGTTCGTTAATCCAGATTAAGGTTGTAATTTGTTGATGATTAATTTTTTATTATGGTTGCTTAATCTTGATTAAGTTGCCTAATTAGTGTTTGATGGGGTTTATTAATTTTGCAGGAGGCTTGTGCAGACCTAGAAAAGAAGATAGCTAAAATGGATGAAGAAACAATGGAGTTTGTGACCAAAAAAGAAGAACAAATGGTGGAGTTTACTCAATCTTTGTCCGGAATTAAGGTAATTAATTGCCCCCTAATCACCTTAAATATGTCTGTCTTAATTGCATATAGCATTGTAATCCATTGATTTATGGAGGTTTAAATGTTAATGCAGGAGAAAATCAGGATGTTTGAATTAAGGAAGGAAGGTGCAATCACAATTTCAGGAGCACCACCGCCATTTGAAACAACATCAGCCCGTGAGAAGAAAGAAGAAGATAAACTAAGCGGCGGAGACATGGCGGTTGCGGCGGCGGAGGACAAGGCGGCAAAAATAAAAAGGCTGAGGAGTGGGTTCAGGATATGCAAGCCACAAGGCAGCTTTCTCTGGCCAGACATGGGCAGCCCCACCAATATTCCTAGTCCTTCTTCCCAGGTTCTGGCCCCACCACATGACCCCCTTATTGTCCCCACCCCACCCTCATCCACCACCTCCGCCTCCCGCCACCTCATCAGCCCCACCACTCCACCTGTGAAGCCGGTAGCAGAGCGTGGTCCAGTGACCACCACCACATTGTGCAATGTGACCACAATACCCTCTGCCCCTCCGATTTTCGCTCCTCCACCCGTCCTGGCCCCACAGCAAACTCAGAGTTCCACTACCATCACCATCAGTAAAACCCTACTCTTAAACCTCAACGAGCTCCCTACAGCTGCAACACCAAACCCTAACCCGCAAACCAGCTGCGAGGCTACCAGGACTGTCGCCACCTACCACAGAAGGCACCACCACCATCTGCCACTTGTACGCCTCTCACCCCCTTCTCCATTAGTCATCTCCTCAGTCTTAATTATGTAATTAAATCTAATCAATCAAATTTTGTTTCATTTAATTGTGGGGAAATAATACACAGATGGTGAAGGAGGAGGACGACGGAAATGCAAGAAACGGTGATGATTGGTGTGCCTCTCCTGCTTCCACGTGGAAGGAAGAGAAGTGGTTGATGGCTTTGGCCGTGGGAACTCCTGGCACTTCTTTGGAGGGTTGATTTTGGACCGTTGGATCAATCTTGCAGCAGGAGCTAAATATATATGGGATATACTTTATAAGGCTACTTTATAATTGTAGGAAATTGGCGTGTATAGAAATAATTGTATCTCGGTATACATGATTATTAGGGATTTTGCATTATAGTCCAAAATATTAGGTTTTTTGGCGGAAACAGCTGATGTGCCGCTTTGGGCACGTATAGTGGTGGTTTTTGTCCAAAGTGTGAAAATCAAAAGGTGGCCTTTTTATTAAATTGGTGAAGTTTTTATTGTTGGGATTCTTGGTGGTGGATGGTAATTATTCTAATTTTATTAATTGAAAATAAGTATGACAATTTCTTGCACGATCTGTTAATTTGATACGAAAATAACAGTTTCAAGTCAATCTGCTAACGAATCATGTCGTTATCAGGTCATACTTTAAGAATTCGTTAACGTGATGGTGTATTGTGTGTTGCAATATTATTACTGGTAGGATCCTACGTTTTTTTTTTTTTAAACAATAGTACATTGCGTTGTATTATTATTGAATTCAAATACTATCTTTAAGCTCCTACAATTTATGTGATTGAGAATTAGGAGGGAAAATGATTTAAAACTAGGGGCTTTTAGATCTAGGTCAAAAAATGTAGAGTGTTTTTAGGAGTGAGTCCAGTTATCTAATTATTTGTTTTTATTTCTTTTATACTCATTTTATATTTTCTAAAAATATTAAAAATCAATTAAAATCATCTAATATTATGCATTTTCCAACTCCAAAAGAATATATTTAATATCTTATAACAAAAAAGCTAATATACTAACATAAATTTATCTACAAAACATTATACTCTAACTCAAGTAACAAATATATGAATGTATATAATACCTATACGTGAGATATGAAACCTAATTAAAATGTAGAATAAACATAACATACCTACAAGTAAGACACATTAATCTGTGACAGGTTGATTATAAAAAAAGAATCTGTCATATAGGTAGATAAATATAATTAACCTGTGATATAGGTTGATTATAAAAATTAAAAATAAAATCTATAAATGGGGTTTAAAGTAGGAGGAAGAACGAGAAATAACAAAAAGATAAATAAAAAGAAATAAGCAAAGAGATAATTGGGAAGAAATTTGATTTTTATAATAAATCTTATCATGGAACAGATAACTATTGATAATTAAATAATTAAATATAACAAATTGGACTTATTTTAATAAACTGGACTATTCCTACAATTGGCTCAAAAAATTGGACTTATATCAAGTTTCCCCTTAAAACTAATTGAAATTAAGAAGCAATTAACCCCAATCTTGTCATTGTGGTAAGATTAAGGAAAGGAAACAAGAGACTTTCCCGGGTAAGGGCTGGCTAGTGCCTAGTTGAGTTGGCAACTTGGAACTTTGGAAGTGAGTCCAAAAGGATAAGCTCTCTCAACATAGAGTTCGTTTAGATGTGAGTGTTTTTGGTGAAAATATTGGACTTAACAAGAACAGTGGAAACTAAGCTAAGCATCAAATGATCAACATTGCTTTGCTACAGCAGAACATTGACCTTAACAAGTTTGAACGTACAAGTACAAAGTTTGTTCTTGTCGAATGTTTCCTCATCTTCCCTCCTCGCCTTAACACGCGAGCGGAACGCATGATTCAAACTGTTTCAGCACAAACGGGTGCAGAACACATTCAGAATTTGATTGAAGCTGGTGAAGAATGAAAACGTTAGAAACTACAGTACTGATTAGTCCATGGCAGAAAGATGAAGATGAACCTGGTGCCAGCAGATTGCAGGACGATCACGACTTTATGATAGAGGGAACATGATGGATTTTGTGATGGTATTGTCCTTGCGGATGATCTACGACTCTTCCTGACATCCCTTTGAGCTCCAACACTTGGAGAGCAGTTACATACTTCATACCTTTAGGGAGCTTCCGTAACCACTTATGGTTGGTGATTTGCAAACTTCTAAACTTTGGCATTGCACTTTCTTCAACTTCTAACTCTTCCAAAATTTTCCAATAATTCCAGCTCCAAAAGCTCGACTTGGAGCAAACCGTTGGCAGAGAATTTCAGTTTCTTTCCATAGGATTGTTGTTAAGACAAGAATGATACAAGATCGACTGATTGAGATTTGGTGGGGATTCTTGTGGTAACGGTTGGTTTTGTATCTCGTCTCTCAGTTGATGTCATGAATCAAAATTCAAAACGAAGAGTTCTCTCTCTTCTTACTCTTAGTCTGGGCATTCCGAGAATTCAACAGACATTTGCCTTTGTTCCGGGTATTCATAGACTAAACAGAGCTTGGTAGTTTGTGTTTCTTAATTTCCATCTTCTTTCTTCGAGTTCCTGCTGCATCAATTTGCTCCCTCTCCAATTGTTTTAATGCCATATGCTTCGCGGCTGATGGAAATATCAGAGATTCTTGTGCGGATAGCTGCAAGACCTTTCCCAATCTTGGAGCGCACCTTGAGAGTAAGCGCCTTGAGAGTGAACACGTATCTCTTAACAAATTCCCATCTCTTGTAGGCCTCGATCTTGAGAATGTATGTGTCGATGAGGTCTTCAGCGTCATAAGCAGCGTTTCTGATATCAGAAACCCAATTGTGCACCTGCAGATCATCTTCATGCTTTGCGTCGGCATTTTTAAGAAGCACTGCATCAGCTTGAGCTTGTATCTCAACACCTGCATTTGGGGGCGAACATCCTTGGGAAGTTCGATTTTAGCAAGTACATCAGCTACCCTTTCTAAAACAAAACCAACAACAGTTTCTGCTGTGTTAGGTTCAACAGAAAAATCATAACAAAGCTAAAACAAAACCGACAACTAATTATTCGGATGATTTTGCTTCAACCCAGTTCCCACTAAGTCTTGGCATTTCCAGGAAACTTAGAGGAAGCTTGGTGTAGTCTATCACTGTAAACTTGCTTTCTTCTTTGTCGACATCGAAATATGAACTAATGAAAGAGCAGCGAAAGGACACGGAAAGGCCACAAAAATAGTTTCACACGGCATCAAGATAATACAGTGAACTTTTCTAGAAAACTGTCACCATCTTTTGTTACAGTTCCAACATCTTTCTAAGAAAAAAGAGCCTACTTTGATAAGCATATAAAATTATTGGAAAATTCATTGGCATCTAATTTCGTGACAAACACTATGATATCTTGATATGTGAATTATACAAGGCATATATGGATATTCAAATTGAATAAAAATCAGAAAATGAAATTAAGAATGGCTAGAATTACAATCAATCTTGAATGTTTCTTGAGCTTAAAGCAAGCTATACGCGACCATCATTCGACTCCTGCAGCTTCTTGTTGCAGACAGACGCAGTCTGCACTAGTTTATCTTCTGTTGTATACTCAACAGTCACCGCGTCACCCCTCCCCCACCCTGCCCCAAATCATAGAACGAGTGGAACACATGATCCAAGCTCTTCTGGGAGAAAGCTATGCAGAAAAAATAAAGGTCAGAAAATTTGTTCACTGGTCATAAGTTATTAGTCTTCTGCAGAAAGATAAAAGATGATGAATATGAACCTGATGCCGACAAATTGCACGATTATGACTTTATGATAGAGGGAACATGCTGGACTTTGTGATGGTCTTCTCCTTGCAGCCTATCTATGAATCTTCTTGGCATCCCTTTGAACACCAACTCTTGGAGAGTAGTTATGGACTTGATTTCTTCGGGGAGCATCCGTAACTGCTGGCAGTCGGTGATCTGCAAACTCCTAAGCTTTGGCATTGCACTTTCTTCAACTTCCAACTCTTCCAAAGATTCCAAGAATTCAAGATCTAGATACTCGAGTTGAGGAAAGCCGTTGGCAGAGAACTTCAGTTTCTTTCCATGGTAAGAAAAAGGTTTTAGTCTAAGGACAAATAGATAAGGCAGCTTCTCAAGTATCTCCATAGGATTGCTTTCAAGACGGGATTGATGCAAGATCAACTGGTTGAGATTTGGAGGGAATTCATGTGTGTTAGGTAGCTTTCTTATCCCTCCTCTCAGATGCAACTTAATGACACAGCGAAGAGGAGAAAGTGCAGAAAGTGATGGAAACAAAGTATCCATAGACTTTAAGGACAAGGAGTGGAGGTTCAGAAGATTGGCTAAGGAACCAAAAATCTCTGCACTGTTTGAATTGAAGCTTCCAGTCAAGCTCAACTTCCGAAGACTGATTAAATTGGCGGAGTTTATTCCTCTAAAACTATCAACATTTATGCCTGCCAAAGTCTGGAGGTGTTGGAGAGTGTCAATTCGCAACTTGCCAGTGAATGGATGAAGATACATGTAGAGATGGCGTAAGCTTTTCATCTTCCATAACACATCAGGAACCCTCCTAATCTTGACATTTTCAAGAATATCAAGAGTCTGCAAGTTGGACAACCATCCTATTTCTTCTGGAAGTGACTCTATAGAGCAATGCCTTAACCCCAAGTACTTCAAATGGATCATTTCTCCGATTGCGCTTGGAATTCTCCTTAACTTCATATCTTCTAATTCCAGGACTCTAAGGAGTTTAAAATTTCTGCAGACATCAGAAAGAGAAATTCCACATTCAATTTGTTCAACCTTAAAGAAGAGGAGCGATCGGAGGTTTGGAGTTGACTCATCCGGGGAGGAAGAAAAGCCGGAGTAGATAGCATGATGACGGGCTCGAGAGTGAGAACATGGAAATGGGCTGAAGATATTGTACTTCAGATTCGAATGAATATAAAGAAATTCCACTGACTTAGCCCTTGAGATACAGAGGTCTCGCATTAAGTCGTGCAATCGGCAGTGTTTCACCCTACCATTTGCACTCAACCTTGCTGCTTGAACCATGTTTCTATCAATCAGCTCATTCAGATATTCCTCTGCAAGGTCCTCCATCTTTCCATCGTAATATGGGATCAAGCCCTCTGCAATCCATAGCCGAAAAAGTTTACGTGCAGAGAATAAGTAGTCCTCGGGAAATAACCCCAAGTAGAGAAAACAAAATTTAAGGTAATAAGGCAAGTCATAGTAGCTTAAAGCTAGTATTGCCGATACAGCATTCGGATCACGAGCTAACAGTGTGCGGATGGAGTTCAGAACACCTTGCCATTCACTCAGCCATCTTTTCTTTGAAAGCATGCCCCCCAATACAACGATGGCTAGCGGTAGACCAGCACATTTCGCCACAATTTCCTGTCCGATTTCCTCCAACAGTGGAGGACACACTCTATCAATACTTTCAGTGAATGCTTTTCGGCATAACAACTTCCAACTGTCCTCTTTGCTACAAAATCGCAGTTCATGGGGAAGGCTCTGGGCATCGGCATGCAAAGCGACGTTGTTGTTGCGAGTTGTAAGAAATAATTTACTTCCACTGTGATTGTTTGGGAAGGCCTTTGCAAGACTGTCAAAAGCGCTGGTGCTCCATATATCATCTAAAACAATCAGATAGCGTCTCCCTTCCAAAAGTTTATAGAGCATTTCTTCCAACTCGTCTTTTCCCAACTTCGCCATGTCTTTTGTTCTCGTTGAAACTTGTTTTATAATGCTCTGCAGTACATCTCTTGTTCTGAACTGTTGGGATATATAGACCCAAGCACGGCAATCAAAACAAGTTTGAATGTCAGCATGATTATAGACTTCCTTAGCACAAGTGGTCTTACCGATACCACCCATGCCTACCATTGAAATTACTCGCCACTGATCCTCCGTGACAAGTCGTGCCACCAGAGTTGCTATATCTTCCTCCAGACCAACAATATCCTTATCCTGACCACGAGGAGTTGATCGCCGCAGCTTCAGTAGCCCTTCATTGGCATGACTCATTCCGTCACCAATACTTTTTATGCCGCATGCTTCGTGGCTGATGGAAACGTCAGAGATTCTTGTGCGGAGAAATACAAGGTCTTTCCCAATCTTGGAACGGGCCTTGAGAGTGGAATAATATCTCTTAACAAAGTTCCATTTCTTGTACTTGTAGGACTCAACTTTGAGGATGTATGTGTCAATGAGGTCTTCAGCGTCATAAGCAAGATTTCTGACATTAGAAACCCAATTGCGCACCTGCAAATCGTCTTCTTGCTTTGCATCTGCATATTTTAAAAAGCACTGCATCCGCTTCAGCTCACGTCTCAGCCGCAGGATTTCCGGGCGAACATCCTTGGGAAGTTGGATTTCAGCAAGTACATCAGCAACCCTTCCCAGAACAAAAATAACAAAAGCTTCTGCCATGTCACTTTTGACAGAAAACCAGAGAAGCTAATAAGAATTGGAGCTTGTTGGGATGGTCTGGCTTCAACCCATTTTCCTTTTAAGCTCTTAACATTCTTGGTTGCAAGGCAGGACAATGTTTAGTATTTTCTACAAAGCTTAGGAGAAGCTTGGTGTGGTGTCTGTCACTGTCAACAAACCAAACTATTTCGCAACGCAGAGATGAAGACTTAAGTGGCGCCCACACGTCTTCTTCTACCTTTAGTCAACATCATAACACAAACTCAATCATGCACCACTGAACCAGTTGTTAGACCGAGTCAATCTTATCAGAAACTCAGCTCCAAAACAAATTCTTCATAGGATAAGATTGCTAGGTCGGGTTTTAGTTTGAATAGTTCAAAGATAAGTTTGTTGTGATTTTGTATTTTGAATTCAAAGTTCTCCGTGTAAATAGGGTATTCAAAAACCCTACTTGTAATCTGAAATTTATGTGTATAAATATACTACAACCCATCATTATATGGGTGTGCAACTAAGCTGAAAACCCTAGAGTTCTAAAGTTTTACATGGTATTGAGCCCTGACGACAAATGATCCAATTTTATTTCCGACCCATCGTCGCTTCCATGGCTGAAAACAACAACACCAACTGCACCACTCAAACCAATCCTTCCCCCCTCCAAGCTGCTAATACTTCCTTCACCTTTTTTTCTTCCACAATGGCCAGTGTTGTTAATATCAAGCTTGACTGTTCGAATTATCCCCTGTGGCTGGCCCAGATTTTGCCTGTCCTCAAGAGCTGTGACCTAATGGGTTACGTTGATGGCTCCATTGTTTGTCCCCCTAAGAACCTGGCTGGTAGCACTGCGGTTAACCCAGCATACACAACTTGGATTCAACATGATCAGATGATCCTCAATTGGATCAATGGCTCCCTCACTGCTTCTATTTTGTCAATAGTAGCAAGCAAACACAACTGTCGTGCAACCTGGGAAGCACTTAAGCAGAGGTATGCGTCAACTTCCCAGAATCAAATTTTGTTTCTACGTACTGAACTGCTGTAGATGAAGAAGGGTGATCTCTCTGTAGTTGACTACTTGGATCGTATGAATGCGATCGCCGACAACCTTGCTCTGGCCGGACAATCAGTAAGTGATGATGAACTGGTTTAAATTATTTTGAATAATCTTGGTCCTGCGTTTGAGATGACTGTGAATGCAGCACAGGCTCGTGATACTCCAATCACTTATCCCACACTTGAAGCTCTTCTGTTGACAACGGAGAGAAGGATGACGGAGCAAGCTGTGCCTATTGAATCTGCTCTAATTAATGCTTTTGTAGCTTCACGAGGCCGTGGTAGTCGCTCTCGTGGAAATGGACGTGGAGGCTCTCCGTCCAATCGTGGTGGTGCCATCAACAATGGCAATCAACGAGGTTTTATCCCTTGCAATTATAAAACTTAAGAACACAGGTTTTTCACTTTGTTTGCATACCCATTTAACTATGGGATGCTTTGTATTTATAAGCTGTTTATGATTACATCAGAGGGTTTGAAAACCCTAATTACAAGGGGATTTGAAATTCAAAAATACAAAACAGAAAATCTAAACCCTATCTCCTACAAACAATGAGTGGTAATCAGATAACACTTTCAAACTAAACAAACTCCTCAAATCATGGAGTTGATGAAACTGCAGATTGACTTCGGTTAACAGCCCTCCGCAAGCGAACAGGTGGGGAAACAACTGGAAGCTTGGAGATAAGAAACTTAAATCGTGAAGAAGATAGGCCTTTAGTAAAAATGTCAGCAAGCTGGTCTTGGGAACACACATAACTTACCACGAGCTGCTTACGAACCACCTTCTCACGAACATAATGGTAGTCGACCTCCAGATGTTTAGTGCGCGAATGGAAGACTGGATTGGTCGCCAGGGCAATTGAAGAAATGTTGTCACACCAAATGGTTGGTGGAACGAAATTTAAATGAAGATCTTTATAGAGAGAACTTAACTAGGATAATTCTGCAGCAGTATAAGCTAATTACCGATACTCCGCTTCTGCACTCGAGCGTGAAACTGTCTTCTGCTTCTTTGAACTCCAGGATACAAGGTTAGAACCCAAATAAACACAGAAACCACCCGTAGAATGACGAGTATCAGGGTTGCCAGTGTAATCTGCATCCGAATAAGCTGTCAGCATAGCAATTCCTGGTTGGTACAGTAAGCCATGATTATACGTAGCCTTTAGATACCGAAGAATTCTCTTGA